TCTCTAGCGCCGAAGGCGGCTTGTGCGCCTTGCGCCGAAGGGATGCTCCTTCAGAGCCCGCCGTCTAGGGCGGCGCCTGTCCCTGACGTTGCGCCCAACTCCTGGATTCTACGAGATTCTTTGAGATTCTCCGAGATCATCCAGTTTCACTCTATTTTGATGCACCGATGGCTATTTACACTGCTGCCGCGGTACAGTTTTCCGAAAATGTTTTAAATTCCACAAAAATCCCAAAAGTGGGGTACCACATTGGCTGATCTTTTAAGTGATAGAATAATTCCATTAGTAAAGAACTTAGATAGGTTGATGGCGAAGTACTCGGTGCCATCGTCTGCAGCGGTATGTAGAGTTAGTGGCAGCAACTGCTGCGGTAACAGAACGAGTTGCAAGCTTGACTTCCAAATATGCGACCATGACAATTACTTTGCAGGAGCGGAAAGGGCAACTCTGAGCAAAGAAGTTGGAGTGCGAAGAACTTTGGCGAGAGTTAAATGCTAAGCGAAGCCTTCGTACGCAGAAGAAGCTAGAGTGCAAAGACCTTTGGGTTGACATTTACATTGCGCAGAAGGTGACCGTAGACCTTTGGAACAGATTGGAAGTGTTTCAAGCAGCATTTGAGAGTATATCTTCTTTCTTGTGACGTCTATTCAAATGCTAAATTTAATTTTTGACATAGTTTACATATACAATTTCTAACTTGAAGTGCATCAAGGTTTACTTCGGTTGAAAATATCTTGTCCTCATCTTCAATTTGTAGTTTTTAAATTCATTTCATCGCGTGGAGGAGCTGTCAGCAAATCAAGCGGCACGAGATCAGTCAGAGACTGCCGAATTGGCTCGTTGAGCAAATCAATTAACTGATTGCGAAGCTGTCCAAACTTTGGAGTTAGAGCGTGAAAAGTAGTTGGACGTAGATTGCAACAGATTGCGATCTCAACTGGAGGTAGTAGAGGAGTAATTGGTCACAGCTCAAGCAAAATTGGTGGAAACAGAGGCGACTGTCCAACATCTCCAACAACAGACGGATGCTGGTTTGCACGCTAGAGTAGAGCGATGTCTTTGTGGTTATGTGAATTGGGAGATCCAGACCATGAAATGAACAAAATTGGATTCGCTGGAGCGTAGTTTGAAGGTATTAAGAGCCAACGACGTTGCAGGACATCAGCTGTTAGATAGAATCATTAATTCTTTCATATCCAGTTTAGAAGAAACTAAGTACAATTTAAAGTTAGAGCTTGCAGCAGTTTTGGATAGGATATGAGTAGACATGAGTTCTGCGGGTGTGACAACTACCGCATCTGTGCACGTCGTTACTAATGGAGGCTCGCAACTAGCGGGTGATGCCTCCGAATGTTTCTTGTGAATAAAGAGGCTCAAGGCTTTGCCTTCGGGAGGGTTTTCCATTAGTGAGTTTTCAATCTTAAGTCTGCATTTCTTCGCACATTCGTGAGTTATGTTGTTTGTCATAGTGCGAGAGTTGCTTCGGTTTGTCGAATATACCGCATCCCAAGTAGAATGTCCAATTTGGGTGTTCTGAGTGGTGCATAGTGTAGCTTATGACTTAAGCAAACTTGTAGATTGGTTGCTCGATGCAGCCAACTGAGAGTGTAATATTGGGAAATTTCCTCCGTGAATATCAATTGCAGAGTCGCTTTCAATTTATGTGATGTCTATTGGAAGAATTTTAGAATTTGGATGTGATTACACCTTGCATTTGTGTCGCCTTCGGCTTAGCAATTGCAAATGCTTCTAGTAGTGACATGTGCTTGAAAAGTAAAACTTGTCAATAGAATGTTAATTCGTGACAGTATTTGGATCTCTGGTATTGTTTCTGTACTAGTGGGATCAAATATGTACCATTATGCTCCAGTTTGATATTTATCAATTATTACACACATCCAATCTAGGATACGTGAGAGCTGCTTTGATAAACTGTGTAGAGTTACATATGGTTAGACTAAGCAGATACCTAGATTTATTCAAAAGATCTTTAAAGAATAATTTTTCATATTTTATTAGCATGTTCATGTAGATTTGAACTTTGTGGTTTCAAACTGTACATTTGATGTGTTTAATGATCATTCAAAAATTTGAATTTGTTGATATGTAAAACTTCAAATATTTTAATTAAAGAGACTATGATGTGATTATTAATGGGCCAAAATATTTCATATTTCAACCATGTGAAATATAATTTCAATAAAATTCTCTCCAAGCATTATTATAATGATATTTTTTGAAAGATATGATGTTATTATGTATAAATTGTCTCCAAAAGATTATATAAACCATAACACAATAGAATAATATGTGATTCATATCTGCCAAGTAGATGTACGAAACAAGAAGAGTTTTTATTGAAAGATCATAAATTGTTGCTTCTAAGATATACCAGCTTTGTTATTTAGAATCATCTTAGTCTTAGTTCAGCCGATTGAAAGTGACAATATTTGTGTACAAGATTTCTTCTGTTGATTTATGTTATGAGATTTGTAATCTCTATGACAAATGTGATGATTTTGCAAAAAGATCTAGAAAAGAATAACCTATGTTACTTTCTAAATAAAAACAAAGTAAAAGTAAAACTTAGTCAATATATAACAATGTGATATCATGTATGAAATTAACAGCTTTGTTGTTAACATTTTTTTGCAAAAGCTCCAAAGTATCACGATTTTCATTACAAAACTCAAACAAAATTATTTTGATCAATGCTTTAGTTACATTTAATTTACTGTTAATCTAGATTAACTTGGGCTTTGCTAAAATTGATATATGATATTGATGTACTTCATCCCATTTTCTATCATTTGATCTATTACAAGTTATTATGCATTTTTAGTAGCACAATGAAGAATGACAACATCATGCTCCTTTCTTGTCTACAGATTATATGATTAGTGTCTTCAACATTATGATAACATACTTGGGTCCTTATGCTGTTGTTACATATTTACATTACTCAATAGACTCAACTATGCAATTTTTTAATATAGATTTTCAACCAGTTATGTATATTCAATATTAGACATATATATTGTAGATATTTTTTTGTTCATATTGTTTCTAAATTCAAGATTAATTTAGTCTACTAAGGAATTGATATTTTCTGATTAATTAACAATCAAAACACCACGGTAGTCATCTATAGTTCTACCGACATAATAGCTACGACTTCTACACTATATACTTCTACACTTATTTCAAGATACGCTAAGCTGTGAAGCCAATGTGGGATTTACATAATGTTCTAATGCTTTACTTCTTGTAATGTATGTTAATGCTTAGGCTCAGTTTATAAGAAACATCCTCTTGTTGAATTGACAACAGTTTCTAGTTCCAGCATAAAATCATAGGAAACACGTGGATCATAAACATGGTGATGTGGATGAATTCAGGATGTCCAAAGATAGGCGAATAGCATACCAAGTTAGTATTTAGACGATCATGACCTTTATCCACATAAGCATTCAAGCAGGCTAGTGAAATGTATCTCATGTATGGACCTAACTTTACCTCATCCTAAATATACAAAAAAATGTTGAAGATAGAATTAAATTTGCTTGCATGTTTTTTAGACTGATGACATTGACTGATTACTAAGCAGACGCTGAAGATCTCCAAACTGGGGATATATAGATATCAAGTATCATATCGTGAGGTAGATTAAAGATTTAGAAATATGCTTGAAAAGTATCTATCAAATATATTTTATTTTAAGAAAGGATAGATGCATCAAGTTGTCCATGGATAGACAACTTTTAAATTAATTATTCTTAATTCATTATTCTATGGTTGATTACGCTATCTTCTTATCACTTTTTGGATGAATTGGTAAATTGAAAGTTTTCAATCAATATTTCAGATATTTTTTATAAAAAATAAAGAGAAAGAAAATATGGTCTTATTGTTTTGTAATTTGAGTATTTTTTTAACCTGAAAATTTGAAGGCAATCCACCATGTCAGAAAAGTTTGTTCCTTCAAATGAACTCATTATGGAAGGACTAATGGTAAGGTGGGTTCAATTCTTTGTCTTTTTGCAGTCTATATCTTGAGGATTTTGAATTACAGGTTGCATATCCAACCAAAAGTCAGTCTCAACTACTTGGCTAACATATGTATTCAAAGAAGCTTGTGATGTAAAAAGTCTGAACTCTCGTTTCTTGACGGGAAATTGTGAGCTCCAGTGGCCACCCCATATAAAGCTTTTCAACATCCCTTTTGATGTTGCAAAATCCAAATCAAAATGAAATGATACCCTGCATTCTAGACCTTCCAAAATTGTGCTAATTAGAACAGTACAAGCTTCAACATAGAAAAAGTCAAGAAACAAGGAACATAACTATGTCATAGCACATTATTTGAAAGTAGTCGGTGGCATTGCTCTTGCTCTTTTCTTGCAGCTCTTTTCAAAGTCCCATCATTTAACCAACTCCGTCCATTAAGGTAGTGCAAATGCAAATGCAACAATCCAAATGATAAAGAACTTAACGTTGGCAAGTCAAACACATGCTCAGTTTGCCATAATGTTGACACGTCTATTCAGTACTCCATATTAGTGTACAAAACCTTATGACATAAAGCGAATTCTCCAAAAAGTATTCGCTTAACAAACGAACTTATGTGCTTCTCGAGTTACACGCAATAACCCTCCAAAAGACGTATGGAGATCTGGAATCACATATCTTCCATCCATGAAGTTAACCCTTGGTCGATTTTACCACCGTGATTGGCGTAGAGAGACACGAGGAAAATGTTCTGAAGACTCCTGAAGGATTAAAAAACAGGGCAGTGAAAACAAATCAAAATAGAAGTCAACCCGCATGAAATATGCACGACCAAAGGTCCACCGTGGAAAATGGCATCGGGAGACAAGACCACCACATGTTGACCTTAATAAAGACCATGAAGGGGTCACGGGCGATCGGCCGTGCTGAGGTGGCCAGATACAGGCACCAAGCAGTAGGAACTCGACCTCGTCGTCGTCAGGCACAGAAGTGGTGCTCGCATTCGATTCTGTCGCCATCTTGGACACAGTGGAGCTTTTCCATCGAGCGAGCGGGCTCACCGAGCCGGCACCGCCATCGCGAACAGCAACCGCGTTCGACAATTGGCGTTCGGAGTATATAATATTACAAATTTCGCTTCGGAATCTTGGGGATCGGAAGCCGGAAGGCAATAACATTCTGCTTTTTGAAGACAGATTCCAGATCCGCTGCCCTTTTGTGGGCAAATTGGCAATTTTTATTTCGGGATGCGTTCCGGGTAGAGCGAAATGGTCACGGACGCAGACTTCGGTCAGCTTCTGCTCGCGCGAGTCTACCAATTTTAGCGCCTGTAGATAGTGTACCGTCCGTCGCTTTACTTTCGGCGAATTTGTTTTGTTTAAGAATGAGAGCCGCAGTTGGATCTTTGGTTCTCTCATGAACAGCGCAGATGGCACCTCTTTCGGCGTGAGCCGGTGAATGACCGCGCTCGTGGACATTGCCTGGGTCTCTGGGAACCTGTCGAATTTCCGGAGACTCTATATAGCGGAGCAGATCCATGGAATAATGTTCCGGAATCTTGTTTTTCCCCTGGTTCCTGCCGAGATGGGCCAGACCTTTTAGCGACGGGATTTGTGTTTTCTGAACTGTCCCTTTTGGCCCGTTTCTGGGGCTTGAATCCACCGGACGGTGGTAGTAATCACATGAATCAGTTGTGCTTCCTCGCCGCGCCGCTTTGATTTAGTTTTATCCTTTCAAATCGTGTGGAAAGGGGCGGTTCCAGTACCTTCGTTGCTTTTTGATGTGCATCGAAGGTTTTGTACAATGGATGCCCTATGCCGGTTGCCGCAGCATGTAATGGGGAGCAGATTCGGTGCTACAAACAATCAAGCGGCTGGTTCTGGACCACTTTCACTTTGAAGATGGATGATGCATGAGCGAGCCAACTCATGTATGGGGGTTTGTTCACCTTGATTTTGATAATTTCCCAGCTGAAAGCACTATTGAATGCATGTCATTTAAGATTTGAATGTTAATTACCGAAGCGGGTCAGTTTTGCAGTTTCACAAATCACTTGTCATTTTCTTGCTTTTGGTTGGTTCTTTACATTTTTCACAGCAGAATTAAGGACATTGAATTCCTTACTCACTCCCACTCCACTTGTATCGGCAACCTCGCCCTGGGCAGGTTCTGAGATCAGGCTTTCTTCCAGTCTGCGGTTCATGAGTCAGCGGCTGCAACTTGGCTGACCAACGCCATTCGTTAATTACAGGGGGAGCTATACGGAAAAATGCCCTGGTTGAAAGCGATTCATTCATGAATGTGTATTTCAAGCATATCGGACGAGCCATTGGGTGGTAACACAGGGCATCACAAAGAAACGTAGATACCTTATGGCGGTATATAGAAGGCGCGGCTGCTTTTTGAAGAGGTCTCGGTCAAGGTTCTAGAAAGTTAGTACCTGTTTTGCAAGCCCAGTGATATACTAGCAAGGGAGCAGATGGATCAGTACAGCAGGTTGGGCTAAGCTAATCTAAACGTCATTGGGTTTCTCCAGAGTGAGAAGCAGAAGAAATCTGAAATTAAAATCATCTGTTCGACTGATTGAAGGAGCTCGTGAGGAGCCATGGGGTTCAGGAGGTTCTTGTCACTGCCTGTTGCTGTAGTACTTGTATTGATAGGCTTTGTGTATCACACTGTGGTTTTTCTCGTCATCGAACCTTGGTTGAGTCTGAGTACAGCTCCTGGACTATTCAATGCTCTTTTCTTCACGGGTCTGGGAGTTATGGCGGTGCTTTGTTACGTTATTGCGGTATTGAAAGATCCAGGTCGAATACCTTTATCGTACATGCCAGATCTTGAAGATTCTGGAGTTGCTTTACACGAAGTAAAGAGGAAGGTAAGCACCTTTACATGTCAATTTCAAAGCCTGACAAGGTCAAGAGCATTGGCGAATTTGTGCTAGTTTTTGAATATGATTTGTGAAACAACCTGGTGATTTATTGGCTGCTCCTCATCTGCAATGCAGGGTGGAGATTTGAGATACTGTCAGAAATGTGCCCATTACAAACCACCAAGGGCACATCACTGTAGAGTTTGCAAGCGGTGCGTCCTGCGCATGGTACGTTCTCTGGTACATTTTTATCTCAACATTGAAGCTTATGCTAAACTTAGTAATAAATGCACTGTTAAGTCGCATGCTGGAGAATCTGGGCAGAATACTGGAGTTTACGTGGCGCAATTATTGCATACTAAGCCCTTGGATTTGACTTTGTACTACTTAATTTACGTGGAGCAAGGTCAACATTGAATGTGATGATAATAATGAGGCCTCAACGCGAAGAATGCATATAAAATCGCCGGAAAGCTTATCATGATAACCTTCTGTGACGATCCTCAATATTGGGAAGGTTATCTCTCAGACTGGGAAGGCTGTGTCTTATAGTAGAAAAAACAGTTCTAGTGTACTAGTAACAAACATGATGAACATTTTTGCTATTACTGTTTACATACAGACTGTTGGAATTTATTGTCATGTCATGAATAGATCCTTATTAGAATGCCACTATAAAAAATGGATGAAAGATAATGCGAAAATTAGTTAACATAAAGTAGAAGAAATTTAATTTCACTGAAACCTAGCAGAGAGTAACTTGTAAATGATTAATTGAGAATTAATCAACGGCTATTGTTCATGTTTAAGATTATAGAGCTTGCCAGTAATGAATTTCTGACGTATGAACTGATGCTTCAGGACCACCACTGTGTCTGGATCAACAATTGTGTGGGACATAACAACTACAAGGCGTTTTTCTTGTTTGTCTTGTATGTGGTTGCGGCCTGTATCCATGCATTGGTAAGAGCAACTCCAACTTTGGAACTTATCTCTTTGAAATGAAATCTTTGTAGATAGTCTTAAAATCTTAGCGAACGAGGTTCTATCACCACCGTTCTAACTTATGTCAATATATACTCTGGTATTGTCCAGATCCTTCTTGGAGGGCAAGCCATTCAGGAACTTGGTGCTGACTCTGAGATGCAAAATACCGATGCTCTCCCAAAAGGAATGCCTGTGAGCTCATCCCTCGCATTCTCTGCTATTGTCAAGGTATCTTTACTTTACTTTGTCTCCCCTATCTACATTAGACAAAGGAAACAACTCAGATTGGAATTTTGTAAAAGTAATTAGTAGAATCCATCACTTTGGAATGGGTTCTTAAGTCTGGATTTAGGTTTTTCACGGCACTGCAAAATATGTCTAGGATTCCAATAACGTGTACAATAGTCAAAGGCTAGATATCAATATATAACCTTGTGCATATTGCAGGTGGTTTGCGCTGTGGTGTTGGTACCTTTGCTGGTCGCTGTAACTGTTCTTTTGGCTTGGCATGTTTACCTCCTTCTGCACAACAAAACCACTATCGAGGTTTGTCCATATGCTTGAGCCTTGTCCGTGTAGATTGAATATTTACTCTGCTGGAAGTACTTGAAAATAAGAGCTTATTGAATAAAGTAGCCGGTAATGAGGCCACTAAATAATTGTGGATCTAATGTCCGCAGTATCATGAAGGAGTAAGAGCTCGTTGGCTTGCTGAAAAGGCCGGTCACCACTACAGACACCCATATGACCTAGGTGTTGTCTCAAATATTGTTACGGTAAGTAAATATCTGTTATCAACTTTTGTTGGCTGTTTGATTTTGTTAGACGCAATTCGTGTTCATGGTTGTTTCCCCTTGTTTTTTCGTCATACATACCTTGATTTTCGACAAGTGTTTGCACACTTCCTTTACTGCATGGTAACTCTACTTTTGGTTTGATTGCTGTATTTAACACAAGTTCATTTTTGCACATTGTGTGCATCGTACTAAGTTTGTTCATGAATAGGAACAAGCCTTAGTTTGGATACAAGCATTTAGAAATATAGAAAGGTTTTAATTTTCTCTGCCAATTCAAGGTTTTTTAAAGCTTCACTTCTGAGAGGTTTTCACTACATTTTGCAGTTGTTGGGACCGTCTGCAACTTTCTGGTTCATACCTACAGCAACAGGCCATGTAGGTTCAGGTTTGCAGTTCCGTACTTTTTATGACCAGGCAGATCCACGTTCAAGTAGATAACTCGTATTGATTCTGTGCTTATCCACATGTTTTTGGATGGCAATTGGAGCCGGCAAATTGCTCGCTGCAAATCCTACCGCATTTTATAACGGAGGTCCTTGATCATTTTCAGCTCTCTTGTCTTCGTAAAGGGAAGAATAGTGTCGTAAGACAAGTAGTAGGCTTACTAGAATGATTCAAAAGAATGAATCAACGACAAAGCACCAACTTGCCCTAGCATCTTTTGTTCAATAGGCACTGGCTTACCTTACCTGTTACTACGGGTATGGAATCTGAGTTTAAACCTCTGAAAGGAGAGGTTTGACGGAATGAAGTGTTTGAAAAGGTCGATGCTTACGGTAGGGAAGACAAATTTTGGGAGGACAAGTAGTTGACACAGTAGTGAAGTACAAGGTCAAATTGATCAGGATCACCCCGTTCAAAAATTTATCTGCTGCTTTTTAGTTGATCTTGTCCATTACTTAGTGCCTGGGGTGATCTCAGATGTACAAACCGTAACCGTCACGCTGAAAGGAAATACTGGGTCAGAATAAGAGCAGGAGACGACTACATGCTCTCCTTATATTTGTGGCGATCTACCCAGACGGTTGGACTCCTGAGGATAGTTGCTGATCTCATTAGATGCCACATGTATCCATTTTCTGGGCGAAAAGTCTGGTTCCTCTGGTGCCTGATCCGTGCCTGATCTGAAAAGAACTGGGATAGTTTTCAGGCTTCAAGTTCGGTCTGTTTGTGCTTAGTGCTACTATGTGGTGGTCAGCGGGATATGCGTATCTTGCTCGGGTTTTGAAGAAGATGAAGCACGCATGGTAAACGTTAACTGTCGCTTTTTTGGAGTCTGAAGCGCCACTAGGATTCTTCAAGAGAATTGCCGGAGGAGAATGTGAGAGTTCTTCGGCCTGCATTGCACTCCCCAAGATGTTACCCAAGGACTGGTGCCAAGGTGCGCTCTATAGATGGCTTGTTCTTTGCTTGCTTTCTTGTAATTTCCAGTATTGGGCTGAAAGCAGTTTTAAGTTGGGGTAACAGAAATTCCCAGTATAAATCACCTTCACCATTAGTCTCCTTAGTTCCAGTTTATCTTCCATTTGAACTCTACCTACTGATTCATTATCCTTAGTCCAAAATGGTTATTTTGTCTCAAAATGGGTTATTTGGCATTCAATGTAGAAATGTACGTGTTTTGACCAAGTGTTTGTGTCTCTCGAGCAGTTGCTCCCCTCTGACATTCTGCTTTTTTCTTTGCTCTATCATGCTTCAGGAACTATCTTGTTCGCAATACCGCTACCAACTCTTTAAGTTGTGTTTTGACTTGTTCATTATCTTATTTCCCAATGCTATTTAATCTGTCTACTTTTGCACTACTACTCCTACTACTAATCAGTCGGGATTTGGGGTCGTTGAATGAATCCACAGAAGAATGATCAATGAGAGCATTGCTCATGTTTTACAATAAGAAGTGTTTTATCGTTGTTGACAGGTAAATATCTGGTTCTACACTGCATTTGTGACGATCAAATGGGGTGCGTGCGGCCATTGCAGTGATAAGCTGAATAATCAAATCAATGTACACATTTTGGTACCACAATTTTTTGAGCTTCAATCAATGACTTCCTTCTTACCTGGCACCGTACTCGGGTATATATTTTCATGATTGGAAGAATGCTGCTTATGCGTGTGAGTTGCTTGAAGGCTTCTCCTCACCGTTTGATAGATGGATTATGGAACCTATCTATACAAGTGTCCGTGTCGGATTTATGCAGGCCTTGCCTCTTGTGTATACCGAGTAATATTTGCCAGTGTACTAGATCAGACGAGGAGACTACGGTTCCACCCAAAGAAAGTCTACTCGTGCGCTTCTGGTCTGTCAAAGCTTTGTCATGCTCTTTCTGAAGAAGTGTTGTGATTCACTGCCACTGCATATCTGGAACAAGTTTTGTTATACTTGTTCAAATATTAGAGAGAAGAGCTGAACTCATGTAGAATGCTCTAAGAAATTGACCCACCTCACTTCAGCAAAAAGAAAGTCTCCTAAAGGAAATTTACTCGACCGAGTATTCAATATTTGGAAAAGACAGGATGACCCATTATATATATGTATACGAAGATTATGAACATCTGTAGCACATGGAATTCCGATGAGTCTTACATTCGTAAACACTTGGCATCACATTGTACCTCATTGTGTTCTGAAGTGACGTCGGTTGGAGTCATTGTTGAAGGCTGTGAAGAGATCAACCTCTACTCGAGATGACATTTTTGGCTGATTATTGATGTTTGGAGCACGTGGCTGCCCCACCAGCCATTGCAATTTGATGAGTCCTCACAACCGACGGCCAGAATATTCGAAACAGAAAGACTGCACACACGTAACTTCTTGACGTCCAACTCAATACATATTTCGATGGACGATTTTTGTGTCCTCATCTGTAGACACGTTGGGAAACTTGAAAGTCATCTTTTGTGGCAGCAGTGAAGGAAAATCCTCCAAGTAAGCTATCACATCATACTTTTCCGGATGCTTTGCACTCGAGTGGTCGCATTTCACGAACACTCAGAAAAGCTACTTCCATCTTCATTCCGCCGTGTCCTGTCTGAGAGATATTCATGTTGCTAATCGGTGGATTGTAGCTCCGGTTTCGTTCGGCGAGCAGGAAAGATCTCGACTTTTAACTTTGGCAAGCTACGGTAGAGGTGAAAGGCCACGCTAACCACCCAAAAACTTACCTCTCCTGACAAGCTTCGGCACCCGGCGGAAGGCCTAGGCTGAATTTAGCAAACCTGTCGACAACTCCGTTCATCGACATCCAGTTCCGGCGATTCGAGCCCTCGGATCCAAGACGGAGATATTCCCGGCACCGTGCCAATCAGATCTCCCGATCGGCGAAAGGGCGGCGGAGCGATAAGCTCCCATTGACCAATCACAAGCCAGATATGAATCTGTAAGGTCTTAGTCACCGAGACAGCAAGAATCTCTGCGGCTGACGTGGCCGGCCCCCTTTGACCACCCTGGCAAAGATCTTCCCAGTCCAGCCAAACCCCGGACCGCCAAATTGCCTCTGGAGCCAGCAGCAACCAACGCGCGGTAAAACCCGCGGCGAACCGGAGTTAACTCCGGTAACAATATCCACAAACCTGCGAACGAGGAAGTCTCGTGGGCCAATGAAGAGACTGAGAGGCGCTTGGAGTAAAACCGGGCTAGCAAATCACAGCCTAGAGCCCGAATGGCAGGGACTGCTGGAGAAAAGACTCTGACCGATGGACAAAGGGAATACTCGGACAGTTTTGAAAAACCCCGGAAGATAAAAGATTCCTGGATTGCAGATACGATTGCAAGGCGAAAGGGGTTGGCCGCGGGGAGGGCGCGTGGGGGGAGTGTGCGACGGGCCGAGCTCTCGAGGACTCTCGAGGACTCAGACTGAAACACTGAGAGACTGAGAGAGCTGTGGAGGCGCAATCGCTTCGCAGCCGAGAGCTCGTTCGATTTCCCAGATCGCGGTCTCGCTCCGTCCTTTCTCCGGCTCGTGCCCGCGCGCGCATTCATTCAGTCTCTAAGCGCTTTTCATTCGGAAATTCTGAGTCCGATTTCGGACTGGCAGCTCAATTCTGGTGCTTTTTTTTTTCTCTCTCTTCTCTCCTCTCCTCTTCTGCCTGCCTTCCTCGTGGAGGCGATGGCGGGGAGTGGAGCATTGCTCGTGGAGTCTTTTTGAGTATGGCATTGGCCCGGTGGTGAAGAAGGGAGGGAGGGAGGGCGGCGAGGAAGGGTGGTGTTGGTTCGTGCTGCGTTGAAGTGTAGGTGAATGGCTATGGCAGGAGTGGCGGGGTTTCAGGTGGTGATTCATAAGAAGCAGCTGTTCTCGACGGCGTGGAAATTGGACGTGCAGGAGAGGCTGTGGGGAAGAGGGGGCAAGTGTGATGGGAATGTGCATTATTCTAGACAGTTGGGGCCTAGGGCAGCTTCGTCGGCCATCAAAGCTGGCGCTGAGGGATCCAATGGGAGTAAGAAGGCTGCTTCTAAGAAAGGATCGTCCAAGGCTGGACGAGGAGAGCCCGTGATGGCGTTCAGAGATCAGGTTGCCGTTTGTGCTCTGGCCTCTGCCACTTTGGACCGTGCTGCGGTTTCTTCTCCTCCCAGAGGTAGCATTGTGTTGGATGAAGGTGCGAGAGTGGCCGCCCCAGGGCGGGAATTGTCTCCAGCAGGAGATGCCGCCACTTCTCTCGAGCGTTCCCGCTTAGAATCGCAGTGGTCATTGTTCCTCAGTGATGCGGTCGACAGACCCCTCCCTAATTTAGAGGGTATGGGAGAGGATTTCGGCGAGGAGGTAGTTGATGTACAGGAGGAGGACTCAGCTAATGGTTTGAGTGACGGGTTGAAGGCTGTCAAGGTGATCAGCTCCGGAAGGCCGTCTGCTCGTTTACGACGCCTCGAAGCGAGGCAGAGGAGGTTGTCCGGCGTAGAGAAGCCGTCGCCCATGGAAGCATTTATGATTCACCCGCTGAGGAAAACTGAAAGTAGCAGTAAAGCCGATAAGGCGAAGAAACCAGAGGGTGTGCAAGATTATCTCTCTACATATTTGCGGGACATCACTAAAATTGATAGACTGACGGCCGAAGAAGAGATTATGCTCTCTAAGAAGATCAGGACGGGCTACATCCTGAAGGAGGAGAGGAAGAAGTATGATTCTTAGATTCCCATGCAATTATCTGTGAGATTTGCCAGCTGAATTATGTGTTGGCCAGTGCATAGTCACTTTGTTCTCGAAATTTTGAAGGACTGACCAATGGCCACTCGCAGGTTCGAAAGGGCCCTTGGACACCCTATCACCAAGGATCAATGGGCTGGTCACATGCATATGGCTGTCGGAGACTTAGATGCTCAGTTGCACGAAGCCGAGCTTGCTAGGGACAGGATGGTGATGGCAAATCTGAGACTGGTTGTTTCCGTTGTGAAGCAGTATAATTGTGAAGGACTTGAAGTACCTGACTTGATCCAGGTTCGTCAAACCTTCTCTTGGTCTTTGCCTCTAGTCTGATGAACCTTTAGTACTTTACCTCTGCCAAGCCAAAGTATGACAATTCTTCATAGGGGGAAGTTAGAACTAGTGTCGTTGAACTTTCCGTCAGTGGTTTCTTGGTCCTTGTGCGATTTTTTTGATTTGGTCTATTGGATTTACAGACTCGAAAGTCTCTGACACTGGAACAAATGTTGGTATGCATATGATTCTCAGGAGGGATCAATTGGACTCTTAAAAGGAGTCGAGAAGTTTGATCACACTCGAGGCTATAAGCTGTCCACCTATGTCCACTGGTGGATCCGTCAGGTACTTCAATTGGCCCTTTCGACTTCGAAAATACCGACTTGCATTATGCGTTGAATCAGTGGAGTATTTAACGAGTATTCGCTGGTATATTTGCAGGGTGTCACAAGAGCGATCGCCGATCATTCTCGGACCGTCAGGCTCCCTGTTCATGTACATGATACCCTGGGCCGAATTCGTCGAACAAGAGCTAGAATGCTCCAAGATGGAGCTCCTGCAACTGTACAGGTGAAGATTCTGTCCTGTTACTGCCACTATGCAGTTCGGGAGTTGTTAAATATTACCCTTGTTGTGTATTCCAACAATCATTACTCCTCGAAGAAATATTTACTTGACTTGGAAGTCGGTTGTTGTCCGATCCTCGTGTTTAACTTCTGTCTTTTGAAAAAAGTTCTTCACCTTAAGTATTCTCATTTAGTATTACTAAGAAACTCTAGCACTCATTTCACCTGTTGTGGGTTTCTTTGTGTTCAGACACTGTCGAAGGCCCTCAATCTTTCCGACAATCAAGTCAAGAATGCTTTGAAGGTAGTTCCAAATTGCCTTTCATCCTTACGTACGGCCCATTTACGTCGTTTGACACCATAAATTTTTGCAGGCGGCGATGCTCAATCGAAGCTGATCATTTTTTATGATGCAGGTTCCTAAGAAGCTTAAGTCACTCGATATGCAAGTGGGTCACCAAAAGAGCGTTCTTACTGGAGACACTGAGACGTTTCATAGTGTGAGTTGTTAATCTCGTCCTCTCGATCCGTTGCTGCCAAATTCTACTTGAGCTTTTTATTTTTCGTTGGGAACGATTGTGAGTAGCAGATATGTGCAGTAAGCTTGGCTCTGTATAGCAGAAACGAGGAGGTTCTTTTCCCTGAATCAGTTTCTATTTTTGCAGCTGGTTGCTGATCAAGATTCCGAGAATCATCCTTGGGCCGTCGTGGAGAAGGCACATATGAAGGTATTGTTTGTTGGTTCGTATATTTCGATATCTAAAACATGGGAAGTTTTCTAGCATTTGCCGATGAAATATGTTTCGGCATGTGTATATGGCTTTCTGACTGACCTCCGTTATATTATCACCTCTACAGGAGGACGTCGATAAGATGCTAAACACTCAGCTCGGATCAAGGGAAAGGGAAATCATTAAAATGCACTATGGAGTTGACTCTGTGGATGGATATCCAATGTCATTAGAAAGCATCAGCCACAGGTAAACTCCAGACCTGTTGAAGAGTGCCGATCTATATAAGCATGGTATAAACTCATGTTTTCTCAGATACATTATCGTTTGGACAGAATACGAATACATTGCGGAGGCCTTCTTCGTTCCTTCATGCCTTATTATTCACACTAGACAGAACTGAAAGCCCCGGAGTCAGATTGTAATAAATTGTGATGCTTTTCAGGTACGGTGTTTCAAGAGAACGGGTTAGACAGTTGGAGCGAGCAGCCAAGCGGAAGCTGCAAACGACAAACCAAGGGTTAGATAAGTATTGTTGCATGTCAATATAGAGCAACTGTACAATATGTCAATTTATACGGTCGATCAGTGTCAGCCTATGTCATCTCGAGTAGGTTGACGGTGTAAAGAACCAATTTGATGTCAGCAGATGCAGCTACTGATCAGAGGATAACGCAGTTGCAGTTGTGGTGTTATGAAGATGTCATCGAGGTGTGTACTTTATGTTAATATGATTGCTAGTTATGTTCAGGTGAATTCCTTGGCATTGAGATTCGCAACGTTCAATTCAGCACCTTCACTGTCCAGTTAGTGGAAGTGTGGTTTCGGCCTAAGTGCCTGATAGAGCAATATCTCTTTTTTACTTGGCACTTGGAATGACTGCTGAAACTAAATTGCCCACCTGTTTTCCATCGCCTGTTTGCTAATACGACCAATTTGATTATATGGAATCTACGGATCAATTGTCAATAATCTCCAAAACCGAATGGGTGTTTTGGGTTTGTAAATGTTTGTGTCGTGTAATCTTCCGAGTATGATCACCCTGCGATTGTTTGCTTGTGGCTCGTAGTCTCCTGTGTACCTTTTTGCGATTACCCAGATAATAGGAGAATCATGGAATAAAAGCGCGACGCAACGAAATCGACTAAGGAAATTTGCTAAGCAGGCTAGAAATACCAACCCGGGGTTCAAAAGAAGAGGACCGAGGTAATCTCTCTGCCCTAAAAGTACAGTACTACATTTTACTCTGTAGTCAATAACACTTGGCAGAATGTTGAAACCTGAGGGCGGCAAACGAAACGGCGGCTTGCGAAGGTCATCCCGAGTGCGCAAGCTTAGTCGAGGCTTACGCAAGAATCTCAGACTAGTATTTCGCCGTACCCAACGCGTAATGCATGGATATGTATGGAATGCTCCTTCCAATATTGCTCTCGGGTGTTCACACGAGAGCAATATTCTCTTCTAGTTAACCACGAGGGGATTGCCTCTGTCCTATGAAATGGGCTGAACCTCGTGTCACCGTCATGCCGGACGTCCCGGGGACGAATCCGGCATGCACCTGGAACGCTTTGAGGATCATGAATCGTCGGTCACTTTCACAGTTAGCTGTCGAGTTGATGATACGGTGAAGGGTCAATCCCAGTAGACATCCAAGTCTCTGAGACCGGGTTTTCTCTCAACTGCACGGTCGCTTTGTAATCTAATGTATGACACGTATTGAAAGCAATTAGGTGGAGTTATGTTTAAGTACTGTATCTTTCGTGGGCGATGGATTCATCAACAGAAAGTACCGTTCACTTATAACACTTTCGAGTTCCGGGGCATGAATGTTAATCTCTCAGAACTCCTCAAGATTAATGTCGGGCATGAACTCTATTGAGTTGCTTAAATCTTTTGACTCAATCAAAACCAAGGGCAACTCAAGAGAGTTCCCCTTGCTTCTGCTTGAGTCAAATTTTTTGACGAGTAATAAAAGTTTGTATGTAACTTGCTGAATAAAACTATCTTACATGCAGTGGTCTGCATAATATTGTACAATCTGAACACAATATTCGCCATGCACAATGATTCTCCACAACTCAGAGCCAATAATAAAAGAAATTGGAAACTTAGAAAATGTCAAAGCTTGCAATCTCAGGTTCCACTTCTATGCAAGGCCAATTTCTTGATTTCAAAACCCTGAACACTTTAAACGTACAAAAATAAAAGATCTGGGCTGTTAGTTTTTTCTGACCGAAATTGGAGAAACAAAATGGAGAACACTAGCTTTCTGGAAATAATTAAAAAGAGGGAAATTTCATCACGCTGGAAATGGAGGTATAACTATTCCGCCTTAAGCCAACAGCATAGAATTATCTTTCTATAGAAGTCAATTAAATTTTACAACTGTAGAAACAAAAGTGTTTCCTTGTTTTATTAAAAGGTTCTTCTTCTGCACCCTTCATCAGAAGACGAAGATTTGAGAAGCATATCATATTCTTGTAAACGATTGTTTCGTTGGCTCAATGATTTCAAGGTTTAAATACTTGAGGAATTACGTTCCCTCGGGCCTTTAACAATTTAATGTTTTATTCTTGTTTCTTACCATTCTATTTGCGTGTTTCCTAGCTGGCAACGGTAAGAACTACTCGGCCACAATGTTCGGCGGTACCGGTTATCCCGAGACTTTGAACGACAAGCAGTAACGTCAATTATTGATTTTGGTGAGTACCAAAGACAGGAGATAGAGAAATGTGAAGACGAAATCTATCCGTCGCTTCGATCGATCAATTAATGTCGTGTGAGCGAAGAGACGATGCCCTGCCAAAAAACTTAGGCGATGCAAAATTTGTACCTCTGGATCGTTTTCGCGCTAGTACTGGCTTTTTTGGAGAGAGATGTGGACGGCTATTCGATCTCCCGATCGGTCCAGCAAGAACGGAACTCGTACAATGGGGCAATGGAAGTGACGACTAGAAACGGACCTGGTCGATGAGCTCTCAGGAGTCAGTGTATAAAGGCACTAGGAATATGGCAACACTCTCAGTGCTCTTGCTCTTCTTCAGAAGCAGCACTCCAGACTGATCGGTGAAGAAGATCTCGATCGAGATGTCATATTGTAGTTGGTGGACATCAGATCAGATCAGACCCAAAATCCAAGGCTCGATGTTCGCAATCTCTACAGCAATCGTTGCTTCCGTAGTTCTCCCTGTCCTGCAAAAAAGTGCTCGAAAACTAAACTGTCCAGGCGCTTCAAGCTCAGGCGTCGAGTTTCGGTTCGACTCCCGTCTGTTACAACTCACTTCAAACATTCAAATCGGACGGTTCAGGGAGGCTGGCTAATCAGTCTCGCTCGTACTAAAAAATCTCGAATACGAATTCGATTAGCTCGTTGCATCGCAGATCTAGCAGGAAATACATGTAGCTCATACTCTTGGCTTCAACGGTGTTGGCGATGGTGGCCTCGAGTATGGAGGGGAGAGCCTCTTCGGGACCTGCACACGGTGAGACTCGAGAGCTCATGCCTGACTCCAAATTCGACTCGGTCGGAAGGATTCTCGAACCTCAAGTCGAGTGCCAGGAGCAGCAGGCTCTAAAGAAGGGGTGCACAATGTACCGTCGACTCCGTTGGTTTTGCCGACACACGAGTGGCTGATTAGCTGCCACCTCGTAGAGAATCTCGAATCAAATGTATCTTATTTCTCCGGGTAACCAGCGGTAACGAGGCGAAGAGGTGGACCCTCATTCGTTGGCTGGCCTCCGTAGCGTACTGCGAAAACTGCACTTCGGTAACAGTCACGGGACTTTCAATGAGGACCAGCCCAGCCCATTGCCGATCTGGTTGACTGAAGACTTTCTTGTTGACGCTAGACTTTCTGGTTTAGTGTCCACATTTTCAGTCAAGTCTTGCCACATTTCCACTGGCGCTAGCTTCATTTCACTCAAGCTGATAGTGGCTAGCTGTGGCAAGTCTCACTCACACCTGTTGAGAACTGATGCCAACTTATCAACAGATACTTTTGCAATGCGAGTCATCGTTTAGACAGCAACGCCGTGGTCATAGTAACTAGACACTTCGCTGCTTCTTGTGTCTTCAGTTTCAGTCTTCAGCATACTCCGGGATAGGGCATTAAGGCTGTCGTAGTATACTTTGGTTTCACACAATTCACGACTTCCAGTAAAGTGATGTACTGTTGTAAGGCTTCTCCGTGTTGATTTTGCCAGGGTAATGAATACTACACTTGTGTTGTTGATGGCGTGGATTAACTGCCAAGCTTCGACATTTGTGCATACATGCCTTGAGGCTACCTTATCGTGACTTTTAGCTATCTGTCCCGAAATCAATTCAGATCCGGACTCATGACGCCCGTCGAGCTAATGTGATGTCGATTGTGGGTGTCAAATGAAGTCTATATAACTTCGAGGCTCTGGGGCCTCTCACCGTATCCAGTCTTTGACGAAATACTAATAAAAAGTGATGACCATGAAGAAGAATTCCTCTCGATTGTGCTGCCATGATGGGAACGGTGTGGTCCCACACAGAAACGTGAGAACTTATCTGGAGAATTTTCAACATCAGAACTTTCAAAGAACTTTCCTGACTCGAGTTCAGACCTCGCCGGTTTCTAAAGTTCAAAAAGCAGATTTAGTGATTGGAATAGTGGACTCGAGTCCTCTAGGCAGTGCCCTTTCTCCAAGGTTTTAGGCACTAGGCATGGGTTCTTGAGAATGTTCAAGTGGCCTTCATCTACTCTAATCTACAAATAAGTCTATACTCTTAGACCAAGGCGAAAGGATTCTCCCGGAAGTACCGTCCTATTTTCAATATTCGGAAGCCGTTCCACCTCTTCCTTCGAGGCGGCTTTCTTTTAGCCGGGCCACCCCACCGGCAGAAACATCACCACCCATGCACGCATTCAGTATCTTCAGCTTAAAAAACGCATGGAGTGAACGATAGCACGAGCTTTCGTTTTATATCCTCTTGCAACACGGTAGCCACGGCGATCTTAGCCTAAAAAACACGGGTCACGATGCACCCGTGCGAAGGTAGGTCAAACTTTGAAATATGTGTCGTTAGAGTCATTGACTGACCTGCTGAATTTCTTGCTTGCGATTTCAGGCTCGTGTCGAATTTGATACAGCAATGGAGTGAAGGCGTCATTGAAGGTCGAGGTCTTATTGCAAAGCCTCGATGCAGGGTAAAATACCCTCCCATGACATCTGAACCTTCCATCGGATGTAATTTTAGTTTCAGAGGCTTGATGCGGGGTGGACACTCTGAAGCACGTGACATTTTGCGCATGGGAACGGGGGCAGAGATCGCAGGCTAAAGTGAGATGGATGAGGCAATTAAGTCGTGCATCTCGGAACAGAGTCCAGGGATAGAAACTAATGCCGCATGTTTCTTTCTTCCGTGCATTAGAATTGGCAGTGGCTCCTCCAGATCACCAAAACACGAGCAGGATATGAAGGCGAGAGAGGAGCCTCCTGAAATTGTACAAGAGAGGCACAGACAGAATGGGAACGACGACGATGAGGAGCACCACGATTTTCCATCTTCGCAGGAGCTCATTGAAGCTGCTCAGAGTGGTGATGAGGCCAGACTGGAGTCCGTGTTGGCGGCGCCTCAGGTGAATGTGAACGCAAAGGAGCCCAACTCCTCAGCTTTCACAGCTCTGCATCATGCAGCGCGAGCGAACGACGACCGAGTGCTGAAGCTGCTCCTCTCTTGTCCAGACATAGACGTCGACGCTCGAGACGGATTGAGCCGAACTCCTCTGATGCTTGCATCCGAGCTCGGTCACATTCACGCCGTGGAGCTTCTCCTGCAACAGCGAGCAGACCTGCTGATTTGTGACAAAGCAGGCTTCAATTGTCTACATCTGGCAGCTCGCGGAGGCCACTCGGATGTCATCACTCTGCTCCTCGAAGACCAAGATTTCGACGGATTCTGGAATAAAGGCGTCAATGAATCTCGCCAGGAATCGGCGGCGGCAATCACCAAGGTCAATTCCGGTAGAATCTTCTCCTTTCCTCTGTCAATCCGCCTCCAGCTCATGGAAGAGAAGACCAGCGAAGCCAAGTTCACCGCTCTGCACATGGCCGCAAAAGGTGGGCACGTCTCCATAGCAGTGCAGTTGTTGAGAGCCTACATGACATTGACGCTCAAGGGGAGCGGATTCAAGAACTACCCTCGAGACCACGACCTGATGGGCAGATTTTTGGATCACGTCAAAATCGTGGTGTCGACGATACATTCATCGGAGTCGGAAGAATGCACAGCTTCCAACAATGGCGCTTCCATCAGCCACAAACTGAAGAGCTACTGGGTCTCTCGTCCGGGAGACGAATGGCGACGAGAATTCTCGCAAATGTTGCACATCGAGCGGAACGACGTCGACCTGCGCGTGGAAAGACTCGCGCACGTCTTCGGAAGAACGATCTCGTACGCGAATTCCGCCGACAGCGCGAGGCGAACGGTCTTGCACATCGTCGCGCTCAAGGGGGCCCCGCGGCCAAGATCGGCGCGGGACGCGGCCCGGTGCACCGGCTGCGCCATCGAGCGCCTGCTGGAGCTGGGCGCGCTGAACGTGAACGTGCCGGACATCGACGGCAACACGCCCCTCCACCTGGCGGGCGAGGTCGACAACATCTGCCTCGTCCGCCACGCTCTGGACGCGGGCCTGGTCCCGAACCTCGGAGCTTCGAACTGGGACGGGCACATGCCGCTCAGATCCGCCTTCTCGCACAAGCTGCCTCTGTACAGGGCTCCCGGCAAGGCGCCGTGGACCACCGTGTCGAGCCACAATCTGCTCTGCGGCTCCTTCGGGCGGCTCCGCGGGCTCCGAGGCTGGGAGCCCGACAGCCGCTCGGTGTCGGAGCTGCTGGAGCGGGAAGTGATTGTGAGGCTCGGCGAGCTGGAGGGCCCGGATCGCGGGCTGCTGAGAGCGGGATCGGAGATGCTGTGGTCGCTGAAGGAGCTACTGGAGCGGCGTCGCATCGCGGAGGACGAGGATCGGACGCTGCGCAAAGGGCTGGAGCTGGACGACCACTACGGCGGGCTCACGCTCCTGCACTACGCCGCGTTCCGCGGCTTCCCCAAGGAGATGCAGCGGCTTCTCAAGCTGCCCAAGTTCCGGAACCTGGCCAACATGGGCTCGCACGGAACCGGACAGAGCGCGCTCCATCTGGCCGTCATCGAGGGCCAGAAGGAGGTCGTCAAGCTGCTGCTGAGCCAGCGCCGGCAGCTCAAGCTCCGGACCGCGGAAGAGGACGCGTTCGACCGGTCGCCGCTGGAGCTCGCCCGCGCCAGCCGAGCCTTCTACCAGGCCGAAGCGGCCGACGCGGCGGACGCCGAGCTCTGGAGCCGGAAGGTGGACGACCTGAAAGACATCGAGAAGATGCTCCTGGACGACGTCGACGTCCGGCAGTCGGTCCAGCGCCTGGTGAGCTTGCGCCGCGACTACGTGGCCACCACGAACGCCAACGTGGTCGGAGCCGCGCTCATCGCCTGCGTCACCTACGGCGGCTGGCTCCAGCCGCCGCTGGGCTTACAGCAGCTGAGCTTCGTCCCGGCGCAGTCGGCGACCGCGCCGGGCATCATCCCCTTGGCCTTCGCCGCCATCGAGTACGACAGCGTCCAATGCTTCTGGGTGCTCAACAGCCTCGCCTTCTTCGCGGCCGCGGCGACTGTGGTCTCTGGCGCTGGCGCGCTACTGCGGGCCGCCACAGTCACCAAAACCTCCATGTACTGCGTCGCCGACGACGTGAAGCACGTCCAAGCGTCGTTCCTGCGGACGTCGTTGCTGCTGGTGCTGGCCGTATCGTGCCTCCTGGGCGGCTTCGGGGCTGCCGGATTCGCAGTCCTGCCGCCCGTGCTCAAATATCAGGCCGCGATGATCGTCCCCATCTCGTTCGGGAGCATCCTCTGCTTGGTCTGCCTCTACGCCTTTCTCCACCGGTTCGCGCACCTTCTCCCTAGGCGGCTGCGACGGAAACTGGCCCGATGGAGGCTCGGTCCCAAGCCGCCGCCCCGACGCTCGTCGGCAGTCACGAGCAGCTACAGCTCATTCGAGCACGGCCTGTATCATAGATCGAGTTGGAGCATTCTCGGAGCTTGAGATGCTTCTCCGCAGTCCGGGTCTCTTGAATTTCGCTTGCATAGATCTATGTCGCCCGAGGTACGTGCATCGTTGAACCAGCTCAGGTTTTTGGCTTCTTCCCATTTTCAGAACTATGTGTGCTCGGAAAGTATTTGTTTGTTGTCTTCGACTCGTGAGTTTCGACGATTGTAAAGCCCGACCCAGTCAAGGACTTTGCAGAATTCTCGGGAAGGCATTCTCTCGATCGGTTCCGAATGTCCTCTCGGAATGTGCTGAGTCGAACGACCTTTGGGTTTCTCTCGGTCAGCAAACTGGCTGCTGTTCTCATGCTTGGTTCCTACTTTCTCAGATTCCTCAGATTCGGCACCTTCAGACTCTTTCATGCACGGCGGTCCCAAGATCCGTCTGGGTCCTTGCTGAATTGAGACACATAACATTCTTCACCGTCAAACTATGCGCACACAGTATGATCCGGCAGGATAAATGCTCAACTAGCGAATGTTTCCGATTGTTGTCATATGATCGCATCTGATCTCTCGATGGCCGGAACTACTACACTTACTACACTCCACTCTCGTCAGCCCGGACAACGGCCTTTGGTGCATACAGCTCATTTTGTTGTAAGTATTGTTGGTAATTGAAATTTCAGTCCAGGCGCTGGTTTATGATTCATGGCTGACGTTTACGTGCTCTGTGAATGGGAGCATTTAATGTAGTGAAGATGTGTGCGGACTATTGAAACTTCAAAACTATTCCGGAATTCTTGTAATTAAAGTACGACCTTTTTAGAACATTCATGACGACTAGAAACCAACAAGAAATGGTTACCCGACAACCCCTTGAGGCCATTTATCTTGAACTAAAATAATTTAGCTGAAAAATCTCTGATTAACTTGTGAGAGGTCTCGAGAAACTTTTTATCAAATATCTTGAAATACAGAAAACCTTGAATTTGCTCAATACATATACTTATCATACGAGCATCGAAACTGAAGAGAGGAGAGAAAACTTTAAACAGGGATGGTATGAGTAGTGTGTACGATACTTTTGTTTGCAAGATAATGTATTTTTTTTTGAACTTAACACAGCCATCATTATTTATTGCAATATGGTAGCTAAACTATGAAGAGTTTTAATTTTCTAGTGTACTGAATGGAATGTCCCACACGTCAAAATGCAAAAGTTAGTAATCTTTCCATTTCTAAAATAGTAATATAAACAATTGACCGTTCTCTTGCATCACGATAAAGATATTTTTTAACATGTCTTGCTTGTACTTTCAGTCCCAATAATGAAACCAATTGTGCAATTCATAGAAAACACGAAATTCTCTTTTATCTTTCGATGATTCATCAAGTTCAAAACTACAATTGTGATGGTATTTCTCTCTCATGGATACATCCATCAAATTTGGCAACGCTATAACGATATGTTCATAAATTTACTATATAATCCAGTAACTGATCCATGTTATTCTGATGCCTACAGTGAGAAGACAACCAACAAATTTACATTTCACATCATCACATGCTCCTTTTGTGGATACAATATAGTTAACTACTCTTGGTAAATCTCCATGGAGTGAACGTTACTTAGAATCAAACATTCAAAAAAGTATAAGATAGTATTATACTATTTTTACCATAAATAAATTATTTTGTCATATGTTTATCACTATATACAGTATAATGTAGGAAATGATACATCACCATATTTTCATAAATATTTTGGGAGTGTAGAGAAGTTGGCTAGGTATCAAGAGAACAATTTTCTCCATTGCTAACTAAGCTCAAATCTAAAACATTTGGAAATGATTAATGCAACTCCGGTCTTATAATAGGTCTTAATGTGCAATCACAACTTGAAACAACTTCATTATTAGTCAATAATATAGCTTTATTGATCAATATTCAACTAACATATTTTTTTAATTGATTATTACATCATGTATGAAAAACCATCATTATGTTCACAATGACATTCAAACATTAGTGTCAATCTAATCCTTGCACAAATGGACTTCAAATTTCATATGCTATATGTCAATTTTCATAATTTTAAACATATCAAATTTTTTATATTGATTATTACATAACGTGGTAAGAATCATCATCATGTTATCAATCACATCCAAACACTAGTGTAGATTTAATTCTTGCACAAATGGATTTCAATTTCTCATATGCTTTATTTAGTTTTTCATTAAATTAAACTAACCAATTTTTTTATATTGATTATTACATCACGTGGTAAAAATCATCATTAACTTTTCAATCACATCTAAACACAATTGTCAATCTAATTCTTGCACACTTGTATTTCAATAACATTTGCTTTAGATCATTTAACATCAAAACTAGAACTCAATAGTTCCAAAAAGAAAAAACTTACTTGATGAAACCATTGGAAGCAAAGCGCCAGTTGGTATCCACATGATTCATATTGTCGTATGGGACATCTAACGGCCTTGAAGTCCACCGACATCCATATTGTATAGTGTAGGAAAAGGTACAACAATTATTGTACCAAAGTATTTCCACAATAGTATTTTGGTCATGAAATAACATCAATCATGTTTTTACCGAGATATTTGCTTGATGGGATCCCATCAAAACATAAATTGCTTGATGTGATCCATCAAGTTTCAATTTCCCTAATATGAACCCCACGGACGGCACACCTTTGGTGAGTTCTAATAAATGTCCTAGTACGAATATGTTCTAATTCGTGTTTCTGCGATGGCTTCGACGACGTGCCACTGGAGTTTAACAAAATTTGATATGCTTTCGCCCGCAAGATTTCCTAACCCAACCAAATTTATCGAAGCTTCTGGACATTAAGGGTTGCACTCGTGTTCCAAAATCAATCTGCACAAGCACACTAAATTGGAGAAATACCTTTTGGATATGGAAACATTGAGAGTCAGTGCAATGCAACTGACATTTTACCTTCCACCTCCAGTATTTGTGAGTTATTTCGTCAAACCATCAAATTTCTGCTCTAGCAGATCTACATCACCAGACTACCACCATGAAGATTTGCGCACACATGAATTGTTGCGGACAAGTTCATCCTTGAAACAACGGTGTGTTTTTAACAGACGATTTTACGGTGACGTGGACCGTTCTGTGGGATCCCATCGGGTAGATTGAATCTTGATGGGTTCCATCAAGCAATTTACGTTTTGATGGGATCCCATCAATCAAATCTCTCTGTTTTTACCTCATCATCTCATTCTTCTTCAAAAAGTTTATTCAACAAGGACATGTTTCACGCTAAAACTATCTTACCTCCATTTTCATAGTCTTCAGTTGCTAGTGCATACCATTATGTCCAAGAGCTTTTTCTCATAATAGGAATGTTGGACATATTCAATAGCGAAACCAAACACTTAATCAATTATGAAGATAGACTTGGATTAGAACAGCTTTAGGTAGTCACATTATTCTTATAGTAACAAAGTTATTGTCTCCACCAAGGAATTTATTCCAATCACCAAGTGTCGTGAAGCACTAATCTACTACAATGAAAGCTTCCATACAGTTTGCATGATTTTTATATTTAAATGAAGGATGTTTATGCATTTTGTGAAGTCAATGAAAAGTGAAAAATTTTAACTGTTGAGACGTCTTGCCTCAATAGCTATTCAATCTAATCGTGAATATGCTCTAGCGTTATAAACGTACAATTCCTTTTAACCATAGGCTGATTAAGCTGAAGTCTAACTCACACTAGAGCTCTAATCTAAAACATGGGATATTATTTCTAATTATTCTAAATAAAGTCTTTTAATAACGACACAAGGACTTCAAAAATTGACAGATCAAAGTCAACCAACAACATTCATATGAAAGATCTTTCAGCAAGAGAACTCAGGTACTATTAACAAACTCTCTCACACTTTTCAACTCCACATCAATTTCCAACCAAAATTTCAAGGAAATTCCAACAATTTCATATAATAGAACATATAAGCATTAAAATTTGTCAGAGAAAACTTTGCATATGAAATAGATTGAGTATTTTTACTTATAGGTTTGCTTGAGTTTGAATATAGTACAACGGGACTAAGTCGGTACCAGCTGGCAGATTGATAACTACATATTGAAATCTTGGAATTCAAATTTTCATTCAATATGTTATTTATTTGTAAAATTATATTACCTATTGCAAATAGAAGTAAACAGAACAAAACTTCTGATTTTATAGTGCAATTATTTTTCCTCTCAAGATAAAATGTAAATATCATACGAAATCAACTTAGCATTCTCATGTGATTACTGTTTCATTTTTTTACAGCTCTGAGAGTTGAACATGAATTATTGATATCAATAGGTCCAACATGCTCTATATAATTGTCCTAAATCTTGTTCATAGTCATACGCTCTTCCCTATCGAAAATGTGAGAAAATGAAATTTTATAAGAAACAAGAAGTAGTCTAAGCTACAAACTACAAACTGAAAATCAATCTACAATCTACAATCTTTACAAACTGAAAGTTGAGAATTTGCTGGAAATTCAATGTTGTTTATATTCTAATTTAGTAGTACTGCGCTGAAACAAGTCTCGAGTGATCTTTACAATAAGAAATTTTGATGACGTGAAACTTACTAGAAATATATCAGATCAACAATAGATTTAGAGCAAGTACTCAAATTTTGATGAGGTGGAATTGCTTGTATAATTGCAGTGAAGCTGCTAGAATTGTATGAAATCAACAATAGATTTAAGCAAGCCCATCAAACAGTTAGCTATACAATGCGTAACGTCCATCGTATCTTAATTATGTTCCTATTCTTGAGGACATGCAGTCCATAACAGCTAACCAAATAATAAAAATGTCATGGAAACGTTGAAAATGGTAAATTTAAGATCAACTCGCGTTATTTGTCTCATCTCGTTCCATTTGATCATTGATGGATGAAGCTCGTTGTAACTTTCAAGATTGTGAGCTTGTGGTTTTATCTGAAGATTTCGTGTGGTTAGCTCTTTGTTTGTGGATCGGTACTTGGTGAATTTTGAAGTTTTAAATTCCCATTCATGAGAGTTCACGATATGTTATCATTACAATGGATTTATTTTGAGGGATTCCATAGGGTAAAATGAATCATGTAACCTCTTCATAAATACAATGCATCTCTTGCATGTGTAAAGTATGAAATTAAAGTGCACATTGACGCTATTATAACTAGTTATTATCACTTTCCATCACATAATAGTTGAAGGTATGGACAACGTAGATCTCAATTTTGAAAAACAATGGCTGCCGAGGTCAATTAAACTAATGATATAAGAGTAGACATTAAGCAATTGTATTTGTCATCCGCTATTGCTTTGGACACTCGACCATCACATTTGGGGCCATCATAAAATGTCGACAGACTGTTTAATTGAATGTAAAACCCGTGAAAGCATATTACACCGATACGGAGTACTGGCACAAGATAATTCCCGGAGTCTTAGGCCGACATTAGTTAGTTAGCGTCAAGTAGTTTCCAGCAAGTCGGCTTGCAGAATCAACTTTTAGAATATTTTCATTCTTATCTGAAGGTCAGTTCACACACCCTTCGGTGTACCCGGTCTGATTTAGTTCTGCAACGAAACTGATTGGAATTTGTCCGCTTAAATACTTATTAGTATCTTCGCAGGTAGACGGTACACGTATTGAGGATGTACTTCCAGGGTCGTTCATGCACGCTCGAAGGGTTTTGGATTTGTCACGACTCAAGCGTGATCGAGTAAGGTATTTGCTGTTGAACTGAAGTTCAAATGTTCGACAGCACATACCTTACTCGGGAGAGTAAAATCACCTCCAGGAAGCCCGATTCTTTATTTTACTGGACGTGTAAACTTCAGTGATGGTGTAATTTTTCGACCAGAATCCAGTCCCAGGGTCTTCGAGATAAGTCGTGAACTACTGCCACAAATGCACCAATGCAGGAAAGAAAGCAGCAGGTAGAAGGGGAAGACCCCATACGACATTGAATTGGTTTTGACCCACCTGTTCTCTCCACGGCTGTTTCCCTCTTCCGGCCGAATTGCCTCGTGTGAGATCGTTAGCAAAACTCAATTGCTCATTCTCCTTGATATGCCAGGCAAAATATACAGAATTCCTTTTCAATTTAGGTACCTCGGTTTCTTTTCATCTCACATACTTCCTGGTAACATGTACATGAAAGTAAACACTTGAATGTTTAAACCATTTCTTCCGTGCGAATTTAAGGTCACGACTTAAAATAATTTCCTACATGTCTCATAATTTCATAGAGCTTTGTAGCACACCGTCAATGAAACTAATATCATGTTTATCGCGAGGTTTTGACGTTTGTATCGTCTACTCCGAACTGAGTCGGACTGTGAGGGGCAGTTACCTCATGGAGGAAACATAGACTTCACCTGCTTTAGTCAGCTTTGTTGCTTTATGGGTTTTCACGTGTCGTTAAATAATTTTTTATAAGGGATTGAATTTCAATGTCTACAGTGCCAACATTGGGAATGCCGCTTCCTAGATGACAACCCTTATGTCAACTTCACATTTTAAAACACGAAAGGTGCATCCGGCACACTTCCGACTTCCAAAAAACATGTATATTTTCACGGATAAGTGTGTCATCTAGACGTACCTCTCCTCAACCAATTCGGCATGCTCCAGGCGCTCGGTGCAAAGCACTCAAAGGGGTCTAAATAATAACAAAGATGGGCAGAGCATCTTCTCTTCCAGACTTGCTGCACAATTCGACCCCTGTGAGTTCCCTCACTGTTAGACCGTAAAATGACCTCGTAATATTTGGACCCCAGACCAGTGTTATCTCTGATGTCCAGAACAAGGGGCCTGAATGTTCAGAGCTCTAAGACTCCCTTCATGAAAAATTAAGCAGACGTCGTACACGGTGAATGAAGCATTCACAACGGCGTAATACAACAACTCATTGACGACTCCGTTGTTCGACCCACCCAGGGTCAGATTAGCCGGTGGCAATTCATCTCATAGGTTTGTGGACGTACCAGTACTGTAAGCCCCGCTGTGCGAGAGGACATGTAGATCTGCTCAACTTGACAGTCGAAAGGTTCTGTTCATAAAACAAGGGGTTATACAAAGATTAAGATGAGGCATAATGATCGATGACTCCACGTGTAACGTGAGAACACAGCCTATCTGGTTACGTTTCCTTATTAGCGGCCTATTGATAGTAGTCGAACGGATAAGATTTGAACCCAGATTGACGAAACGCCTAGTCAAACACTCAACGGGCCTCCAGTGATGGCATGCTGGCTTGAAAGAACATGTCAGGTAATCCTTGTGAATGATCTCCTAAGTGTGAAGAATTCAGACGAAACATGTTTCACATTTCCACGATTGCAGGATATATATGACCGGCCTCTTCTTGCAGATCTACAAAGCAATGGATATGCATCGAGATGCAACTAGATGGGTTCAACCAACTGTTAGGTTACGAACGATCAACTTAACAACGACCACTCTCTAAACCAAATGTCCGCTTCAGAACCGGTTAAAAGGTGTGTCTCATCTTCATCTGACAAAAAATATTACTGTAATCCAAGGACTCCCCAGTTAGTAACTCTACGATTGCCACGAGAACTGTTTAATCGGCTCCAAAACAGCGCTCTTAAAGAGCATCAATAAGAACTTGCACGTCTTTCCCGTGACTAGTAATTTAAACACCATGCTTAGCGCAGTTCTCATGTGCAGCCTTTCCAGGTATGGAAAACATAGCCAGCCGGTTAGGTCGTCGGCTAGTCGGAAATACACGCATTTGCAATGATCCGTGGAACAATCATCAGAAGCATTACTGCAATTCAAAACAAAAACGAACGTTTTTTGAGTTTGGTGCCTGTTAGCATGTTGGTTACGTCCTGGTTACTTGATGAAAAAACCCTGTATTTCAACTAACACATCTGCAGTTGAGGTCGGCATAGTCAAGCAATGCCCCATACCAAGAAGGTGCTGTGCTCATTCAGCTTGCACCTACTCACCTGACACCTGGTACCATGCATTTCTCGGAGCTCACTGACTACGAACTTTTCATTCAGGACTGTTGCACAGTGGCTAGACTTTCCATTAAGAAAGTCAAAGCAATGATCACGGTTAGGACTCTTCCGTCTACGATAATCTGGATCCAACAACCAAACCATCCGAAACGAAACTCATAAAAGCTATAATCGTTTCCTCCTCAGCTGAAATAGCAAAGAAGATATGATGAAATATGAGAGCTAAAAGCCGCACAGACCACTTTGACTACATATCTGTTCTTTCTTTCTACCCACAACTGTCAGCTATCCTCCATCATCGGTTACACCATCTTCAACGTGCGGTTAATGATAAGAGCCAATAAGGAGAGTGAGCATAACCATCACAGCTTTCGGGGCTATAGCCCATGTTCCTCAACCCTGCGATCATGATCTTTCCAACTAAACTTAAAACCACTACAATACCGACCAGCAGGAGTAGGAGATATATCACATGTCGTTTACTACTTAACAAGTGACTGGTAATGTGTCGGATTTGAAGGTTGATGCTATACTATGTCAAGAGGAAATGGGGCTGGCACCTTACTGCTAAATACCAAGCAAGTTCTCGTCGTACAGTAAGATAAGCATGCGTGGTGCGTCATCGTTAGAACCTACATTAAGACAACGGCAAGATTCCTATTGAATTTGGTAGTAGTAGTTGTTGTGGAAATCTCCACACGGAGATTTCAACAACAGCAATCAAACAACGGAGCTCAAACGGATAAAACTAGGTGCCCAAGAAAATTGACTACCGAAAAGAAAGTATGGAGATGCTTAGTAAACAATCATTATAACCGCACTGCATAGCCAGCCGAAGTCAGCATTAAGAACAATTCAGGCCCGAAATGGATCTTTGGATTACATCCTGGCAAAAAAAAAAATCTGAGTCGCTTCGCACTCTATGTGAGATGATGAGAATTACGTTGAGAAGAGACAGCTTATAGTATTATCTCTATAAATATTTAAATATGATATGCTACCCATACATCATAACACTTCACTTAATCTGCAGTTGTCAGTATTTCCATCGTTCGTTTCAAAACAACAACGATGCCTGGCTATGTCATGAGAATGGAAATAAGGCATAATTAGGCGATACATTCACAAAAACAAACCCCATGATGAGTCAGCCATGAAACTCTGTTCCGAATGTGTCACAAGACCATTACTGGTCTAATATCTGATCCAAAGCATGATTAGAAAATACGACAAATGATCAGACAATAAAATCTCATGACAGAACTTGCAATCATTTGATAAGGACAGGAGCCAGATTAAGCGACCGCACTTTGAATCGGGAGTTCACGCCCTATCTGAAAGGGCAAGCATGTCTCCTCGCATTAGAACAATGCTAACCCAGGTTAATTGGACAGAATCAAATCTCAATCTTAACTACTGATTATGTGTCTGAAGTCTGCACTCCATGCATCAGTTCACATTAAGCATCACACTCAAAACTCTTGGTATCAATCACCTACTAAACTCTCAGCATGGAGAATGATGGAAAATTGTAGCACAAAGAGCTCCCTCATAATGTAGCTCAATACGGCACTGATCCTGAGATAGAAAACAGTCAGCAGATAGCCATTTAAACTAGTAGCATGCCCAAACAACGTCTTTATGCTGTCAGTCTATATCTTTCAACAAGCCTTGATGAAGTTTCTCTGCAAGTAGTGTTGGAAGCTCAGTTAGCAACCAAACAAACGCCACCACGGTAAGAGATCAAAGTCCAACAACACCAAGGTTAGGATCCACTGCAGCGGATGCACACCCGATCTCTTCTCGCCTGTCTCCACAACACCAAGTACTCCATTGTGATCGAAACCCCTGCACCGTCTTAGTTGTTGCATCTTTTAAGTCGTGGAGAAAATTTCACCCAAAACCCAATGCCCTATTATGCATAGGTCCCCAAGACCTCCTTGGGATACTCAGGGAACCATTATACGTCTCCAGGTCAGCTGACCTACAGTTACTAAGGCAACTGAGTCTTCCACTGTGATACTGGGGTGTTACTAGCTTAAATGGAATTTGACTTCTTTAGAGAGTAAGTATTTGCTGTGATAACAAACACCGATGCCAACCCTCGATTCACTGCTTTCATTTCTGCCAACCCAGAATAAACAGTATTCAACTTCCCACTTTTCAAGATGGTTGGTAACACCCGATCTACAAATGATATTACAGGGGGGAAATGCATAATTTAAAGCACCAAACTCAATTCCTCACGCAGACAACAAAGGTCATCGTTCCGTTGCCACTCACTGCTGTGTTACCGCCCCATTTCAGACATGAATCGCTCGTACTCGGACTCCACTGCATTAGTTTGCTGCCCACCGGTCCCAGAAGCTGCATTTGCAGCCCAGGGTGGCGGTACTCCACCTGCACTGGGAGGGGGTGGTGGTGGCGGAGGTGGAGGAGGAGCACTGGTTGGTGGTGGTGGTGGGGCCGCATAGTAGCCAGGATATTGAGGCATGGAAGGATAACCAGGATTTCCCATTGCAACACCGGATGCCGGTGGTCGAGTTCCAGGACTTGGTGCTGCTGCAGTTGGGACTCCGGGCATGCCAAGACCTTGTGGTCCTCCGGGGGGTCCGCCTTCCATTGATCCTGGAGGCCCGCGTGGACCTCCTGGCATACCCTGCGGAGCACCCTGATTAGGTGGTGGTCCTTGGTAGCCGTTATACGGTCCTCCATAATGAGGAGGAGGACCCCTCATCGGTCCACCTTGAGAAGGAGGTTGTGAGGGTGGCGGAGGACCGTATGGATTTGCAGGTGGAGCGGGACCAAATGGATTGTAAGGAGGTGGAACAGGCGGAGCTCCCCACGGTGGAGGAGGACCCATTCGACCAGGGGCCATACCACCTGGAGGAGGACCTCGGGGTGGTGGCTGCTGTTGTTGCTGCTGCTGTTGAGGTGGTGGAGGGTAGCCGCCACCTCCTCCCATGCCATCCATTCCTGGTAACGGTGGACCTCCAGGACCCCCGGGCGCTCCTGGAGGAGGTGGACGACCTGCGACTCTCACTGCCAAAATTTTTCCATCCAGCCGGTAACTATTCATGTGCACAACTGCCTGAGCTGCAGCAGCGGCGTCCGTATACTTGACAAATCCATATCCCTTACTGCTTCCATTGAGCCGATCTCTGATCACTTTGGCGTCTTCTACTCGACCAAATTGCGCAAACAATCGCATGAGTCCTTCGTCATCAACTGAGTTGGGCAAATAGCCTACATAAAGGTTCGAATCATCCGCGTCTTTGGTGAATTTGCTCCCAGGAGCGCCCCCGGCACCACCAGGTCCGGGCTGAAAGAATGGACTTCCGTAACCTTGTTGTTGGGGCATTCCACCTACAGGACCTGCACCTGAAGGACCCATGGGAGGCCCCATCGGCGGTCCCCCGTATCCACCTCCCATTCCACTACCTCCCATGCCTCCACCACCCATTCCGCTACCTCCTTGCATACCCATTCCTCCGCTAGACATGCTCGGTGAACCGCCCATCATAGGACCACCGCTAGCACTTACAAATCCTGGGATGCTACCCGCACTACTACCTCCTCCAGCACTTGCTCCTCCTGCAGCACCACCAGCCCATGGAGGTCCACTGCTCCCCTGTGGTCCTGGTAGAGCCAAGGTTGGGCCAGACTGCCGAACACCACCAACGTCACCAGATGCAGAACCACCTCCACTTCCAACACCACCACCGCCACCTCCTCCTCCCCCTCCTTCAGCTCCGCCGCCGCCTAGCTCCGCTAAGAAACTCTTGTATTCGTCATCCATCTTGTTCCCTTGAGCAGAGCCTTTCAAAGGACAATCTATGGTGGGATGACCACCATCACCACAAATTCGGCACGAAACATCACTCTTGAAGGTGGAGTGACGAGCAGGACAAGCATACTGCCGATGACCAGGCTCTCCACAAAGTCGGCAGTACTCGTCATCCCTTATGGTTCCGTTCAAAGCTGCCAACTCCCGCAATTGTGCTCTCTTGTGCTCATTCCTTCCTTCTTCGACGGGCACTAAAAGTTTCTCAACCATTCCAGCAGCTTTCTCCAGAGCATCTGGAGTATCGGCCTCGACGAGCACGTGCAAATCCTCGTTCTCTGAAGGATCGGGTTTCATGTCCCGCTTTTGTTGGGACCTTCCTTCCTTCACGGACCCCTTGCCCCGGATAACAATTTTGGCCCCGGTTTCCTTCTCCATCCTCTTTTGAGTGTTGCCGCGAGGACCGATAATTAGACCGATGAAATTGTATCCAGGATATTCTTTCACGGGGATGTATAGTTTCTTGTAAAGCTTTGGGGGCTTGTAATCGGCGGGCGGCTTGAAGGTTGGATTCTTCTTGATGAGCTGGGCAATAACCTCCTGTCTTTCACGAGTAAGCTTCTCCCTAGCTCGGTACTCCCGGGTGTTGATCCTGATACCCATATTGTCGTAGATAGGTTCGGGAGAAGGTGATCTATTTCCATCTCCCCTGTCGTCCAAAACCTGACCAGTTTGAAGCTTCCTGTTGATGTCCAAAAGCTTAATGTTCAGAGCTTGCAACTCAGGATCGAGGTCGACTCCGCCGGTCAACTCCCTCACGAAGTCAGGAAGTTGAATCTGACCAAGAAGAGGAGCTTTAGGTTCGTCTGATGCCCATCTGGACTTCCGCTTCTTGGCTCCACCTTCACTCTCGTTGGTTTCTCCATCACCATCAGCCTGGGGTCCCCATCGGCTTCTCCTCCTCTTTTGAGAATTCGTTTCGCCGGTACTGCTCAAGTTTTGATCACCAGTGGCACCTCCATCACCCTCTCCGTTGCCAGACCCGGAAGGCTGGTGCGACGGCGTCCCATCGGCAGTGGCTTTATTGCCTCCGTGATAAGAATCATCGTCGATAAAACCACCTCTGGCGTCATTGTAACCTCCAGTTCCATCGTATGTGAAACTCCTCGAATTCCTCTGATCGCCCTCGCTGCCTCTATCCTCTCCATGCCCACCGTGCTGAGATGAATATTGTCCTGCATAAGCGTCCCTCTCGTGCTGATACTCTGCGTCCCTTTGCTGATGGTAGCTAGGATGTCCTTGATAATTCTCGGCCTGTCCTTGCATCCAAGCCTGCCGGTGTGCTTCGACATCTCCAGACCCATGTGATAAATATTCGGCACCATGCCCGTTTTGAGCCGAGTACTCGCGACTCATGCTGTGGCCAAATCCCACTCCGTTACCTCCGTCTTGCTGCTGCTGCTGCTGCTGTTGCCATGGATGGGCTCCAGCGTGAGATGCAGGCCCTCCCACGGTTGCCTCCAGGCTTGCCAGAAAAGCTTCCGCAGCGACAGATGCCCCGCCCTGCTCCATTCCTCTTGATGACTATCTACACAAGACTCGGTCCGTGCGGTAAAGACCGATCTTGGAGCAGCAGAGATTCACCAACCGGCCGATATCCTAGTCAAAATAGTTCTTCAATCACAGTGGACAGATTTCCACTCTCGCGTCAAAATTCCCGTACTCCTCATGAGAAGTTCAAATTGTCGTTACAAAAGGTTAGGCGCCTACGCAGTCAGTCCGTACGATTCCTGCGAGACTCCTCACGTCATTAACCTCTGCTCGCCGATTACAACCAACTACCTCCCTTCTTTGGACTGCCGTGTCGCACTGTCCTGTCTCGTGCCTACTCGCAAGAACATGAGAGAAAAGTCTGTGAAGCCGGAACTTCCAAATTGCTCGATGCAGTCGAGACCAAACCTCGTCTCTCCCCTGCAGAAACAATCAACAAAGCCTGTGCACCAAAACTACAACCTGAACCAGCCTAGTCTACACATCTCCCTTCCCTCACCTTTACTTCATCATCGCCATCATCGCTGACACACCACCGACGCCAACAACAGTCAAGCCAAACTGTGAACGATCTTCGTCGGTGCAATCGACGAGAATGCACCGAGAATCGGCATAAGAGGCAGAGCGACGATGCTTCCACTGCTCTCGGACACAACAGCCTTCGCTCCGCAGGATGGGCCGAACAATCTCAAGAAAAGGCAAAACTCGCCCATTGCATACTTGCCTGTCTCGCTGCCTTCCCTCCCCTCGCTGGCCGTGCTCACTTCCTGGACGATGAAGAAGAAGAAGAAGACGAAGAAGAAGCAGACGCGCTTCCTTCGCTGGCGCTTTCGTGGTCTTTTAGGGCTAACGTCCTCGTCCTCGTCCTCTTCGCCCCTCCCTCGCGCCCTCCCTCCCGCGCTCTCTGCTCTCTGTTTCCCTCCCGCTCCCGCTCCTTCTCTGAGCAGCGGAGACCGCGCCTTTCTTTCGTTCGTTTTTTTTTAGTCTGCCGAGAAAAAAGTCAGGAGTCCCGCCGGCTACTCACCAGCAACGGAAAGATAACCGGTGCAAGAAACAGACAGGTCGGAGAGTAACGTCTACCTCGTGGATATAATCTCGAAAGTCCTGTGACGAATCACAACTGATAGTGCCGTACAGTACTGCGCTGTACACGTCGACAGTGTCGGGCTACGGAGCCCGGACGCCGGCGTTCGCTCGGAGGACTGAACGTACTGTGCAGTATGGGTTCTGTGCGTAACTGGAGCCTTTGACCGCTCGGACGCACGGCAAACTTCTCAGGCCGGCCGTGGAGCTGTCAGGTATTCTTCGAGGCAGAACGTCCTCACCTACTGCTAGCGCCGGTATGGCCACCCTCGTCGACAGGAATCGCATCCATCTCCTACGGCGGGTCTAGAACCATCGTTCACGGTCAGTTTGGCTCCTTCCGTGGGCCGGTGACAAATCTGCTCACCACCAACGACGGAACGTGTGCGTTAGGCTGATGCAATTTGCTTCATCTGTGGTCTCGAGCCACCAGCTGAACGAGCTCCAAGTTGTTCACTTGGTCAAAGTGACTCGAGTTTGGTGGGTTTATCACTGTTCTCTCATGATGAACTGGATCTAATAAGCCAAGTTTCAGTTTTAACTGCTGTCGCTGAGTTACGTACTGTATTGCGAAAAGGTGTGGTCCACACGATCGTCTCAAACGGAGGTACGGCATACGGACTCACGCACCTAAATTTGTAATTAAATATAATATAATTTGTAATAATAAATTAATCAAACGACATGGAAATTTCCACCTAGAAAATGAAAACATTTTGGTCAACAAGCATCACATGGTAATTATGTATTTTATCTTCTTGTTATTGTCGTAGTGATTGTTTAAATAATTTTTCCCAAAAATAAATTATTTTTTTTTACTAACCAAATGCACATTTGGTTTTGTAGTAGATTGAACTACAACATGCTTTTTTTTTGCGAGTGATTATATTATATTTTATTATACCGCGATGTACTTGAATTATATATATTTTATTTAAATCTATTTTTCAATAGTTGGAATTATTAATTAAGGAAAAAACTATGATTTATACTTTTCTACTTGAAAATTTTTAATAATCGATTTACAATGAAGTTAATTCATTAATAATTATTCGCAATAATATGCCAATTTTTCTTGGTTTATTTTTCTTTAAACATTTTTTTGTTTACAAAATTGAAATGTTGAATCTATAACAACATCAAATACATGAGTAATACTTCAATATTTGATACACATGATTTTTGATATGCAAGATGATAGTATTCACATATTGTTTTCAAGTCTTTACCGCATATAAGCATTAATAATTGTTACATGGTTATATTACTCATTGATTGTGTCATCAATAATCGCAAATCATCATACTTTCACCTCATATGCACATTGACAATGGTTATGTAGTTACATTATGCATTGATTGTTGTCATCAATATTGTGAAATCATTATGCTCTCATCTCATATGTGCATTTGCAATTGTTATATGGTTATATTAAGCATTGATTGTTATCATCAATATTATCAATCATCGTCAATTTTAATTGTGCAATTCATTTTAATTGCAAAATTAAGTGCAATTTAAATATGTGCAAAGTTTTAGATTTGTTCAATTTTCAACAGAACTAAGTTTTTTCTCATTGCATTTGTGAGACATATTTGCTTACTTTGTTTGAATTTTTTGATATTTTTTTTTACACATTTTACAGAAATTTCACTTCAAAATGAAATTGATAGACTTATTTTTCTTTACACATTTCACATTCATTTCATTTCAGAGTCAAAATTATAGTATTTTTGGCTAAGACACAAAATTTTGTCTATGAGAATTATGACACTTGGAAAAAGAATTTCCATTCAAATGACAAAAATTTCTTTGCATTGAAATTTAAAACATAAAAAATATACAATAGAATTTTTAATAAGTTATAGAGCATGAGCTAAGCAAATATATCTCCAAACGTATAACACTTATATTTAAGAGTGAATCTCATTCAAAGATAAAACATAAACTCTAGAAATTACAAAGATCTACATTGTCACTTTTCTTTCTTATGCAAATCTTTCAAACATATACACAAAGATAAGTTATAGCCTTCAAGTATAACTTATCTACAAGCACAAGGATTTTGATGTGTTGTTGTCAACTAATACTTAATATTACCTACCAATCACACCGATTATTGACATGACAACTATAGATGTAACTATATTTTCATTTTGAGTAAACTTTATTTTGATTTTAACTAAGTGAAGGTGGTTACAAAACTTATTACTTTCAAAACACAACACTCTCGTTGCATTTTATAAATGTACAACTTGTTAATTGCACATTAGTTCCAATTCTTGTAATATCAAAAATCCATTAGTTAGACTTGTAACAAGATTTTTAATTCATTTGTATTAGTAATATCTTTTTCATTATATCAAATCATCTATATGAGAATATTTATGTATCAAAATTATTTTTTTAATAATTTTTCTTTATCAAATTACTCATGATCAACTATGAAATTTGATAAAGGAAGTGATGTTGGTTGATTGATGAATTATTTTAGTTGTGGTATATATTCTTACAATCGTAAAATATAAAATATAAAATTTGATACTACTACAACACACAAATAGTTTTAGATAACAAAACATGATCTTTTAATTAGAAAATACATTTTTGACAAGTAACCTTGACATGTTGTTTTTGTTGATTTTGAACTATAAGCAACGTTTTTTACTAACTTTATGTATTACTTTGTGAATATAATTCTACAAAATGGTTAACTACTACTAAAACTTTGATAAAAAATTACTCTCATTTAGGAAGTTTTGTCAAACTTGAAGAAGTTATGGGATGAGTATCATAGATGAAATAAACTTGAATTTTTTTTAGATGCATTAACATAATCGTTATATGTAAATTCCACGATAGTCAAAATGGTGTGACACTTTTCTTGCTATTCTAATGAAAATGAACTCAACATATACAATATTATTTCATTTGACCTTTTCGTTTGTCCATAAGTTTGGTAGTAGAGATTTGACATTGCTAATATTGTTTTAAAAAACCAATCAAAGTTTTCAAAATAATATAATGAACGAGAAAATCTGTTAAATTTTAAAACTTTGTTGAAGCCATGATTTATAAAAATTGCATTTAGATTGAATTGATAAAGTTATAGAAAAGTTCTTGTTTTTGGTATTTGGATTGATGCGAATTATCTTATTCAATTTGTATACAAAATTCATCATTTGATGAATCATTTTTAATGAACTTTTTGATAATCCATATACAAAATTCATGACAATATTTCTATTGTTGTTTTGACTAAAATTTTGTAATTAGCCATTTCATTTTCTACTTGTTTTGTTTTGTTGACAAGCAACACAACTTCAATACTAAATCTCTTTAAACTTTCTTATTTCCGGTCAATAATAAATTTGTTGTATGTTTTACAAGGTATTATTCATTCGTACATGATCTACTATGACTATATCATGACTTTTTGATCATATAATTATGCATAATTTTTGATCGTGTGAAATTTAAATGAATCATTTGTAAAATGTCGAACCTCAATACTTTTCGACCTTCTCAAATTATAGTGCTTGAGTGATATCTTCTTACTCCATTGTGGCTTACGTCATCATGTTGTAGTGAGTTCTAAAATGCTATATAGTTGAATTGGATATCAATATGTTGTGAACTCTTTCTTGGCTTCTTATTTATTACTCGTGACCTAAATTACGTGGATTGTAACTCCATGATCTAAGTGATTCATCTTTGACTTGCCAAAATAACATTTTGAAGCTTTGATGTACATTCATTTTATCTCAAAATTTGAAATTTTTCTTGTAAATGAAATCTATAATCATTCAAAGTTTTGCTATATATCAAAATATCATACAAAAATACAATTATAAACTTGTCTAGGTATGAACAAAATATACTTTTCATCAATCCAATGAATGTAACTCATGTATTAGAAATGTCAAAAGTCATCATTAAAAACTCAAAGTGGTCATATTTAATACAAAACAATATTGTGTATAATTTCATCAACCATTCATATTTGTTTTTGGCCATTTTTTATTTCTAATTTGGTTTAGTGCAATAATTTCTTCCTTGATTGTATCAAACATATCATACATATTAAGTAATAGTAATTTGCTATTCATTGTTTGTTGACTATCTACCGTAACGGATGCATATTTTCATGGATTCATATTTCTTCTTCTAAAACTCATTAAAGCTCTACGAAATGAAACACTTAGTTTAATTAATTCTTTCTTCAATATCTACTCCATTTGAGACTTGAATTCTTTCAATTTTTTGCAAGAATGCAAAGTTGGTATAAAGTATATGGATTTTTGCAAGTTGATGTGCTTCAATGTCTCCGCTCAATTTTGTGAATGATTCTTTGATAATAATACTATAGGTTGATCATAAAAAAAACATAGTATATTCTATAAAAAATTCATTCAAGAATCTAGTATGTAAAATTGGTCAATGAATCCAATATATCTAATAAGTAGTAGAAAATATATATTTCGTCTAGAAAACAATTATCATTAAAAAGAGCTAAATTTTTTTATTAGATATATTACATTCTTTATATATATTTTAATCACTACATATTATCACTTTTCTTTTCTATTCTATACTGTTTCATTCATGATATTTTTAGTATAATTTCATATCGATCTAAGTAAATTCAATATTTTACCTATATTTATATATGGATCATTTTGTGACAATGACTCTATCATTTCATAATAATCAATAAACTTTACCATTTATTGATTTTATCAATTTTTTCTAAGTATTATTATCATGATCATAAATCACATTTACAATGATTTCCAAAGCCTTAATCTCCGGTCTCAAACTATACTAATTCAACAATCTACATGATTCGAAGTTCTAAACTCCATCTTGATAAATCTCATGGTAACAAACCTAACAATTTTATTATTTTGGGGGATTATATCACTTTAATATGTATATATAAAGACAATACTAACTGGTGTACTCATCTAATAACTAGTTACAACAAAGTAGATGTGAATACTCTATACAAGAAAAGAACTATCCATAGTTCTAACTCCCGTGGCAACCTATGGAATACAATTCTGTAATATTCCAATTTTTTCCGATGACGCAAACATACAGACTTTAGTTTAATAATATTCGTTGAGTGATAGGATGGAAAATAGATATATCTATTCTATAATTTACGCAATTATTGCAATTGTGCTTCATGCAAGGTGTCAAATCACCGACATATTGAAAAAAAAAAATCGTTTGGGAATACTGTATCTAGACTAGATTCCCTCCCTAGGTAACAGTGATATCCAGTTATAGAACATTGGGAAAATTCTAACAATGATGGAAAAGCCACGTCTCAAAACTCATTATTACGGAAACAATTAAGTAGAAAACTGGCAACAATTTCTCATGAGCAAAAACCGTAGAGCATGTACTGGTGATTATAGAGGTCAGAGGAGAATTACGTTTCGACATTTTGCAGCCAATCGTTCGGCAGTAGGTAGCTTAATCCTTCCGTAGATGGTGGCCGTCGGTGCTGCAAAGAAGTCGTTCGTATCGAGAGTAGACTAAATATCACAAATTTCGATCCTACCACCAGATTCAACAGCCAATGAAAATATGACACAGGCCTCGAGGCAGTTCCGCTCAGACAATCATTGGACGCACGAACCTCCGCTCACACCATACAACAGGAAGCTTTCCATAGTACTGAAACCTACTGTAGATTATAAGATCGTGTCCGTTACAAAAGCTCAAGGCTCTGTGGAGAGAGTGGCGTCGCCGAATAGATTTGATTGCTTCTGTCTCAAAAGTGCCTTGATAAAAATTTCTAGGTCCCCTCCCAGGACAGCATTGACATCCGTGGTTTCTACGCTAGTCCGCACATCCTTCACTAGTTTGTACGGATGGAGGACATAGTTTCTGATTTGCTGACCCCATTCTGCTTTCACGACATCGCCCTTGATTTCTCTTAGATCTGAGGCTCTCTGCTCTTCAGCTATGCAGAGCAATTTCGCCTTCAGTAGAGCCATAGCTTTAGCTTTGTTCTGCAGCTGACTCCGCTCCTCTGCGCAAGGAAGAATAGAGCAAAGAATGTCCGAGTCAATTGGTCAATTTTCGATATGGTGAATCAATATTCTTGAGAACGCAATCGGACCTTGGTCAAAGAGATCGGGAAGAACCTGTGCATCGAACGGAAATGCCGGTGGGGATGTGAGTGATCCGAACGGCGGACTCCACTTTGTTCACGTTCTGCCCCCCTGCACCACCAGCTCTCGAGGTTCCGATCTCGAGATCCGTATCAGGAATGTCAACTGTTACTGAGTCATCCTCAAAAATCGGCATTACTTCCACCCCAGCAAAGCTTGTCTGCACACAGAACACGCAACGAAATCAGCCTTGACCAACAACGGTAAACCGGCGATCGACTGTTTACACATCACCTGGATCTCTCGACATGGAGTCAAATCACGAGCAGTCTGTGACATCTAGAGTTCAAGTACAGTTCAGTAACGAGGAAGTCGGATGCGGGGGTTGGGGGGGCTGGTGGAGCGGTGCGAATGGTGGCCGCTGGCCGAGATGCAACAATTACCTGGCGAAGTCCCTTGGCGTTGAAAGGAGATTGCCTGACGAGGCGATGAGTGCCCTTCTCGCAGTTCAGATACCCATACGCATAAGGCCCATGAACCTCCAGAGTGGCGGACTTGATTCCAGCTTCCTCGCCTTGAGAAACCTCAACTACCTTTGTCTTGTATTCATTTTGATCGGCCCATCTAGTATACATGCGGAGGAGCATTTCAGCCCAATCCTGCACTGAGAAACAAAAATGTTCCATTTGGTCTCTCTTGCTTGCATGCTAAATTGCAGTCTCCCAGTAACTTGGACGTGAGATCTATGAGTAATGAATGCATGCTCATCGGAGTAAAGCATGAGATTAATTGAGTAAGTCTCCTGTGTTAGTTGAAGTCCAAAGCTTGTCCAAAGAAGAGAGAAGAAATGAGAAATGAAAAGAGCAACAGACCTGAGCATCCGTTCCGCCTGCTCCAGCTGAGATGGTCAGCCGAGCACCCTTCTTATCGTACGGCCTAGACAAAAGTTTGGTCATCTCATAACGATCTACAGCAATCCGAAGCCAACGGACTATTGAATTTAATTCCTCTAGCAATTCGGCATCACGACCGCCTGAGTCTTCTAACAGCTCAATGATCATCTGAGCATCCTCCACCTATGATCCACATTTAACACAAAGATTAGAATACAGGGATCCAGAATATGATGTGTCCTTGAAGACCAGCTTGAAGAGATAATTTTTCTGTGATCTTCACGAGAAGGTAGTCCCCATAAAACTTACTCCGGCATGGCTCGATCTGAAGGGATAGCATTTGTACAAAGCGAATATTTGAACCATGGACACCATACCCACCAAACCTCTTTAAGATACAGGGGAAATATGTATCGACAGCATGAAACTGAAATGCACCGATATAGCGCAATGTAATGCTCCGAAGCACCTTCGACTCGAAGCTCCTAAGGGTGGTGAGTTCGCTTTTTGCATCCAGAAGATTTGATAGAGTCAACTGGGCAGTGGAAGGATCGTCCCAGAGATCGCTTTGACCAGCTTCATGCTCAAGATTGGAAACGGACGCCTCTAGACCCTCCATCCCCGAAGACTGTATGATGTCTGTCACTTGAGAGGCGAATTCACTAACACTCTTCCTCAGGCTGAAAAATTCTGCGAGTTAACGAATTATGCATCTTCAGTAATTACAAGCGAGTAACTTGATGGTAATAAACCTGCTTTGACACAGCATTTGGCGGCCGACAAGGGAAATTTATTTACTCCCAACTGTCACCTTTCAGCTTGAGCCGCACTATCGGCAAGGATTAAGTTCAAAGGACTCCAGGAATTGTAATCAGTGTAAACAGAGAGTAGACAAACCTAATTCGCGCTCCGCACTGGGAGGAACGTCATTGACTGCAGCACGAATGTATACTTGTCGAGGCTTCTTCCCTCGAATCTCAGAGTATGCACGTTCAACCAGATGTTCACCTCTCACATTTTGAAGTCCCAAGGAAATTGACATTCCCAAATAAAAATGTCCATAATTGTTGATAGTCCTGCGTGAAATGCAGCCTTGTCAGAATTTGTTTTTTTTCAAGCTACCTATGCGAAGGGTCTAGAATCTGAACCTAGCGATTCACAGGCAGGAAAAAAAATCAGATGCACAACCTATCCCTGACATTGTAAATGCAAATGGACACGAACTGACGATAAGCACAATTCTTACATTGTCGCGGAAATAATCAGGAAATGCGAGATTCTAAGCAAAATGGCGGGGCTCTACTAATGCGTATGTGCTCGTGATTGAAGTTCTAGCCCATGCACAAAAAGAGGTTTTGAATTCATCCCCAGCTCTTGGATCGAATTCAAAGGGAAAATCCACATACGGGTCGAGATAGAAATGCTGCGTTCACTCACTGGGCGCGGTTCCGGGGAAGAATGCAGAATTTCTCAAAACCGAATTCAGGATTCAAATTTCCAAGTCTGGCAGCAGTAGTTGCCGCATGACCGAGCTGCATAGCTACACGAGCTCGAAGTCGCCCGAGCCCACGGCGAGTCCTGACGATTTGCACACAATTCACGCGAGAATGTGCGGCTGCAGAGATAGCAGACGAAAGGGAGGGCAAGAAAGTGCCGTGCTTTTCGATGCATGGAGTTGCTCCAGAAGAGAAGAAATTCTTGCAGCTCACGGTGCGACGTGCAGCCATAACAGCCCCCGCACTTCAGTCAGCCAGCGGTTCTCTCCGACCAAATCGACTCCATTATCCGGGTCTCGCCGAAGAGCTCTGCTCCGTCTTTAGCGTCCTCGCTACAGAGTGCGAGTCTGTACGTTGCTCTAGCCAACAAGCGGAAAGCTGCTCATGAAACGCAAGACGGAAGCAATGACGTGGCATTTCACGGTTGGAGGTATGCGGCATGTCCTTTCAACAGTCTCATTTTAAAGAGAAAGGAGAAAGGATTTGCTTCATCCATCGTCCAAAAAGACACAAGTGGATAGCAGAAATGAGGTACAATACCATCAGTTTGAAAATGAAGAAAACCGATGGGAAGCACAGTGCTAAACCCCGATTATTGTTATGATGAAAAAGAATATTAAAAATATTTCATACAACATCTACAATATCTAAATTATCTACAAATAACATTAGCATACAAGTAAACCACATGATCTATCTCTTCTGGATCGGTCAATGCAACCGATAGAAAATTGAAAGATGTTGATGAGAGTTGTTGTGTAATGTATCGAATGAAATATATTTTTTTCCTCATTATGACATATTATGATAGATTTTAGGAATCCCTCTACAAAACATGGCAAAGATTGCTTAGATAATTTTACATTTGAATGAAAAAAAAATCAACATTCATAGACCGTTACTACAACATCGTGGAAAAGCCACACCACTCGCCGTACATGGAGATGATAAAAAGCTTGAATAGAAAAAAACATAAAAGTTGAATTGGAAAGAAAAACCAGAACATCTTCCATAGCATTTGAAGATGATGTAACTCATTGTGGTTGTATTACAGTTGACAGTATGCAATTAATCCATGCTAGCCTTCATTGAAAATTTCAATCTTCGGTCACGTCATGTGTATAATACCAGAAAGTGAATGAAATAAACCTATGTTTGCAATCATTATTTGGTTAGTCTTGAGCCAAATACATATACTTTATAAAACTCATCGTAAAACTGTTGAAATTGTTGGTACATAGAATTATATTATAAAATCAACTATGGTGTTGTGAGTCATTATTTGATGTCCGTATTCTACTTTCCATCAATCGATTGGATTATAGAACTGAACATTATTTTTCTTCTCATTGTTAGAATATATTTTGTTTTTCTTCAATCATTATTTTGGTTAGTTTTGAACCAATTACATATACGTTATAAAACTCATCGTAAAACTGTTGAATTTGTTGGTACATCGAATTATATTATAATATCAACTATGGTGTTGTCCAAGGCACGAGCCCTCGTTTGTTTGTTGCAATGCAGATTCTCTTCTCGCTACAGACTCGATCGCTTGAGTCATATGGTTGGACCCATCGTCAAGGTTTCCGATTCCAACGGACGACATGAAAATACATCGTATCAGTCGCACATTGTTTGAGTATCTTTGTATACCCTTAGCGGAAAGACAAGATCTATTTTAGCGTCCAAATCTCTTAGTACGAAAGTAAGTATCTAAAATCATCTCGAATTTAATGAAAATGGATAGTATAAATTACTTAAAAAAGTATAAATTGTTCATATTATTGAATCTTTGAAATTTTTGTGTTTATTTAAATTTTGATGTTTTTTTCCGCATATAGATAAATGGACAAATGTCATATACATAATTGACCTAGATAATAATATAGGAAAAAGACAAATGTTTTACACGTCATTCGCATGAAAAGAAATTTCTTAATATGTTTTATAATTATGATCATACATGACTCATGTAACATGAGGCATTGTTAATAATGCAATTCAATTTATTGTCTACCCGTTCAGATTAGGACCGGTAACACTTAGGCCTAGGAAAGCGCCCGACGTGAGTCCAATATATATTGACACTCCGGCACCGAGACTTCTCAGTCATCTACCGGGGAATCGAGATGTATCAGAGTTTTAGTGGTCCTCACACCTGTTGAGGGAATGTGTCGTACCGATTAGGGTTTCACTTCATGGTTTCTCTGCAGGGCGAGCACTGCCGAAATCGATTGTGGATCCGAATCTGTATCCATGTCGCGTTCAGTTGTGCCCTCCTGTAGATCCTTAACATCTTGGAGACAGATTGACGGCGGCTGTGTAGCGAGCATCAAACTGGATACATAGTTGCCGTGCGAGTGTGACAGACGATCCATGGCTTCCACGCCGAGGCTTCAGTGTCCAGCCGATGGCACTTTGTTTTTATTGCTCTTCTTTCTGTCAAAGTTGTTTCGGAGGCGAGTGGTGACATATGGCACACAGCACGTATTGAAATCCTTGGTTGACAAGGTGTTTATTTGGACCCGGTATGCAATTCGGGCACGCCAACCTGCCACGGACAAGGTAGCTCTGCGTTAACCTTGAGCCGTCCAGGGTTTGCGAAGAAAAAACCTTTCATTTCTCGATAGGAAGCTACTGGTGAGGCTACGCCAATCGCCTGTGGTGCCATTTAGGGTGATTACATTCTCTTGTCAATTCCAGCTGTACACTGTGCTATTTGCTTATAACCCGACTCTTTCTTTCTCAGCTTGTAGGTAGAGTAAAGTCCTCAGGGTAAGTATCTGATGTAGGTCATGTAATTCGTTTCGGTAGCAGTACCTAACGCATGGATTGGATCGAAGCCCCTGGATGTAATCAAACCCATAGGAAGAGCCGTATGACGACTCAAGTCACTAGCATAGTATCTGTATCGCTGACTTCTCCGTGTGCTCTCCGTCCTGTGTTTCCTCTGGCTGACTGGACACAGACAAGTCTGTGTTGTCTTAGTCGCTGGAAGAAGTGCTGACCAGATTGAGCTACGAAGAAGAACGTGTCGGACAGGTCGCTAGTGATGAATGATTTTAGAATGGGTTCTGAGGGCTAATTGCAAAAGTACAATGCAGTGATGAAAAACAAGTGTTTCGGACTAGAGTTTCTGATCTGGTTTACCAGGCTGATGAGAAACCTCTTGGCTGGCTGAGCATCATTATTTAGCACATCTTTGAGGCCTAGGATTAAACTGCAATTAAAATAACACCATCTTTCGGGGCGTAATGCCGAAAGGCTTGACGATGATTGCTAATATGACGGCCTCTTGTCAACACTTATTACCCTGGACAAAAAAGCAGGGATGTGCGATTCTCATGAGCAACTCCCTCGTCAGCTTCAGGAATAACAAAGGTGCCACTAATGGGTGAGCTGATGTGTGGTTTGAAAAGGCCCTATCGCTAACAGTTCAATCAGTGGTTCCATATCACACCTCTTAGGAGCTGAACATCTCGAAAAAATATCAAATCATTCATTCCTGGTCAAAACCTTGTACTCATTACTCGAAAATTTGATGGAGTGAGAAGAAGGAACCAATGGGGAAGGGAAGTCTACCTACATCTTTTCTGCGAAAGAAACGAGCATACCACCCACCAGGGCTTGCTGGATACATCTGCAACTCGTTGGCAGCTTTATATGCTTTTGCGTTTTCTGTTTCTATAGAAACAGAAACGCGGATGTAGATTATTTTAAAAACTGGGTTCTATCTCGGAAAAAAACGGGAATGTCGATAGTAGGCAAGGTACGAGGATAGTACATATCTAACAGGTGTCCGGTGACGATAGTGAATTAGCAACCCGTCTTCCTGGTGCTCTCTATCCTCGAAAATCACATAATATTCCTGAATATTTAAATCTTGCCGAAGGGGCAGACCATGGGACAGGTACATCACGAAACTCACCACGTTCTGCCCTAACACACGATGAGATTTTCACAACATTACACACTCACTGTAGTTGACTATATATGGCAAAAGCGAAGACGGGTCTTGGCTAAATTAGTTCGTTCACGACACTAAGAAAATTTAAACGTCAAATGCACCGAAGTGGCATGTCAATAGTTGCACTGCAACATTCCACTCAAAGCAAGCTTCTATGCGACTTTGAGAACTAACGTGCAAATCACCTGGGGCAATGAGAGAAAAGATGAAAATCATGTTGAGATAAGTAATATTTCGATATAACAAAAGCCTAGAATCAGATATATTAATCGAATGGAACGTCAAGATTACCCGACAAGATAGTAGGTGAACTGAAATGTAGTAAGTGGAGGAAATTAAACTCCTGAGAGACAATGTATACTCACATGCCTGTGTTGCATACTCCAAAGATTGGATCAGGTAACCAGCTTGGTCGATTGATCTTACTTTTGTGTCGCTATATGAAGAAAACCAAATAATCGTAACATCTATGTACCGAAGGTTTCTAATAATATCTTTATCCTTAAAAATCCCGTGGCATATGACTGTACTGCTCCAAAGATTGAATCAGTCCCTCCAATTGGATCAATAATTCTACCTTAAACAAAACACCTTATAATTGGAGCACCTTCATATCAAAGGTTTCAAATAGTATCTTTATCCTTAAAAATCCCGTGGCATATGACTGTACTGCTCCAAAGATTGAATCAGTCACTCCAATTGGATCAATAATTCTACCTTACACGAAAAACCTTATAATTGGAGCACCTTCATATCAAAGGTTTCAAATAGTATCTTTACCCGTAGAAATTCTGTGGCATATGATTGAGTTGCTCCCAAGATTGCATCAGGTACGCCAATTGGATCAATCGTTCTCTGCAAGATAAGGATTCCGAAAGACTCAATGGGTTCATTAAAGCAACTTATTTACTAACCAAGGTTTTTAATATCATTGGACTCACTTCATAAATTTTAACAACAAATATATATTCGTATGCTTAAGAATCTCTTAGCACATTCGCTGTAAATTGATAGCATACCGTAGTAGTCTCGTTTGCAGACTCAAAAAAGATCATTCACTATCCACCATTACACGTGTGGATGACGAATGCCCTGACGTTCACAAGAAAGTTCAACATGTACCAGAAGAATTGAGAGCTGGCAGAGATTGCACTCGTACAAGAACTAGAAGTAACTTATACCGCGTACATCAAACGGATTGGATCAGAGTAAAAAATGCCCATCTGAAGCTCCTAGCTTTGGTCTTGGCATGGTCCTCTACACTAAATCCAGACCAGTATAAGAACATATATACGGCTTCTGTAATTTGCAACAAATATTTTCAAACCACATCATGTCGCGCATGTAGTAAAATGAACAACGCATGCAGGAAAATGAACAAGGTATGTTTCTTAACAAACCAATAGAAAAACTGAAGATTTAAAACAAATTAAATATTGTATGAAATACAAATGCACTTTAGGAAATAAATACGACGCACAGAACAATGAACCTTTTTTGTCATAACCCGCTACGAGAGATTCTCAAGTCGGAACTTGGCAACTTCAGTCCACTTCACAGGAGCAAGACAGCGTGTTTGCTTACATTGACAGTATGGGGTGTTATGACGTGCGTGCTCGATGACAGTGTGAAGGTGGATTAGTTCCGACGGTAGTCTGCATTAGACATTCTTCGTTTGGGTAGGGCTTTGGTTCGTATCTCTGGACTCGACCATCATCATCGGCGAATTCGGGCCAGTTATCTGGAAGATTCTGTGCTTTGGCCTGCAGACTGACGATATGCATCGAAAACGTGCGTTGAAGCTCTTGAAGTGTCTCACAGCAGTCTTGTAGGTGGCGATTTTGCTGCATCATGACACCGTGCTAAACCGTGCTAAGCGCCGGTGGATCTCACCGGTATCCGCTCCCTTCCTGAAGAGGGGTGCCGCATTTTGTCGTCTCTCTGTGTGGTGGTCTTCCCCAAACACCGATCAAGTTGCACAAGAATTCGACCGCGTTTACTGTCTCAAAGCTGCGGCAGTTCTCCGCCCGGTGTCGACTGGATACATGATTGTGATTCAATCCAGTTCTATCATCTCAATTACAACTAGGTCGAGACGGGGTTGTCGTCGACATGTCATCGTACTGCGGGATGAATGTGAACGTTCCTAGATGGTACGTCGAACTGCTGCTGGCGAATTGTGGATAAATGTGTTGCAGGCATGATCTCTAGCGAATGCTGATGTTAGTGGACAGTCGTTTAGTTCGGGTCCACATATCAACAACATGCTCCAGTTAGAATTGACATCGGGTAAGTTTCTGTCTGTATATAGTGTATCTCCAGGGAATTTTGATTGAGATCAATATTGCCTCGAGTTCCCAGTTCCTCGAGTTGCATAGTCGGAAATAATTAACTTAAAATAATAGACTAAAAGATTTCTATTTGTTGGAGATCAGCACTATTTGTGGATAAATACATAATTTCCGTATATTGATATTGTGACTTGTTACAAATGCTACAAGTGGATTGACCTGGAATACATGAATAATTTATTTGAATCTATGTTTAATCATTTAATCTCATTTGTGTGAATGTATTATTTTTCTAAATTTCACAAACATTACATGAGATTTATTTTTAAATATTTTATGGAACAATCATATTAACAAATAAATAAATTCCCATCCAAACATATGAACCAATCTTTTTTTTGTTGAACGCTAACTAATTCTAAATTAATTTTAGTTAGTTTAATTTTTGATTTGTTAGATTATACTAGCTTTTGCTCTTTAAAAAACTGCTTATAAGTTGTGTCAAACATATTACATTCAAGCTATAAAAAATAACAAAACATAGGTTTTTTTTAAACTCTTGTCAATGTATTGCATACTTTAATGTGCTAATTTTGTTGCATGATTGAGTTGATTAAAGTTTATGATTTGAAATTAAGGAGTAATAATATGAAATTTTTTTATATGAAAATTTTGAACTTAGAATCTAATTTTTCCTTAATTCAAAAGGTAAATGTTTTATTTTTTAAAATAAATATAATTATAACTGACTTAGCTTCTATGGAAGAACAAAATTCTTGAAATAAAGATATAAAACATCTGATTTCATTTATGCAGATTATGTCTTGATAGTCATGATATTATATGACTTAGTAAACATGTTTATTTTAATACTTGTGTTAAGTAACAAAAATTATATAAGATTGTTTAAATTGAACATCAAAGTTAATTTGATGAAGTTGAAATGCAAAATACTAAATGATCATTTGAAATTTCAAAACATAAAAAAGTCACATTGGCAAAATGCTGATATGAAGTATCAAAATAAAAAATACAAAAAGCTTCAAAAATGAATGGTTGAAATGTAATTAAAAATGCGGAAATAAAATTGCTAAGAAAATCGTTGCTACAGATTTTTGAAATTAAAATAGAATACTTTCAAAACATCTAAGTTGAAATGCCTGTACAAATCTACATAATCAGAATGTTGATGCAAATTGTCAAAATCCAAAAAAATGAAAATATCAAAATGCAAAAATTTAAAAAACAGTGAAAATGTAAAAAAATATCAAAACTAAATTGTCAAAGTGAAGAAAGCAATTGGAAAAAAACAAAATTTATTTTATAGACTAGTTGTATACACAAAAATTTATGAAAATAATATGTTGAATTTTTTATACAAACTATGACCAAATATCAAATATCATCATACATTTTTTATAATCATAAAATAATAATATATTTCCTAACTAAATCAAGATGAAAAAATAAATCAATAGATTTTAAAAAATAAAATTATTGAATGTAAATCGAATGTTAAAAATTTGATAAAATAATAAAATAATCGGATAATTGAATGTAAATAATGTTGCGAATACATAGAATTTCGCAACATAATATAGATTCATGGTAAACAAAATGTTGTAACTCAAAAAATTTGTATAAAGTCACATGACTGAAGTCACAGATGAAAAAACTAGAGAAACCACATATTTCATTCATTTTGCTTAATGAGGTTCAAAAATATATTTACACTACCAACTCCAACTTAAGAATGACAGAAAGGTCGAAGAGAAATTTCGTAAACATGTGGAATGACTGACCTGTAACATAAAGATTACAATGTCGATGTCCAATAAGTCACAAACATTTCGGAGCATTACAAAATAAATAACACTTGTACATAAGTGATGTGATAATACATATGAATGTATGCTGCATATTACTCGTAAAATTACACCCTTTGTGCAGCATGTTGAAACTTAATCAAACTTGAACTCATATATTCGGGTTGAAAAGCAGGAGAGAATGAGCAATCACACTTACTTAAGAAATGTGCCCACTCTAATTGTAACGCATCACTCTTAGGCTCAAGTTTACGTCAAAATTAGGGAAGCATGCGAGACACGGAGGGAAAGATTCATAACTGTAGATACTGCGGATCGATACAATACTTTATAGTAGCACAGGGCGTATTCTTCCAGGCCAGTTGTTCTTGTACCAGAGGGCGAATCTCAGAGAGGCCGGTCGTCAATTTGGAACAGCAGGTGGTTGCATGATAATCCGCTGCCTTTCTTGATCTTTCTTGATCGACTGCGCTCTCAGCACTTCGCACTTCGCATTGTCGAACATCGGATTCGTCGAATCCTGCGATTCGAACGGAGTCGGTCTCGTGGAACCGATAGTCATGCTTCACATGAAAGCCCGTCATTTTCGCGCATTTCTCTTACGGTAGTCAATATAAGGAGATCGTATCTCCGACTTCGATAAGGGTCGATTTCGCGGTCTGCGATCTCTAGAGCCTCACCAGCATCGCTGCCTGAGAGGTCCATCGACACCCTGATATCGGGTGCACCTTCAGAAAACAGATCATTTCGACAATCAGAGTTCTTTTCAAACGCAATATTTCAATTCAAGGAATCAGATATTGATTTGTTGCCAAGAGTTCACCTCGTGCACATTCTGTGCTTGACATTCGTCAGGTTTTTGTGAAAGCTACATACTTTTCGCTACTTGAGAGCGGTTGACTGTATATTTCGAATCATGAGGGCCGTAGTGGCCTGGACCGATCATGTGGTACATGACAAACGACATTCATGCTGCATGATGCTCGGTCTTTGAAGTTTTTCCTCTCTACATAGAACACGAGTTTCGATTGATTATTAGATATGCACATCACAGCCAGCCGTGAGGTAGCTCGTAATGTCCGATCTTATGCTTGGATTTGCTGCCGGAAAAATATGCGTAAGCTCGCAAGGATGCTTTCTGGATGTTAGTACACTGGAGAAAGGCTGGCCTCTGTTATGTAGGCCCGTTTTAAGTACAGTTCTCCCCAGCAAAATTGATTGAAGATTTTAGTACATTTTATTGATTGTTCAAAGTAAACAGATGTTATTGATAATGGTACTCTTCTTGAGCGTTCGCCACTTGCCCCTTTAGTTCTTACGTCATAATTTCAGGCGATCTCCTCTAAAACTTGAGACTCCTGCTCAAAAAATCCAGGCCTGAGGCCTCCAAGACTCAAGGCTTGTTAGATAAGCCGTTGACGGTTAACGGCGTCACACGCACTGGTGGGAGTGTTAGTCTATTTCTTCCAAGAATTGTCATATGACCTGATTCAAGTTTTCTGATCCTATTTCTGATTTCATCTATCAGCCAGAACACGACGGGATCAAGAGCATATGTCACGCCTTAGCATTCAGACCAGGTTACACTTTGTACTCTGAGCTCGTTCCTGCAAGAATGACACTTGGTCTCGTTGTAAATCTGAAGAGCCAATCTTGAATTTATAGGAGAAAGTCGTAAACTTAAATTTTCACACTTCGCCGTAGGAAACTATCACGAGGATCATCCTTCCAAAATCTCCACGGAGTTAACTGTCACGAATAAAGAGCATACCACTCGTCAGTAAAGAAACAGACGTCTTTCCTTAATTTTCTTTGGTTTCTCAAGCAGATGGAACCCAACTTATCGCAGCAGTTGGAAGTCGCGTGCTTATGTATGACGCAGCAGATGGCGATCTTTTGCATTCTCTTAAAGGTTGGGAAAGCGTTCCATCTCTCTTCTGCAATATGGACTAAGCTGGAAAACTGCATGCCATATTTAGTTTTGTTACTCTGCCCTCAAGCGTTCTGATGTGGACGAGCAGGTCACAAAGACGCCGTGTATTGTGTTGTTTATTCCCGAGATGGTAAACGATTTGCTTCTGGAGGAGCTGACAGAACGATCATAATTTGGACCCACAAGGTTTCTGCCCAAGAGCTTCTGATTAGCTTCAGTATTGTCCTTGAAGTGCGATTAAGTCTCAGCATTAGTCTATTAGTCTCAGCATCAACATTGGAATGATTTGGAGCGTCCGACACATGAAATAAATGATAAAATTCTATTCTCGTTCTCTCCTGTCCATGCCTTCCAAGTCTACGTCAATATTTAATAACAATATTTAGGCGAGAGGTATCTCGCCTTAAAAGCACAATATATGATAAAAATATTACACTGGTGAGTTCGCAACTTTCTGAAGAAAATAATCAATCCTTATCACCGTCCTGCTCAATATGTTCTGAAAAGGAACTAGAACAAGATGGAGAACTTTTCTAACCAGCTCGATTTGCATTTTCTAGGCTGAGGGAATCCTGAAATATAGTCATGGAGATTCAGTTCAGTGCTTATCTTACAATCCTGTTACACAACAGGTGAAGAATTGCCCATCTCTCCTTAACTCGCTGATCATACACTGAGAATAACCTAAAACATTGGTGTTTAAAGATGTAAAGTAATTTTGTACTTCCCTCTCATTGACAGCAGGTTTGAGCATGTATTAGTTCTGAGAAGCATTGCATGCTTTTCTTACACTCCTTCCCATCGTCTCTGCGTGTCGTAGTTGGCAAGCGGCAGTGCAAGTGACTTCGGCATATGGTCACCAGAACAGAAATCAGTTGCCAAGCACCGAGTGTCATCGAAGGTAAGAACACAATTTTCGTTTACAATCTGATCTGAGCTCTTTCATTACAAAGTTTTGCAAACAGGAAGTCTCAAAATCATATTTCTTGCAAAACTCAGGTGCTTTGTTGTGCATGGACTGGCGATGGGCAACATCTTGCTCTGGGCATGTATAGTGGCCAGATTTCCATCTGCAATAAGAGCGGTGTGGAGCAGGTATCTACAAATATTACTTTTGTTTGTTATATCGTGTATAACTTATAAGCACCAAATTGCATGACCTTGTGTACACCAAGCAGAGCATATAGACAGGTAGAACTGCAGCACTCTTCAAAAGTAAATGTGACTCTGTAATCTGTGATTATACAGTACTAGAAAGGGGTCTGCATGTAATGGCAGCAAGAAGAGAAATCGCACGGAGACAGTTAGTTACTGACTCCACTTTGGGCAAGGGTACTGATGCTGGGCCGGGCTTCGACAGTGTGCTGTAGAGCGTTCTGCTCCTGTTTGGACTCTGCAGTGGAACATTACGCAAAATAAGAGTTCCGGTTACCTGGCAGTTGGTTGCTGGGACGGGACCCTGTCATTCTACGATATATCAGGCAAGCAGGTTTGCCTCAAACTACTGGTGGGGGTTGGGTAAATGGAAGGGATAAAGGGTGTGCTCGTGACTTTCAGAGTTTCAAATGCCCTGAATTTCTGAATTTGTTGAAGAGAAAATGCTCTGCACAACAAGATTCTTCGAACTGATTAATGATCTGTATTCTTGTTCTCTACATCAATCCAGATCGGAAAGGATAAAGACGTGGGATTTGATCCCTGCTGTCTTTCGTACCATGATGGAAAGTACGTATGTGTTGGTGGATCAGACAGAAAGGTACTGTACTACATTTTCGCATGGTAGAAACAACGAAGAGTTCCAATTTACGCAGACGTAGGTAGAATTGACAACTTTAACAATCTGGGCGAATAGCAGTTTTACGGGCGCAAATGTCAAGGGATTCAGGTCTGTTTCGCTTTGCATTAATTTCATGCTCAGACGACAAGCAAAGGCTGAAACGCCACACAACTGATAATGTGATCATTCAAATGCGGATAGGTTCTTCTCTATTCAAAGGAAGGCGTTGAACTCACAACGATCTGCGAGACCGCAGACTGGGTTTGGAGTGTCTGTTCTCGCCCCAAACATGACTTCATCGCAGTTGGGTGTAATGATGGGAGTATCTCGATGCTTCAAATTCTTTTCTCCACGGTAAGCATGGCGGTAATGTGGCGAAGGCCAGTCTTTGATCGTTAATTTCAGAGGTGGGAAACGGCTCAGGGAGCCAATCCCGTCCATTCTTAGGCAGAATACCTTTGATACAAATGTGAATTTTGGTAGCTGCATGTCTCGTTCTTATTTTCAATGAGTATCAGAAGTCAGTGTAGTCTACATGCTTGGTGCGGTGTAGTCTACATGATGGTAATTCGATCATACCTCGGGGACGGATGACATGCAATCTTTCTGCGTCTTTCTCGAGGCTGATGCATGGACACTGAACAGGTTCATGGGCTTTACCAAGAGCGCTATGCGTTTCGTGATGCGATGACAGATGTTGTCATACAGCACTTGATATCTGATGAGAAGGTAAAATCTTCTCTTGGCCAATCGCTTCCCATGTTAACTCTTCCCTGTTCCTTCTTGGCAATTCATTACAAGCTTCGGGAAGTCTGATGTTGATAATTTTTCATTTCCTATTATTCTTCCTAGCCATATGCAAGGCCTCGTGGACAAAGATAACAGATCCACATCCGTTTGTAATTAGTTATCAACCTATGCTACAAGAGCAGAAGATTCAGCGTTAATTTAGGTACATCTAATTCGTGGCGGAGTTAATCGAAATGATCTTGGAACCTGAGAAGTTGTAAAACGCAGATCCGTATCAAGTGCTGGGACTACATCAAGAAAATTGCAGTTTATCAGGAGCGTGTAGCAGTACAGCTTAGCAACCGTATCATTGTGTATGAGCTAAGCAAAGAAAAGTCTCCAAAGTCTCAATATTGGTTGTGTGCCAAGATCAACCAAGTTCTTGAGTGCAATCTTTTGGTTCTTACATCAAATCATATCACATTGTGCCAGGTTTGCACGCTGCTCCTTAAAACAGTCTGTCTGTCTTTATCTTTAGTCTGTCTTTATTTGTTAGACAGATCGAAGTGATTAACTAGATCGTGATCACATTCATATACGTAAAGCTCTATGTAAAGCTCTCAGCAAGTATACTATCCTTGCATCATCTTAAGTACCCCGCAAAGAGAACATAATCTGGTACTTAATAACATATCTTCTGCAGCAGACCTCAATGAGAAAACTCTACACGTGCAACATGTAGGAGACAAAGTTGCAGCTTTATACATTGGAGGGAGTCAAAGAACGTGAGTGGCTTTTGGAATCAACTATCCGCTACATTAAGGTTGAAATCCGCTTCCTCAACCCCGACAAGTCTCAGCTGAACTATTTAGTCCTTTGGAAAGCTGAAGTTCAGAGCAGACTGTGAGGAAAGTTCTTTGCTCATATAATGTTCTAGATCTGTGTTAGGTATAGTGGAACAAGGTCCGCTTACTCGTGGAGTAGTGCTGAATCGTAAGAAACTCTTGTATATAGCTCATTCTCTACTTGAGATTAGAAATTGGAGTGGCTATATATATATATGTTTTTGCGCGTTGAGCTCATATATTTCGTCAGTCTTATGCTGACAGGTATGTGGAGGACCAAGTGGAGGTGAAGGTCTGTTAGTGGGGATGAAAAATGGTTTGATAGTCAAGATATGGATTAATAGCAACTTTCCTGTTCGCCTTTACAAACACACAAGTGGCATACGATGCCTAGATCTTTCCGCCAAGCGTACCTGTCTTGCTATCGTGGATGAGAGTGCAAGTGTCATTGTTTACGATCTTCAGGTACTTTTCTTCGACTAATTTGATTGTACCTAGCTCACAGACCATTGACTTAGTATACCCCGGTCATCACTTATTGATCTGAACATAACTGTTTGCACCTAGCTAGCATACTCCACCATAGCTAACAAACTCTTACGTATCTTCTGTGGCAGACAAAAGAGGTGACTTTTGATGAGAAGTTTGCAAGTTCTGTTGCTTGGAACACGGAAATGGAGGCTATGCTGTGCTACTCTGGAAGTGGGAAGTTGAACATAAAAACTGCAGATTTTCCCGTTCACAGACAAAAGTTACAGGGATATGTGGTCGGGTTCCAAGGATCAAAAATATTTTGCCTTCATCATCTTGCAATGCAGGTGTTTCCCTTATGTCCCAATGACAGTTGACTAACATATCAATAACAGTTAAATTGATTGCGTAAGACAACTATCATTATGAGAAATAAACAAAGACGGCTGCCTAAAAAGCTTGAAAGATAGCATGTTGTTTCAAACCTTGGGTGTCTATTCTTGATTGGCATGACTATGAAAATTCTTGTGATTCTTGGAACTATTTTATTCCATACCTTTTAGATCAAGTACTTCAGTGTCAGCAAGAGGACTTTTATTGCAGTGGATAAGTTCTGAGCGGTCTATTACTGATCATTAAATCCATATATGTCTCTTCTTTGCAACATTGACAGACAATCGAAGTTCCTCAGTCCACAAGCATGCGTCACTATGTTCAGAAAAAACAATACGAAGACGCCTACCGGGTGGCTTGTTTAGGTGTGACGGAGTTAGACTGGCGCATGCTCGCCACGAAAGCTTTAATTGGGCAAGCTTGGGAAGTCGCACGGGCAGGATTCATCCGTATTCGGGACGTTCGTTTCTTGGAGCTCATTCATAAGCTTCAGAAACTGAATCAGTCTCAGATGCCGTGTCTTGACGCGATTGTTCTTGCGTATCAGGTATATAGAGCTTTTTGTACCTACATTCCGCCCTATGTTTTTATTAAGTGTGTCATTTTTTGAGTATTTTGTGTCAGAGGCTGCATTACTTTGGAGGATATTTTAGTTCGTTGACGTCTGATGACCGCAAGTAGGGATGACAGTTACTTCCTTGGCAGGGTAAATATGACGAGGCAGCTAAAGCCTACGTGGAAGCTGGTCAGGTCGAAAGAGCCATGGAGATGTACTCAGATCTGAGAATGTTCGACAAGGCTAAGGCTCTTGCTGAAGATAACGAACACATTTCTGAAGTTGTAGGTAAAGCAAGTGTACAAGAAATTATTGAAAGGCAGGCTCAGTGGACAGAAGAGACTCAAGATCATGAAACTGCTGCGGACATGTATATTGCTGCAGCGCAGCTTGATAAGGCCTTAGCGATTCTTGCGGAGCACGGTCCAGCCTCGAAGCTCATTGAAGTATCACCTTGTTACCCTCTTAAGCCTCTGACTTTCAGATCTGCAAGAACACTCATTAAACTTGCGAATATAATTGCACGTCGCACGCACTGCTTATGAGACAGAGGCGAGTTTTATCAGTTTTATCACCATGAAGAGATATCTGTTGGTTCATGAAAAACTTCTTGCAAATTCTTTGCAGGTGGCAAGAAGGCTGAAAAAGACTGACACCAAGGAGTTGAAGCTATGTGCATCTTTGATGAGGAAGGGTGGACAAACTGCTCATGCCCTTGAAACGTATATCAAACTTGGTGATTTTAGGTGAGACACATATCCAGCCACACGCATGTCCAAAGAATATAAGGTGCAAAATCATTGAATCAGCTTTGAAATCTCTTCTACGTTAAAAAAATAAGAGTGTTCCCCACTTACACTAAATGTTTAACATGAGACGGATTGGTATTTCTTATTCATAGCGTCTGCACACTCCCCAGGATGAACATAGTAAGAGGAACTGCGATCGCATTCCAGGTATCTAAGGGTTGACCATGAAACTTAAACACAGGTCAATCCTATCTCTTCATGTAGAGTTGGAGCAGTGGGACGATGCCTTCGCCATGGAGACCCTTCATCCCGAGTTGCAGGGAATGGTTTCTTTACCTTATGCAGAGTGGTTGGTACAGAATGATCGTTTTGAAGAGGCTCGTGTATCATATAGACAGGCAGAACGGCCTGACTTGTCCGAAGCACTCCTTAAGAAGCTGATAGAAAACGCGGTAAGATTGCTCGGCGCCTATGATCTCGTTCTTTGGATTGGAACACCAGTTTGTACAGTAGTCTTCAGTCCTGATCCTGGTTTGAGTTGCATGCAATGCGATGCATCTCAAAACGGTTATCTTCTTGTCGGTGTTTCAGATGTTGCAAAGCTGATATGCCGACCAGAAGGTCTATGCGAAGCCCAATTATACTAAGGGAAGATGTATGTACAGTGGAGAAATTTGTAACGTGATGTAATAAACTAAAGTGAAGCGAGATATCCTGGTCCCATCATGGAACTGGTTGCATGGGTCTTTAGAAAAATCGATCACCTTAAATCCATTTCTGTAGGGTTGATCTTACATTCATCACTTGATGTGGCTTAAAACAGGTGAAGGAGAGAAGGTTTAAGGCAGCTGCTCATACCTGTTGGAGTCTAGCTGTTGAAATCATGGAAGGCGTTGTGAAGGGAGCAAGGGATGATCCAAGAGGGGGGCAAGGAAAGAGGATTCTCGATTCTTACGTGTTCATTGAGCGTGCTGAAATATATTACGCTTACTCCTTCATACATCAGTTCAGATCTGATCCCTTTCGCACCTCTACTCCGGAAAGTCTTTTCCACATTGCGAGGTTCCTTGTTGCCAGGATCAGGACACAACCGCCAGACGGTGTATCCCTTGTAAACATACTTATGACTCTTGCCAAGCAAGCAGAAGAGCTGGGTAAGATCTCCGAACACAATCCTGGTTCATTGAGGCGTTACGAAAGTTTGATTTTTCTCAGTTTCTATACCGACGCGGATGAGATCTCACAATTCCATCAATCAAGACGTAAGACGAGGAAACCTTAACGTGAATGTGGCAACTTAGACTCTTGTCGCAAGTGTTCCTTCACAGGCATTCCAGTATTAGTTACGTTTTACCATGAGTAGCGAAAGTATTCTCTTTCCTTCTAAAGCGGGGCTATACTGTCAGGATGTTACAAAGTCGCCCGGCACGCGTATGGACTGCTCCAAGGGTATCGCATCCCGACCACCTGGGTGAAAAAGGTCGAAATTGCCACCATGAGAGCACGTGGACGTGCAGGAAGCCAGCATGACGGACACCTCAGTATGGACAATCCTTTCTGTTACTGCTGTTCGTCTCCATTTCCCTTGACATCTTCGGCGAGCGAGGACGCTTGCAATATTTGTTCCCAGCCTGTATTCCGATCATTTCTCACGTTTGAACAACTTCCGGTGGTAAGCCTCAGAACTGTTTTCATATTATAGGTGATTTCCTTGAGAGTTCAGTGAGTTGAAGAGGATGACAGTGGCTCAGCACATACAGACACTGATTGAGTTGTTTGAAACTCGCACTTTCAACAGGTGGAATTCGTCCTAGAGGACGGCATATCCCACGAGGAAGCTTTACAACTGCTAGCCGCAAAGCAGACAACTAGGCACACAAGTTTTGATGGCTTCGAAGGACAACCTACATTCGTCCCTGGAGCAACAAAGAAGACAGTTTTTGGTGATATGGCCGAAATGGCTACCTTGCTGGGACAGGGATTGATGCGGATCAGCAAAGCTACTCTGAGCAAAATACCCAAGTCTCAGGTTATCGTTCAGAAGTTTAATCTTGGCCTTCCCCAACCAAGGTACTTTCTCGTTGTAGACAGCGAGTATAACGTTACCCAGTGTCCGTCTTGCAGCCATTTTTTTGAAGAAGAGGAATGGGACCTCTTCCATCTCCAAGAGGAGGTTTGTCCATTTTGTCAAGGGTCCCCTGCAGCTCCATGTGCTGCCGAGCTGGCCGGAGCCATCTATTCCAACGAATCCACATTGAGCAGAACAGTCCATTCGCATGACAGCGCATCAAATGATACGACAAGGTCAAAGACTGATCCTCAAGACGAAGGATGGAATACACCCAGTACATGTACCAGTGTGAGGGCCCAATCTGGCTCTTGCATGCCTGCTGCTGGGAACGGGAACTCTGTACCATCAAAAAATTGTGACGCAATTGGAAAGAGATTGGCGAATAAAAAATCTCAGCTGAAGTCCACGAATGGAGACTTGAGTGGAGGGCCTCCGAAGCAAACTGATGATGCAAGCACCCTCCACACACGCCTGACCAAAACGACTGTTGCGAAAAGCAGTAATCACCACAGTCCAGGTGTGCATGAGGTGCAAGAGGAAGAGCAATTACTCCGGCGTCTTGGTAAACACTAAGGCCGCCGGGCGACATCGGCATTGGATGAGCCAAAACAGCTGAAATGAAAGGTTGAATGTATATTGCCAACACACAATGGACTCATGGACAAGTGCATGAGTTCAGACACCGGTGTAACAAGTGAAGTAGAAAGCTGAAACAATATCACAAAAAAGCACCATCGGATCATCAGACTGTCACGTCCCCGTCAGTATACATCAATGTGGCGTTACTTATATTCGAGTAGCCCAGACGGACGGACTGAGCCATTTTGATAGACTAAGCTAGACGAGGAATGCTCCTTGCTCACAAAGAGAAACCCATCAGTTGTAGATTCAGTCATCGACACTGTAATGAGTACAGACCTTCAAAAATTGGTACGGGACTTACAGGACACTATCTTCTAATAAAGTCATGTTCCTGCGTACTGAAACTTGTATGAATCTGCTTTTCTGTGCATCGTCGTGAATGAGGACTGCCAAATATGCCACTGACCGAGCTGAAGCAGGAAAGGCTAGGAAAGGCAAGGCAAGGCTGACGCTTGTCCAATACAAACGTCACTCACTGGGTCTCAGGCGTCTACTTGCCTACCTCTACAAGGTTGCGACCATGGACAAAAGGAGCGCCCCGAAAGAAATGAAAAGGGACGCCTGCAAGGAATCCTGGCCATTGTCACTGCCGAAGTCGGTGGTGGTGCCGAAGTTTCCGTCGGGCTGGGAAGTGGCCAGAACCATGACATACCACACGCCAGACGATCCGACACCACCGGACGTGTATGTAGAGTCATTGAGCATGGCCTGGTATTGTTGGTCTGAAGTGATATTCATAGCTGCAACAGCGGGAAACGATCCAGTCGGTACACAGTTCGGTGCAATGAAGCCACTCTTCACGTTGGCGAGATCGACATTGCAGTCATCGAGCAGATCCTGGTAGTCGGGAATTTGGGGGTTTTGCCCGAACGGAGTGTCGGCCCCGGTTGTGTTACTGCACGGAATGTCCTGGAATTCGTGTGCCACCCCGTGCGCCACACATGCTGCTCCCGTGTTCAAGGTCAGAGCTGACAGATTGTTCCTCGTTCGGTACTCATTCAGCATGTTGAATACCTCCGTGTCTGCAGCCGTCATGCCCGTGTAATCTGCCACCCACAGCCATCTCCTGTTAGCATCTCTCGTGTCTCACAAGGACATGGGTTTCTCCCCTCGTCTCCCTCCCCAAACGCAGCATGCTCATCATGAGCCCCTGTTCCTCGAGACCAAACGAGTCCTGGACTGCGGAATCAGCCAGTGCAGCCATGCCGACATCATGAAAGACGACGCCAGCAGAGTAAAACAGGGACGAGGTGAATGCATGCTCACTCACATTGCTCTGAGAAATGTCAGTATCTAGAGGCTGCTGGTTGATGGGGCTTGCAATATCTTTACTGAACACGAGATGAAAAGCGTGACTGGAATGAGGAAGGCACAATCTATCGTCGACTTTGCGTGCTCCGATCGCTCGTAGCTCGAGACAGGGTTGGGACGACGTACGTCGAGAAACCCGTCGTCCAAACACCGATCACGAGAAGTTAATCATCCGGGATCCATACACATTCGACAAATGACTGCAACTCCTGACCGCGCTCTACGCACGTGAAAACGGGCAGTCAGCCAGCGCGTGAAGGCTGCGAAATTCCAAGCCCACGGTCCCTGAGAACCAGATCCGATGACCATTTCAACGAAGTGACAATCAAAGCGTCGTTCGTTTCCCACATCGTCTCGATGCGCATTCGTCGGCGCGAACCAATCGATTGGTTTATGGGGTTGTCCAATCTGAGCCCAGAATGTACAGTCCCTGCTAGCGCAAACACAGGATTGCGCGTACTCTGCGGTGTCCGCAGGTTACGGAGGTGTAAGAAATGCGCGAGTTTCTCGCTCTCCACCCAAAGCTCGCTACGTAAGAATCTGGCCTCATAGTCAGCCCGGATTCCCGAGATAAGATCCTCCTCCGGGTACCATGAGGATGTAATGCTCGTGGAAGGAGCTCACGAGTCTCTCGGACACTGTTGTTGCGTCCCGGGAACCGACAAGAGTCAAAAGGGAAACAAATGTCACTCACTTCTTTCCTCGACCATGAGCGCGGGTCACCATCAGACTGATCCCACAACAACGGAAAATGCACTTCTCTAGGCTATGGTAGACGAGGTCTTTCTATCCCTTCCTTCCTTCTGAATCCCCCGCCGGAGAGAAGGGCAGGTGGACGAGACCACGCACTTCCTTTCAATCCCTTGTGATAATAATGGCTGAAGGCAATCGACACTTCCAGACAACCAGTTTCAGGGATGGTTTCTTTCCTCCGCACCGAGTCGTCGCTACAGACATTTGCAACCAGCAGCAGCAGCAGCAGAAGCAGAAGTACAAGCAAAAGCGGAGTTCGATTCATCGGCACGTGAACTCGACGAGCAGCATGACGAGCAAGCAAAGCACTGGACTCGATAAGCAAGCGAGCGAAACGAACAGCACGAACGCAGTTTTCGATGCTCGGAGATAGAACAAGGCCTCGGGGCTTACCATCGTCGTGACCGAAGACCGCAGGCGCGAGCAGCAGAAGCGAGATGCAGAGCAGGGCCACATTGTTCCCCGCCATCGTTCTCTTTCTCGCGTCTCGCACTGCTTCGGCTTCTTCGAGGCTCGGGACGACGAAGAGTTGTGCTGCAGCAAAAGAGCACGAGCGAGTTCTGAACGACAGCAATCCAATATCGGCCACTCTTGCTTCTCTCGGTGCAGAGCTTGCTGGCTAGCTAGCCAAAGCCAAAGGGACCAGCGAAGTCGAAGTCAGAGAGAGAGAGAGAGAGCGAGGGAGGGAGGGAGGGAGGGAGGAGGAGGAGGAGGAGAAATTACAAAGCTCGTTACCAGCAGCCAGCTGCCGGAGACTGCAGTGCAGCTCTTTGTGGGACAGCACTTATGGACTAATCTCGTCCACCTTTAACCATGGCTGGTGAGAATAGCAAAGAGACAAGGCGAGGCAGGCCAGGTGTTGCCACCTCGAGGCTCCTTTCCACCATCTTTTCGTTTCTCACACATTCCACAATCGAGGAGGGGGAGGCAGGGAGGGAGGGCGAGAGGTACCAAATAGTTTAGCAAATAGTTTAGCAAAAAGGATGGCAGCACCCCATCCCATCAATGAATGAGCCCACATTCCACTCCATAATTGGCCACTTTGCAAGTTTGGCCTGGCCTGGTTTCTTCTCCAAGCGCTTTTTGTTGGTGCTCTGATTCCAGTGGGCCCTACGTCGCTGGCCTCGGGGAAGACTACTGTCGGAATTGGTCCTCTCCTTCGACGGAGGCTCGGTGTTGTCGTCTCAGCCATTGTGGACATTGCTCAAATTGTGCATGTGCTGTACTCGACGACTGGGAGGGGGACGCAAGCGACACTACAGAAGAGGAAACTATTGAGGAGTAATTACGCTGGGTTCTCTGCACCTGCAATAAGTTTGTTCCACTAAACCATCGACACTTTTGTCACTGTACATTGATTTCAAGTTTTCGGGTAGCCGAGTTCTCGTAAGATAACTTGCAGAATCAGAAGAACAGGACCCATGGGCTCCAAGTTTCTCTGGCATAGGCGACCGTCTCTAGTTTTGAAGTGGCGACCTCGCGCGGGCCTTCGACAGAGGTGAAGCTATCAAAATGCAGTAGTTTCTGAGGTCTGATAAAGGGTTACTTTTGGGCATGTAAGGCTTGTCTGATATGGCTTCTCGACTTTTTAAGTGCATGAGCTCAGTTGCATCACCTGGTCCCACCTTTGACTGATTGAGTTGTCAGCACCCAAGAAATTCGCCACACTACGTCACAGCTCATAGAAAGCTCTAACTGAGAAAAGTCTATGTCGACTTGCTATCGCACATTTGTGGTGTAAGCTCCAAGACAGCAGTAAAGAAGATGAGAAGACTTGTATATTATCGATGTCGTCACAGAGTCCACAAAGAAATTGCACGGTGTGAACGTCTAATGACTCAAAACTATTGTAAGTTGATGTCAGCGGAAAGACCCTGAAAAGAGACACGAGAAGGTCGTCTAGAATCCACCTCGATATTCCCCACAAATGAACTACAACGGTGCGAGAAGCTTGGATCTGTTCTTAGGCGGGTTTCTGCAACGAAGACAATGAGATCGATGCCCATCGAAGACTCAATTAGCTTACATGAACTCAGATTCTTAGCCTATGTAATGTGGAACATAGAGGAATTTGAAGAGGACTTGGAAAAAGTAGTCCATCGGCTGTTGATAAAACTTACATTAACTAACGAAGCAAAGAGGGAACAGTAAGTACTGGGAAGAGGGTAAAAGTGTTAAAGAAGAGGTTGAAAATCTGATGCGCACGGGGTTCTTTCATGCTGCTTCGGCACTTCAGGGACGAACAGTAGGAGTAAACGTAACATTCTGAATACAACAAGTGAGACTAGCGTTCACACACGATATCTATTTATGCTCCAATATGCTTGACAATTCACATCGTCGATACATCAATACAATCAAGGTAATACGAGAACATAGCAGAATACCCTTGGTTAAATTTGCCACTGCGGAGCTTTGTACAACTGAGGCCTTGCCTCTTTCCTTCTGTCCTTAGGTTTTCTCTTCATCTTAGCATCCTCTTTTTCTAAAGCTACTCTAAGTTCGGCCAGAAGTTCCTCCATGCCTAAGCCTTGCCTGCAAAGACAACCAGTAAGGAGGTTAGCTGCTCGGAAAGAGGAGATTTGACAAGTGCAATGCGAAACCTCAAAATAGAACTCCAGAGTGGCTAGAACTCCAGTTCCTGCTATATTGATGAATAAATCTTGAGAATTGCGTTAACCTCTTACCGAGCACTGGTTCCCATTACAGAGACAGGACGTCGAAAATTCTCCACCGTTAGTTCTGTGTCATCTTTATTTGCGCCCTTCAAACTCTCACCCTTCCCTGCAGCCTCCACGTCTATGTTTTCTGAATCCAAACTATCCCTGTCCTCCAAGGTGGCCAATGAGTTCGTTGTATCTTTTTTGGGTAAAGACTCAGGGTCGACTCCCATTGCACTAATCGTTTCTCGAAGACTATCGAATCGCTCCTGAGCCTACATGGACCACCAAAAGACTCATTGTTATTCCCAAAAGGAAGCAATACTCATACCCATTTCACATTCAAAGGGAAATACATGGAAGCAATATTATTCCTGCTAAAAGAAAGAATTTTCTAATACACTGTAATTTACTGAGGACCTTCGTCTGCGTCCTTATGAGGAGAAAACTGGAAGGGCTTTCGCCATCAAGACCTAGGGGCCGTAGGGCAAGCACATACAATTGCTCAGACAATTACCTCAGCCAGGTCAAGCTTGTTCAGTACCACAATATGAGGCCTTGCGACGTAATCTGGGTTGTACATGTAAAGTTCCTGGAACATACAAATCCCAGGTGAGGGCATGTACACATCTGACGCACTACTTACAAAAGTTTCACCAGCACACGAACCCAAGTTCATGCATTGTCCAACTTCCACTAAAGAGTTTACGAAGGTCCTGGTCTTACTTCACGAAGAACTTTGTAATCCCGTATTGGATCCTCTGCAGAGGCATCGACCACATGTAGCAAAAGTCTGGTTCTGCGAAGATGTCGTAAGAACATGCGGCCCAGGCCCTGCGTAAAAACGGAAAGTACTCTAGGTCATTATAAAGAAGACATGTATAAGCTACATGCTGGCAGATAAATGCCTACAAAAACTTCAACGAAGTGATAGAGACGGAAGAGAATACTGTTATCTGTACATCACTAATGTACGGGTGTTTCTTGGGAGTACCTTGCCCAAGTGAGCACCCTTGATTAGACCTGGAAGGTCAGCTAAAGTTGGTCCAGAAGCGAAACCACCATCGTTCATGTCAGGGCTTCCTTCCATTCGACCAAGGTTGGGCATCAGTGTTGTAAAAGGGTAATCAGCTATTTCAGGTTTCGCCCGAGTAACTGCTGCAAGGAGTGAAGACTTGCCAGCGTTGGGAAATCCCTGTGCGACAAAGTTCATCAGCTTAAGGAGAATTCAAATTCGGTTTCTGCCGGCATGTAACCATGCCTGCCACGTACAGAAATTACACGATCGTAAAACATGTTATACGGCATCCCTCGCACGAAGCGAATTGAATTCATAATTTTCCGCCAAGAAAGTTAAAAGATTCAAAAAAGTGAAAAAGGTTACATTCATTCAGGGTTTCGATGTATGAAATCATTATATCCGACAAGCGTTAAAAAATATACACATTGCGATTCAAGTTGGAGGTGAAAGGAGACATACAACGAGACCCACGTCAGCCACAACTCGCAAGGTCAACTCTAGTTGCACCTCCTCTCCTGTAGATCCCAAGGTAAGCACCTGCAGAGTGACGCAGTCGGCAAGAAGAACATCATTAAGCATCATCACGAAGTCTATACTAGACTCTACCTTCGATCGGGCTAAGTCAAACTATGGTCCGTGATATCCTCGACGACCCACCCTTCAAATAGCTCCCGACCAATCCTTCCTCAAAATGCGTGGGCAAACTGGCACAGTCCCTACTCCTTGGACCTTACTGATCGACAAAGATTGAGTTACAATACCTTATCGTCTGGATCTGTGATAATAGCGGCGTTGACATTTCTCACGGCTCTCCTGTTGTTTTTTGGAAGCTCCAACATGCTTATCTGAAGAATTTTCAGAAAAAAGACGTCATCAACAATTCCAAACTATACTTAGTTCTATCTCCCTGAGGGTTTGGAGGTGTTAAGACAATTCCTTCTGTTGAATCTGAAATCTCTTCAGTTGAATGTGGCATGTTCGCGAAGAAAAAAAGGACAGGAAAAAGGAGTTGATGAATTGATACTAAGAAGGCCAAGCAGTACGCACCCCTCCTCGGCCACCACGAGCAACTGTAACAGAATCCCCCGCTTTGGATAGATCAGCCAGGAGTTTACCTCCTCTTTTACGCTTGACAACAGTACCTGTGCAAGTTATTGAAGCATGTTAGTATACGTACAATCAAAACAAGAACGTATCATAACATAAAGCAATAAATTTCTAACATAACCTAATGTAGAAAACCGTGAACACTCGAGCTTAAAAGGATAGGTTTTTTACATTTGGCCTCTCGTACTGATCCAACTAAAATATTTTTCGGAAAACTAAAGTTGTCATTTTCCATTTCCCAACTAAAATTAAAGAAAAGCTGAAACAACTCTCCAAAGGATCCTTCCCATTTGATTCGCCCGGCAGTGTTATATGCAGTCCATCCGTGACAGAGTACAATACAAGTTTTTGGGACCAGATTTTATGGATATAACTGGATCCCATACAATGCCGACCGCAATCCGCAACGTAAGTGGTCTACAGAGGAAGAACGATCGAGGAATGGAATCTGAAGGCTCACCAATAGGAACAGAGATGCGCAGAGTTGAGGCCGAGGCACCGTCACGAAGCATGGGCGTGAGGGGGCCAGATGCATCCACATTCGCTCCCCGTTTGGCATTATACCTTTTCTTCTTGTGGAGGTCCAAGAGAGTATCTACAGTTTCATCGGCAACGAGAATAACATCCCCGCCATGACCACCCATGGGCAGGAGTAATGACCCATCAGAGCCTCTTTTCAGCGCTCCAGTCTTCTTCTCCTTCTTAACCGGCTTCTCCTTCTCGTACTTTCTCTGCCCATAAACCTTTGGGGTAGGACCCATACTAGAACTGGGCATATCCAGAACCGATCCATGTCCACCATCGCCAGATCTCACGATGATAACCACTTGGTCAAAGTATTTGTGCGCTTCCTTCTCCAAATTCTCTGGTTCTTCTACTGAAGGTTGCCGGGTTTTCGTAAGGGCACAGATCGCCCTTCCCCGCTCTTGTGTTTTCGCCACAAGCCTACCTTCACTCAAAAATCACATAAATCAGAAAGTTTTAAGGCGCACTCAGGAAGTACGAGAGACAATCGGAAATAGATTGACAAACAGCTGGCGAGATAGATGGCAAAAACTGCCCCCAGAAGCTCGGACTGGTGAACTACAAACACGAGCTACTCCGAGTGAGACTCATAAATGCTCTTTCGCTAAAGCGGACGTTTCATTCCGGATAATTAACAATCAGAACTAGGATACTTTGATGCACCTCATAAAGAGCTAATTAATCTCTACATTAGTTGATTATCTGTGCATTCCAATTCATTTAATTGAGCAGATTAGCTCCTTTCTTAAAATTTGAGTAATCTCGAGAAATTGTAAAAAAGAATTGCACATACCACCAAATTCATGATTCCAGGCTGCTGGAATCTCCAGCCATCAAATGTATTGCTCAGAGAGAGAGAGAGAGAGAGAATGAATTCAAATGACGATATGCATTGGATTCCTCATAGGTGCGGACCTGCAGAGGCGCCATTGAGGGCAGCATGAGGGGTGACCGGAATTAGAGTGCGTTGAGGTGACAAGCCAGACCACGAACAAGAGCCAAGCTTATTGGAAGAAGCTGAGGAGGAGGAGGAGTTGAGAAAGCCCTCCGCCCCACCGACCACCGAGCAACTGAACAGCGCCTCCATCGCCAGAGTCGGCCTCGCCCTCTGCGTTCTCGACCGAGCTAGCGTCCAGGCCTAAAACCCCCACACCCCACAATCCTGCTCTTATCACGAAATCTTCTATCAGCATCCAAAGTTGATACACTCGCTGCGCCTCGAATCTTCGGGATTCCGCGATTCCTAATTGCTCAAACTAGCCCAGCCTCGCCTCGCCTCGCGAACAAAAAACCTTCTCCTTGTCCTTCTACTTCAAAATCTCCGGGACCCAGTTCTCCTAATCCATCACCAAATCAGGTACTCACGTTCGACCAACTGTCGGAATCCTCACTCAGTTCCAGATTACGAGAACTCCCTCGGCGGGATGAACTGCCATCACTGCGTTGCGCTGCGGATAACGAGAATGAGGGTTCTATTGTCGGACACGAGAGCAGAGCATACGACAAAGCACGAAACAAAAACCCCGCACTGCAACAAAACCTCCCGCCGTGAATCCTGCTGCAGGCGAGGCTACGCTACGCGAGGACGCGAGGCTGAAAATCGGAGCAAGGATCGGGGCCAGCGCTAGCGCCCTCGCAATTCGGTGGGGTCCGCCCGCCCGCCCATTCGTGCAGAGCAGTGAAACTCCAGAATCTCGGCTCACCGTCGCATGGATCCACGAGACACGAGACACGAGACAAAGAGCGCGGTGACGAGAGCGGAACGGGAACTGCCGGCGCCACATCCATTGCGCCGCGCGAAGATCTTTGTGGCTGTCTGTGGTGGAAAAGCCACGACACGTCAGCCGCGGCCGAGCACGGGAAGTGCCGGATGACGAGGCTCGCCGCGCTCCGATCTCCTCCCTCTCTCTCTCGACCTCAACGTTCTGCTGCTGCTGCTGCTGCTCGAGCGACGGACGACGAGGTGGGGTCGCGCGCTGGCGATGGCGAGGATAAGGAGCTCGTGCGCGCTCGCCTCATTGATTGATTGATTGATTGATTGATTGAAGGATTGATCGACCGAAGAGAGGAGGAGGAGGAGGAGGAGCGAGCAGCAGTCGCTGAGCTCGAGACGAAACGAGGCGTGGCGAGGTGAGATTTGAGATTGGATGAGATGAGGTGAGATGAGGAGCAGGGGCTGCCGAGGGAGCGCGAGGGAAGGCGGGGCGAGGAGAGGAGACGGGATTTTGTGCATTTAGTGGTGATGGGGTTGCAGCAGCTGGCGCTGGGATTCGGTCCCGGCCAGGCTTCGGTGGTCGTTTCGAGCCGGAGGAGTGCAGTGGGCGATTGGGGGAATTTTTCCACGAGGCCGCAGCAGCAGCAGCGTGCTTGGAGGAGGAGGACGGGCGATTCGCGAGTAGGGCAATGCAGGTGTTTAGCAGGAGGGCCGGGAGTGGGAGCAGCAGCAGGGGTTGTAGAGATTGTGGAGAAATTGAATGCTTTGGTGCTCGGGGTGGGAGTGGGGTTGCCCTGTCAGGTGATGGATTGTGGGGACGTGGTGTACCGAAGCACGCTGCCCAAGCAGGGATTGATTATCACGGCTCCCGGAGTTTTTTTAGCTGTTCTCATCGCCACCTATTTGTGGGCTCAACCTGGAGTGGCTCCTGGCTTCTGGGACATGTTTGTGTTGGCTAAACTCGAGCGAATTATCCGCCCCTCGTACAAAAAGGTTGGCCCTCGATTGCTCGCACCGGTGGCTCTTCTTATACAATTCTAGCTCGCAATTCCACACAGAATTGAGGCGGAATTGCGAGCTAGATTTACTGTCTATTCCCTACATTGGCTGAAAAGTCGGAATTCGGCTGCCTTTCCCCTCATGTTTCTGCCGAATTTGTCCACTTCTTTGGCTGATTTGTTTTGCAGGATCTTCTACCATCTAGTAGTTTGGAATACGTGTCTCCGATTGTATTCTGATAATTCGATTCTGAGAATCATAGTGGACTCATCCGTCGAATCATTGGGGAGTTTGTAGTGATGAACTCAGCTGAACAGAGGACGAAGGGAATTCACTACTCGAGGTTTGAGTTCCTCCCGTTCTTTCCGGCTTGCTGCAGGTCTGAGAAGACTTACTGTCAGTCCTTATGTCTTTCTTTTTGTTGACAGGAGGACTTTGCTTTGGGGAAGAAGCTCGGAGAGGGTGCCTTTGGAACAGTGTACAAAGCCTCACTTGTAAAGAACAAGGGCGGAAAGGTACATCTGAATCACAGTTGTTTTCATCCGAATTTGTGGAAAAATGATCGTGGCTTATGCGACATTCGAACCAATCTACACTGTAGCCTTTGAAATATAACGGATTTTAGCTTCTAGCGTGATCCGGAGCAGAGGTTGACGGCCTCGTACGTCTATTTCCTTGAGGTGGATTGGCAGTGATTCCTCGAATTTTTCTATGCTGCCGCAGTCTGAATCAGAGCTGGTCGTGAAGAAAGCGAATGAGTATGGAGCTGTTGAAGTCTGGATGAACGAGCGTGTGCGGAGGGCTTGTAGCAGTAGCTGCGCTGACTTTATTCACGGCTTTCGTGAGGTCATACAGTCAGATGAACACTTTTCAGATGCTTGGAGGGATCAGTTTAGTAGTTTCTTTTCACTTGAACGCTTCAATTCTTGTTTTCCACATCACGTTTCTCCCCACATACATTTCCATGATCGAAGACAAAATTTTGCCTTACATTGTAATCGCACTCTTGTACAGACTTTGAATAAAGGTAAAGGGGAAGAGTTTTGGCTAGTCTGGCGATACGAAGGTGATGCTACTCTCGATGACTTAATGAAGGACAAGAACTTCCCTTATAACGTGAGAACTCCTACCGATTTATGTCTCAATTTTCTCAACTCTCGGCTGCCTCGCCAAGTGCTTTTCAACTTGCTTTTGGTGGTAGAGTTGTATTCGCCAATTGAGATCAGAGTTACAGCTTTATGCTCCCAAGCGCATCTGCTCATGCCACGTTGACTTGATTCTGTTGATATTTCATCTGAATTAAACTTCAAATCTCATATTCAAATAGGTGGAGGAGATGATATACGGAGATGTTAATGAGCTACCGAAGGGTCCAGAGCGAGAAAACAGGATTATAAGGACGATGATGCGCCAGATCATGTCATCACTGAAAAATCTTCATGCAATCGGCATCATACATCGGGACATCAAACCTCAAAACATCATCTTCTCTCAAGGTGAAGTTTTCCTCAGGACGAAATCCAAATTATTTGTTTCTGCCACGACCGTTCATCCTTCGTCGACTGCCTATTCATGTTGCTTGCGGTGCTCTGTCTCACAAGCACCACGATGACTGCTTGCAGAGGCCAAAACGTTCAAGATTATTGATCTTGGTGCTGCCGCTGATCTACGAGTGGGGATTAACTATGTGCCCAAGGAGTTTTTGCTGGACCCTCGGTATGTACTTCAGAGCTTTTGGAGGATTTCCAAGTTTGACCCATGAATATTTTCAGCAGGGCAAAAGCTAGCGTACGTACTGCAGTAATCTCGTATAGAAAATGTACACAGATTTACAAACGGCACGTTTTGAGAAGGATTGACCATAAATCACCTCATAGTGTTTGTACTCTTTGTATGTCTCAAACGATCCAGGTAACTACAAACTCAGCCATTCCTACTTGTGATGGAGGTACTGAAGTTGTATCTTGCAGGTACGCCGCACCTGAACAGTATATCATGAGCACCCAAACTCCCTCAGCACCCCCACCACCTGTAGCAGCTGCACTGTCACCAGTGCTGTGGCAGGTACAATCAAACATTTGATCAAATCTGACATTCAAGTGATCCTGCCTCTGATAGACTTATAGCCGGGATCTTATCAAAATTTGTGGGTTATCTGTTTCACAGATGAATGTTCCGGACAGGTTTGATGTGTACAGCGCAGGACTCATTTTTCTCCAGATGGTAAGAGCTGAGCTGTGATTTAAAAGTGCTGCATTTCCTATGTCCCGTAATTCTCCTCCGCTCTTCGTATTTTCAGGGGGCTGTTTGTAAGAGAAGCTCATGTTTATGAACGTATGGCTTTTGAGAGCAGGTGTTCCCAAATCTGCGAACCGACAGCCCCCTGATCCAGTTTAACCGCCAACTGAAGCGATGTGATTACGACTTGGTGGCATGGAGAGAGTTGACCGAGCCTCGTGGAAACGCCGACATTCGTCGGGGCTTTGAAATTCTAGACTTGGATGAAGGAGTGGGCTGGGAGTTGCTGCAAGCCATGGTGCGTTTCAAAGGCCGACAGAGGATCTCTGCTCAACAGGCCCTGGATCACCCGTACTTCATCCGTGACGGACTACTGGGAACAACTCTGCTGCAGAAGCTGCGGTTACAGCTCATCAGAGCCAGCTTCCAGGACCGAGGTGAAGCGTTTGCATGGGTTCAAAATCTGATGGCAAAATCTGGAACCAAAAGCGTCGGTGGATTCACCGAAGCCGAGCTACAAAAGATGAAGGTAAGTTTTCTAAAAGTAAGTTTCTCACCACATTCCGTTTCAGCTCCTCGCTTTGGCAGCAACGCCCAACTCCAATCGAACACGCTTTCACTCTCGTCTTGACTGCTCTCATCCCATCAAACTACTAAGAAATCAGCGAGGAAACTGTAGTCATCTATAGGAATTTATTGGCAATCTTCGTCGAGATTCAGAACTTGATTTATCACTCCAGTAAGTTTGCCGCAAGTTCTCAACAGCATAAAAGTGCTTTAGTGACGAAGCTGTGACAGAAATTTTGTGTAGTAAATGAGCGGTGCTTTTTAGTTCCTGCACGCAGTCTGAGATTTGACTCCGAAGGACTATCTGGTGCAGGAGAAGGAACCAAAACCGAAAGATACATTACAACGGAACGCCTTGGCCTCTGCTTTGAGATTGCAGCGGAAGGTAGCGCGGACAGTGGCAGAGACTGTAGTTGAGCCTGCGAACAAGAGGAACTGGTGGAACCGTTGGGAGTCGAAGGAGTCATGAATTAGTCGAGCTCGTCAGGTTGAGATCCTGGGAAGAAAGACGACGATGATCTCGTCCTGAATTGAAGAGTCTAGATAATGGAGTGCAGACCTTGATTCCTACCTTCTGTGTCTGTGCTTGGATCTGGAGCAAAGGGAACAACAATATTCTGGAGAATGCAGCTAAGATCATCCAGATTGTACTGTAAAGCCCTCATTCCAGTGGGGGTTATGTCTTCCATATTGTATCATACATCAAATCTAGGGGTACACAGCAAGCGATTGCTTGTTCAAGTTTCTCCCATTGTCATTCTCGTGCTAGTTTAGGCTTTTGTGATAATTCTGATTTCATGTAAAAAATTCTTGGGCTTTCTGCATCATTAAACTCTACATTCTTTCTGCGAAAAATGTTGGCAATTAAGAGGGAGCACGCTCGTGCATGTGATGCACAGTTGGCTGCCTCCCTCCGCGTGTAATCTATTCAGAAAGCCTCAGATTAGCAGCGCTAATGAGGAGGCTGCAGTCAGAAGAGGACATTCTCACGTCAAAACCGAAGGCACGCTGAGTGCCACATGGCACACTCCTTAGCTTTGTGCCTACTTACGAACATAGTGATCTCGAGCGTAAAAATATATCGCACCGGTTTGCCAATATGCACGGACAGATGGATTCTGGCACAGCACATACGCCTTTCACAAGCTCAAACCACCTAAACCTCAGTCCCTTGTTTCTCAGTGAGCCATTGTTATCAAGGCAACACAGCGGAAACCGTCGTCAACTCCATAGCCAAACGTTTGTGGCAGCAAAACACATCTCTCCGATATGGGGAGCATCGAGCATCGACCTTCAGACTTCAAATTGCACACAGGAGAGGAATTGTTGTACACAGCTGACAAAAGGATGGGATGTACTTGAACAAAACACGGCGGTCGGGGTTTAGGGTTTAAGCCTTAAAGAAGGAGAACGACTCTGTCTTCACTCCCGAACTTGCGAATGAATGGAACGATGTGAAGTTAACATCGGTATGCTGGTATAGTCTTAGCATACAATTGCTGCTCACGGCGTCCAGCGGTGGGTCAGTGTAGTCACTTCAAGATTATCGGGTCTGCGAAGTTGATTGCGTGTTGCGAGTCGTTGAAGTCTCGGGTTTCTGAAATTTGTTGTCAAGTCTTCAGAAACTGCGAAGAGAATCACGTTTGCGCAATTGGTCTGGTGACAGTCTGCAATATCGCCGAGCTCCAAATGGCGGTATTGCACTCCATGATATAATCGTCGAAATAGCAACAGAAGACTCGTTCGCAGTTGACCAAGATGGAACCTCCGACCTACTGGGCGTCTTGCGCAACAGGCTTACAGTTCTGTTTACGAGCTGAGGTGAATGTTGAAACCACAGCGCACGATGAGTACATCGTTCAATGCCAGTCGATCTAAAGTTTGTTCTGCCTTCTGTGTGTCGAATTGTCACGACGAAAATGGCATCACAAAACTACGACGTCCTGGCCGGAGATTACAAAACTGTCGGAAGTAGCGACTACGAGCACCGCCTTAACCTTGGGCGGGATTTGTGATTCTGAATTCTGATAGAGAATGGTTGCAGTTGGAATGGCGGAATCTCTCACTCATATGGAATAATGATCGTGCCAAGTGTCTGAATTCTTTGTGCAATTGTGGCCGTGAATGATGTTTCCAGTTGGAAGCCATCGAAGGAACAGACGTCATATCGGATTCCCTCGCTCAAGGAGGTGTACTATTTCGCACAAATGCCGAACCGAAGGTACAAAACTTCTAATATTTTTCCCAGACGAAGTTTTATTCTTGAACGCAATCTGATAAACGAACAATTTACATGCACGTCGTTAAGAGAAGTGAGATACTTTAGAAGGGGATATTTTGTATCATGCTAATCCCCCAAAACTGCTGACTCCATATTCGTGGTGGTACGACCACAGGAACTTGCCAAACTGCGTGCTGCAGACAACATTTACGCTTTTCTGGGACACCATCAGGTAGTACTCAAGTCCCGATGGTTTTGTCGGATGATTGGAATTCCGCTTACTAGCAACTGCTGCAACTCTCCTAGTTCAGTTGGAACTCAGCAAGAAGCACCACCTCGGAGTTGGTGCATATCTGAAGTGACTCACGATCATCTCTCTGCATGTGATTCAGGATGTACCTTTGGAGAAAGAAGCAGCCGTCGAGTATCTCACTTCCCTCTCTGCCAAGGCAAGTTCGCCTCGTGGTTCACAATAAGAAACCGTTCAGACCATATCCTTACTTTTTGAGAGAACTGAACACAAGTTGCTGCTGGCTTGGAAAGTCTCATCACGCGTGCTCTCTGAACGTACAGATTGACTGGAAGTCTCCACTGGAGTTGTATAGGCGCTGGAAGCAGCTGGATGAAACTAAGAATTGCTCAGCTTCAAAATCATCTTCTGAAGACAAGGAGAATATGGATGCGTCTAGCTCACCGCTGACATTTCGTGTCACGAGTGATCGAATCTGCAAGAACATGATGAAGCAGAAGTACACGTCTATGGATGCTGCCGGTAAGAAAGCTTCTCCGCATCTATACCAGCCATCGAAGAAAGCAGCAACGTATTATGTCTGTATTAGCACTCAATGACTGAAATTGAGTGTGCAACTAGATATTTCATCAGTTGCTTGTCTTGTGGAATTGCGGACTACGCTGCTAGCTCAGTTGTTTAAGTCATCATCCTTATAGCTGTTCATGGAATGATTGCAGCTGCTATTGGGGATGGCGTTAACGAGCTACTAGGATGGAAAGCAAGCATGAGAGTCTACGATGGTAATTTCGTCCAACATTTCTAGAGCTTTGGACCGATTCTCCTGAAGCATTCCATAATGGTTTTTTTAATGGCAGCAGTTGACAGTTTTCAAGAAAATCGGTCGAAACCTCAAATGTTATGCAGCCTGCATAGGTCCTTAGCTCAGCCTCTCCTAAGGTCTTTCATGTCGTGAACAGTGGAGGTATTGGCTTGGATAAGAGACATGGAACTCCTTATTGTCGTTGCACTTATTTACAGGTACGTCCACTCATGCTAATTAAACTTTGTTCAAAAACCGTTATAGTTTTTTGATGCAAAACTATGTCGCCAACCTACTTGCTGTTCTTGACATCTCAATTTTGTGACTCCATGTGAAGCTTACTATGTACTTGAACAGCGATGCATTGTTCTTTTATGTGGTAGTGGAAATAAAACGATCGAGAGGCTATTTGAGAACAATGTAGCTGAGGAAAAGTGTACAACAGAGAACTTGCCGGAGGCTCCTCGTCTTTCTGAGGCGCCCAAAGATACTGAAGTGAAGTTCCAGAGACCCAGTCGTTCCGAGGCGCAGGTGATCTGAAAGCTCAAACCAATGTCCTCTCGTTTTAAATATGACCGGAAGCGTGCAAATGGTTAGAAAAAAGATGCTTATGATCAGGAGGATGAGAGGCACACTTTTAAATGCAAACCTCCAGTTACTAGATACAGACGCAACCTGCTTCTGAGACCATGATGGCAATAATTCTATGTGATCACCATGCTTTTACATCGAGCTTTCCAAGAGTCAATTGTACGGTTGCTAAGCTGAAATCCGCACATTTTGAGCTAGATGTAGTCATTGAAAGACTTCCGTTTTCAGCTTCATGGCGGAGGTTGTCGAATCAGATGCTTTTAAAAATATTTGTTTGTGGACATGGACAATCCTGCAGCTTCATTCTCGAAGACAATATCGGAAAGCTTTGGTGGGAACTTCATTGAAGCCAAGGTCTGCTGTTGTTAGATGTACTTGAAGCATATTTTCTTCAGGATTCCCCTCCCAATCAGGCTAGTATGTTTCTTGCTTTATGTGTGAAGTATACACTTCACACTTGAGAAAGTGCCTCTGGTACCGAGGATTTCATCCTAAGTAATGACTAAACGCTTTTGTTCCAATTTGCGCTCAAGAAAGATCAATAGGGCTCTCCTACCTCAAAGAAAGTAGATTTCGTCATTTCTTTTACTGCTGACGGTTGCTGCTGATTGTCTTCTGTCCAGTACATCATACGCGCTGCTTCAACTTGCACAAATCAAACCTGGTCACGTTGTCCTTGACCCAATGTATAAATCTATTCACTACTTATGAGGATAAATTTTTGTTCTATTAGAAGTTTCGAGTGATTCGGCTTTAAGTAACAATCCGTTCACACCCATAGTGATTTTTTCAATGTTCACCTACAAAATTACGAGACAACAACTTAACGATGAGTCATGTTCTGTCTTGATCATTGCAGGTGTGGATGCGGAACTATACCTCTCGAAGCTGTAGATTGGCTTGGGGGACAAATTATGTCTATTGGAGCAGACAACAATCCTAAGGCGGTAGATGCTGCTGCAATAAATGTTAGAGGTATAGGAGCTGTATACAATCTGTAGCATACGTTGCTGTCACAAATTCATTATGAAATGTTCTTGCTATGTAAGAATTTAGATTGCAGCAAACCATGAAATATGTACTCGAAAGAGTAGAGTCTAACTAATCCATTTCGCAGGAGGAGGCGGAAGAGGACCGTGTGATGTTTTAAGCTGGGATGCAGCAAATCTTCCCCTACGGAGTGGCACGATAGATCGCGTAGTGTGTGATATGCCATTTGGAAATCGTTGTGGTAATTATTTTAACAGTTATATGTATTTATATACTTATCAGTTCAGAATACCAAGGGAGATTGTAGTATGTCTTCCTGCTCTGCAATGCTTTTCTCGTTTTTAGTACTCCCTTTCTCTTCGTGTTCTTCATCACACATCTACAAATTGTGGATGTATCTTCTAGCCTTCTCAGAACAAACATATCGATCTCTAAATGCAGGTAATTATAAAGTGCGAGAATGGCTGTGTCCGAAGGTCGTAAAAGAGGTGAACTTTCTTTCTTACATATTCTGGAGAACAATCGACCATCTTGAATCATCATTTCGACTCAGAGATCACTTTCAGAAAATCTGTTGTGTTGAATGATCTCAGCCCAATTAGACAACTTGGACAACTTAGCTTGTACCACTCACTAAATTTTGCACGACAACGATTCATGATTTAACCAGTAGCCCACCATTATGCAGGTTGTGCGAATTCTCCAGCGAGGAACAGGTACTAAGATATCCATGATACGTGTTCCATATAATATGTTGTAATCAACTTTTACTCGTTGCAATATCGACGGTCCAATTTTGCAAAGGGTAATAGATTTTTATGACAGCTCTGGAGCTAAGATAATAATCTCATTGGCCTTCGGTTTTTTTGATGTTCTGTTTTTGCTCCAAGTATACTTGGCATTCATCTTCTAATGGTTCAAGTCCTGGCGATTCCAAGATTTAGATGGGAAAAACCTTGGTGTGATTGTTTCCTTCAGCTTCAATTTCTTCGTCCACGAAATGTTTTTGTTCTCATTATCACGAGTCGCTGTTGCAGGGATTGCGGTGTTGATGGCCCAGAGCAAGACCATGCGTCAAGAAGTGGAGGTCAATCAGAAGCCTTTTTTGGAAATGCTCCAACACATCTTGGTTGAGATGGAGGTACATGCCTGATATTAATAATTCATGTCGCTTTTACTGCTGAAAATAAAATGGAATGAAGTCACTTATTTTGCTGCACATCTGTGATAAGTTTGTTACTAGTGTCCGCTACCATGAAACTCAGGTGGATCGTACTGCAACTAAGAATTCGATATTCTCTCTTATCCACCACAGGGGCTTACAGTAGATGTTTATGTCGTTCGAAGAACAATTGAGCCGCCACCGATCCACGTATGTTCACAGCACTTTTGAACTTCGTTCGACTGTACCATTACTAATTTTGAGCCATTTATGTTTTGCATTGTACCGAGCATTGTCATTGGCACCTTTCGTTCTAGTTCTCAAAAGTTCGGATATGTTTATCCGTTAATCTGCAGGAATTCAGACCGAAGAAGGCGAATCACAAGAGGCAAAGAGTAGTGGTCAAGCGCTAATTATGCTCAAAACCGAGTAATCTTCCGTGATCCGAGGTCTTGGGCGGAAAATTGACTTCACAATCAAAGAGAAAACGAAGGAGATTTGGAAGCTTATCGATAATCAGGTTATAGGTCAAATCAGATTTCTGTCAAGTTGTTATTTTGATAATCAATTTCTTATATTCAAGAGGCTCATCATCATGTTCTTTGCAAACAGCGATGCCAAGTTTTTCTCTGCTTTTCCTTTTCAAGTTGAGGAATACCGGAATCACCAGATTCTTATCTTAAGTATCACATCGTCCACCTTAATCCCACAGATGAGATCGTGGCTTAGAAAAATCCCCCGTTCACTGCCTGAACGGAGATGTGACAAGCAGTGAAGCAACATTTAGTTTAGAGGGCTGATATTGGCTTTGGGATGCCCTCATCGTCATCATTCTGTGTTATGCTGTTCGGAAGGAGGAATCATCGTTTGAAACACGGAAGCATCGAAGCAGTCCGGAGTGCAGATCGATGTTGTGAGATTTTTGCCTTGCTTTTTTTCACTCTCATCGAGCCGAAAACAAAGTAAAGGAAAAAGCAATAAAATCGAGAATGAGAAAAACTGTTCGAAAGGTCGGGCATCTGCAACCTCTTAACAACTCTATTCACGCAGTTCCTTCCACCAAATTATCCACGGACACTCTCCTCGGAAAACTTCACTCAAACTAAGGGCCAGAGAGAGCACTGGAGGCGGTACAGGTCGATTGATCGCAGACAAGAAGTCAAGCGTGACGCTTTTCCTCGACTAAGCAGAGCCTTGCGCCGTGCCTTACACACCATCTCCCAACACCAGAGACTGCACTTTTCAAGCTACAAATGTACGTGTAAATGAAAACCCAGCTCCGACTTCTATCTTTCTCAGTGCCCAACCCGCCCAGTTATCAGGAAGCAGGCAAGCTCACGCCATTCAGCGTCAGATTCATGTGGTCTGAGTACAAATCCTTGTGCACCGGTTTCTCATTTTGGGCATGTTGAGAGCGCTGCACGATACAAGTTACGGCGACCTCGTGGATAGCGGACAGCTCTATTTCATAGCCAATCAAGATTTGTTTCTGGCATTGTTGAACGTAAGTTTGAACGGATTCAACTCTGAAAGCCTTCGAGGATAAAAAAGAAATTGTACTAAGTGAAACTGAGATGTCGATGGTGATCACGTCCGTTCGTCTATTGAGATTTCTACTTCTGCTAAGGTGCACCATCCTGGCAGGGAGGGAGCAGACATCAACAGAGTGCAAAGTGCTGTTGTGACATTGGCTCATTATCCTCTCGCTGTCATCGAACGGAAAGAAAGCAAATATTACACACATGATATAACGAGGAAATGCATCCTTTATATTATATTTCTGTTTCCTTTTCTGCACGGGTACATTGAAGACGTATCTAAACTTGCTATCTGATATAGTGAACTTCAATGTGACACATTCTGTAGATGCAGAGCCATTGGAGATTTCACGTAAGATGCGATGCTCATTATGCCAGATCTGAGTTGAAGAAAAAAGCATAACTTAAGAGTGATCTGCCTGGGATAACGTAATTCTGTTGGAAGGTATGGGTCTGGCTGTGGGAAGTTCTCACCTCGAAAGAAGAGACTAACAGGAATAAGAGAATATAAATGAAAAGATATACAGAGAGTCTGATGAAGATTGCTTGGGTTAAACATAGGTATAACAGATATCAAACACTTCGGGGTCTTGTTAGAAACTGGAAAGGAAGAACAGAAGATAGAAGTACAGAAAATATACGACTTTATTCTATAGCAATCGAGAAAATTTATCGGCGGACTCCCAGTCAAGGAAAGTTAGGAAATACTAGTTGGAGAAGGCACCACCGATGCATGCAGAGGGTCCCTGAAAAACAGTTATTTTCAATATTTCATGGAAGGACGTTGAGACCTTTATATGAAATTCAATGAAACCTACCATCTTTGTGATTCAAAAAGATGCATAGATTACTGACATCACCACAAGTCGAATCGTTTTCTAGGATGAAGATCAACTAAGCGTGTATGCAATGTAACTATTGTGTGCAAACACGAGTAAGAAGGGTCTCTGTCAACCCATCTAGCTAGATGAGCTATTCTCGTTCTACTACGTTGTAATGTATATGCCTCCAAACCTCACTTCCAGTATTATACTTCTTCCAACTATGTACATGACTGTTCTGGAAAGGTTTGCCCATCTTACCAAAAGCAACGTTCTAATGTGGAGATGGATTACCTAGTATCATAGATTCAGGTAACCCAGCCGGGTCAAGCTCATAAGCATCGCCCGTGATACCAAGTTTGATATTTTTTGGTACTTTCCCGCTCAAGACACGGTGAGAAAAAGCTGGAAGCTGAGAAGGTGAGAAGTACTGTTTTGCTCCTGTACGGTGGAATACAGCAGAAAAGCCTGGAGTTTTAGCCAGTCTTGCAGTAAGCACACCTTGTTTCTCGGAGTAATCATGCAGAATTTCCACCAGTTCATAAGACTGGTTGGAGTTCTTGCTGTCTCTATGACCTTCTACATTGCCTCTCAGCTTCTGCATCCAATCTAAGTAAATGGCCCATATTTCGTCTTTCAGGGGATAGATTAAGACAGGATCTTCTCTCAGCTTGTAAGAAACGCAGTGCGAGAAGATGTTGATATATTGAGCCACACTCTCAACACCTGCAACAAATTCTCCACAAGCGATAGCAAACTTATTACCTTTCAACCAAGAATTGGGGTTTTTCCCCTCCGTCCTCGGTGTAGGTTCAAGCCAAACTATCTTCGCTTTGAATGACGATGAGGACCTTGAAACTCGTAAAATGCGACAATAAAATCTTGGCATTCCGTCTTTGTCATCATAAACCGCCCAGATTTGTCCAGCTCTGAAAGCACGTCTTGTTCGTAGAGTATCAAAGTCATGAAATTGAGAAGGTAATACTTCTATTAGCTCTGCTTGTACATCATCACGTTCTAATCTTGGCTGACCTCGATAAGATTTCCTGGAATCAACCTGCTTATGATCAGAACATGATGAGTTTACAGTCGCTTCTGCTCCAAAAACTTGTTTTCCCTTTCTCACTGACATATCTGTTCTTGCTCTAGCTGAATCTCGTTCCAGATCCTCGTCGATTTTGCTCTTGGCATCGTTATTTAACCCTTGAGCTCTTGTCTCCTCATTTTCATCGGCAACCGTCCCACGTGCAACATTTAGAAAGTCTTCTTCTCCGGGTGCAAGCTCATCCTCTCTGATCCTTGCTTTTAAGGAGGCTTGTACAATCACTTCTGGTACGATGGCAGGTAAATTTTCTGAACCATTGGGCCTTTTCCTAACCGTATGTAAATACGAGCTACTACATGGCAATTCCGGGGCAACACTCTCTGCTTGGAGAACGGAGATTGGAATTTCTTCGACCTCTGGTCCCTCTAAATTGTGCTCTAAGGTGATACTCTCCATGTCTGTCGTCTGTTTGGAACGAGCTGCTTCATGCCCAATCAGTTCACTCAACGTTTTCTTTCTCTTGGCAGGGTCATTTTGCAAGCACGTAGAAGCAGCTGGATTTATGCTTGCGATATCTGCTGATTGATGAGTGGATTCCACTTTATCCTTGGGAATGGGACTCGCACATTCTTGAGCGCGAGCTGCACGAGCCTCAAACCTGGTCTCCAGCCGCTTTGATCGATCTTGTGTACTACGTTCACTTGTACTGGAAAATTGAATTCCCTCGAATGTCTCGTTGCAGACATTCTGTAAGTCAGCCTCAGCTGGTTCCACCCCTCTGGCCTTCTTCCTCCTCTCCAGATTACTCATCTTCTTCTTTTCTGTGTGTATCTCTTTTTTCACTTCCCTCTCTCGCTTCTTCAACTCCTCTGCCGCTATTCGCCTTTTTAAGATAAAGTCTGACTCTTTAACGAGCCTCTCCCTTTCCTTCTGCATCTGTAAGGATTTTTCGGCCTTCAACTTCTTCTCCACTTCAGCTTTCAGTTGAGCAAGTGTTGGTCCTCCTTCAGTCTCCACTTTTCTCAAATCTGGCTTCATCCCAGAAGACTGTCCTCTGCTGCGAATCTCGTCCACGTTAGCTTTCACATTTGGAGGTCGAGGAAACTTTCGCTTTGAATCATAAAGAAGTTTCTTCGATCTATCGGACAAGACCATCCATGCATCACTGATGAGTTTGAATGCACTCTCAGCCCCAAGAGCTTTATTCTTATCTGGATGAAAGAGAAGACAAAGTTTCTTGTACTGTGACTTTATTGTTGCGTCGTTAGCTACCGGATCCACCTGCAGTATCCCATACCAGTCCTTTTCTCCATTTCCGATTGTTTGCTGTGATATCATGTGGACATCGATCACTGGAAGCATTTGAGATAATCCTTCTAAAGAAGGATTGAGATTGAGGGCCTTCATAGCAAACCTTTTTGCACCGTTAAAGTCTCTAGCCTTGAATTTTGTTTCAGCAATCTGCTGGGCACGAACCGCTTCTTCTTTGTTGCATTCCATTGTATAAGACTAGCCTGTTGGCCACAAACAGCAATCGCAACATTAGCCTTTCTATACGATGAAGTATTTAATATTGTACTTGTTAAGGTGTTTGGGACATGATCTCAAACAGTTTCTTACTTCCATAGCGCGATGTGTATCTCAAAACTTGTCATTGACAAGAATCGCAACTTAATTTCACCAAGACTCTGACCGATGTATCTCTACGAGGAGAAAACTGAAAATATAGTCTCTAAACTGATGTAACATTTCTTTTAATAATTTGCAAACATAAATAGCTGAGTCTGAATAGAAAACAAAAACTGAAATAAGATCAGCATACATCATGTCATGCTTAAACGTTGTCTACGTAAATTGGCATTTCAAGAAAATGATCGGAAATAGAAAGTATCCAACTATTATGGAGACAACATTCAATCTTTGAGGAGATAAGGACCATTCATACGTAATATAATACAAGATAGATTTCATAATGAATGAAAAAGAATGATAGAAACCGACTTGTAAAAGTGAGGAAATGTATAGATCAGAACACATACTTATTTCACAGATTTTGAGAAAAGTCACGCATAAAAAAACCTGAAGGAAAACGCGCTGAAGAGAAACTCAAAGCCGAAGGCCAGCCAAGGCAAGAAGAGACCCAACCAGGGGCCAGAGGAAAAGGTAAGGCTTGTCAATATAGTAATAAACAGGAAAATCTCCGAGTGATACTCTGATCTCTCTTGCATGAAGCTCTTAGGTTCGAGTAGAAACTGGGGTGCCGAACAACCATAAGTTATCTATCTCTTATTAGTCTCCTGAGTCCTCAGCCTAATGCACGCTGTGCCTGAGGTTATACAAGCATACTTAACTGTTCATGGCGTCGATAATGAGAATGTATCTATGAGAGAGCGAGAGAGAGAGAGACATATCTAAAGAATGAATACCTTGTGACTTTCTTCACCTATGGATATTCATCTCCATTTTCTAGTAGCTCTCCAATGATCCGCATTCAACTTTTGAATGTAGACAATTAGAGAGCTCCTAAAAAATGGCTTGAGCTTGGCTCATGCCAATTTTCTTTCTCGGTGGTCTCACTTATAAAGTGTCTCTATTTGTTTCAGTAAAAAATTATCAAGATTGACGGTCCGTAATGAAGAAAAGATTCCATACCGAAGTACTTATTTATCATATTTTCAGAATGACTTACATTTGTTTCACAGACGTAGTTTTGACAGAACTATTCTGTCTCTTCATTAGTTGAGACTTCTTATAATCTCCCCACAGCCGGACTTGTGCAGCAGGGCACCTGAAAATAGGGAAGGGTTCTCGTGTGCGGCCCAGCCATTCTCGGCATTCGGCCCTTCTTAAGTTATAACGGAAATCTCAAGGACATGGGTGAACAAAAAACGTAAGTACACAATTTGTCAGAAGTTTGATAGCAGCAAGATCGTATATCTTGGGAGAACCTGAGGCCTAATTAGCCGTTGTCTTTGTAGTATACTCCAATATTTCGTTTTGGGACACAGTAGCGTATGGGAGACCATCACATTAATGAAAAAGGGAATTCAACTGTCACAAGCTATATTCATATATGATATTTTATCAGTATCAGGAGCACAATGTGAGTCTGGCGGTTATTGGATCCATATAATTTATTATGACATTGTCGAACGTAGCAATTCCATGGTTACAACTTATAGGAACCGCATCTATCGGTTAATAATCTAAGTGATGTCGATCGAAACCAAGAACAGGGAGAACAACCCAAGACAACAAGAAGAGATTGAAAACGTAAGTACCTAAACACAACTAAAGTAGATTTTAAATCAAAGCAGCATGTTGATAGTATGAAATCAGCTCGATTAAATTTTTTGATCTTGGAAAAATCTTCTATCTAATCGTAACTTGTCAAGGTAGTGCCTGGACGAATGCATGAAGAAGGTTGTAAGTATATTTCAAGATGAACGCATAACTCAAAGTTTCACCAAATCATCAGTCCGGGCAAGTTTTTGGAAATAAATGATAGGAATTACTAAGCATAATTAGACTAGTTTAGTTCTTTCCTCAGAGTGCAATATAACGTTGACTAAAAACAAATGAATATCATACTGAAAGAAAATCACCAATATCAAGACACACGGTCAGGAATTGAAATAACGGAAAATCAAAAGGGAAATTTTTTCTAGACTTTGTGCACGAGATTTCTTTGGGATGAAGATGACCAGTTTCAGTGGAATTTACCTAGTAGATGAAAGGAGAACTAGAAAATGAGATATCGCAATCCCATGCACACAACTTACTGGCGGAAACCCCTTGATGACACTTCTAACGTCATAGAAATAGAAAGAAAAACCAAACATCTCCTCACATTCAATCTCCTGTGGTCATTTCGACTAGCCATAGATTGGAACACAGAAGCTAGGAGTTCCGTTTGACTTACAACTTGGAGAGTGTGATGGAGTCAGAGAAGTATAAGAACTATCGTGAACAAGGGAGGAAAAAAGAAGTCGATGAAATCGGTTGACATTTACCTTCGGAGGTTTTAGGTTTATTTTTCGAGCCAGTGTGCTGTGTCGGCTCTCTCCAGAATCATCTGACTTGCTTGACAATTGCCTCGGACTGGAGTGGGTCTTGCTCAACTGCAGCACCTTTCAGAAACATTTATGAAAAATGGCAGCGAAACCAAACCCAAAAAATGGCTCCATTCTCTTCCAGCCATAGATTTGGACTTTCCAAAGAAGAAGAGAGGAGAACCTCATGGTCGTAAAACTGCTAAAATTAGAATGATTGGTTGGTAAGGAAGGAGGGAGCACTGATGACACCAAACCGTCGTCTCAACATCTCGTTCACATAATTGTCATCTCCTCTGAGGTCAAGGCCTCTGGTCTACCATGTCAGTAATCAGCCGTATTGGGCGTATGATATCCATCAGCGCCATAGGAGGCTTGTCAACACGGCCAACCAATGTTCACAGGAATGATCTGTTTCCGTAATCCCCGCCTTATTATGAAACCTTTAATTACTCACCGGCAAAGTCCAACGGTCACTTCTTAGCTCCCGGGCAGGTAAGTCATTTTTCAAATAATACCCAGATCTCTGATTTTCTTCTGGCTCTCCGAATATGTATCCGTTGGGCTTGGTTCCTCTTCGCCTTCTATTCTTTTTCTGATTTTTCATTGGCAAACATTGTCTCTGTTCTTGAATATTTCTCTTTTAGAAGCCCTTCTAAAAATGTAAGTCATGTTTAGCCTACTTCCTTCGATCATTCTAGTTCCCTCTTCAACATTCGAGCAATCATTCTGATTCCCTCTTCAACATTTCTGTCTTATCCTTTGGCCTTGTACAAGGGTTTTTTCTGACCTTCTCTTCTATGTATACCTGAAACGGGGGCCTTTGCCATCATTGTGTGTGCTCGAACATCCTTTTTAATAATACTTTGAGTGAGTGGATTTGTCTGTGAATTTTTTGTGATCTCTTATAAAATATGCGTCCCCGAGGATGGTTTTGCTCATCAGAGAAAAACGTAAAACAGTGAGTTGCCCCATTTAAAACGATTAATGTATGCAATCCTTTTTTGTTGCTAGTCCATGTGTTTTCTGCAAAATCTGCATTTAACCATGTGCCTTGCAGGCCGCGGCCTATCTCATGTCATCAACTGTTTTGCATTGTCCCGATACGTACCTGAAGTATGCAAATACAGCGGTCACAAGCTGAAGGGAATCAAGTTAGGGTGTTATCTAATTATGAAAACATTATCGTAATTTGCTTAGATACAATTTACAATCAAAAAGTTGTAAGTTAGTTGATTGATTGAGCTTTGAAATAATTTATTTCTCTAACGCAAGATGGGAGTAATAATTATATACGAGAAAATCTAAACAACTTGCATTTAAGAATCTTTACTTCATGTTTTTATCATTGACTATCATTGACTATCATGAGTTCATTAGAGTTTCATATTCTATAGTTATGTCTTCTAATGATTTTTTTGATTTTTTTGGCTCACATGGCTTCAAAACGCATGCAGCAGAGAGAATATAAGACGCCAATGTAGGATCAGGCCCCAAACTTTAAATTTAAGACCCAATCCAGAGTGCATTAGTGTGTTTGTGTTTCAAATTCTCCCTTGGTCATATGTTAGTTAGCTTGGTGTAGTTACTTTTGACATTGTGAATAATCATGAATTGGATTGTGTTCAGACCCAATTTAACACGACACTTGCATTCAAGATGCTGAGAAGACGGAGGGATTCATGATAAACACGTCCAAGCCTACGGCCTGGAGCATACACTGCAGTGCATGCGAGGATTCGTATCAGAAGATTTGATGCGAGATGCAAATGGGAGATATCACTTTGTACACTGTGATTTCAGTGGATTTTTTTTTGCTTTATGGAAAACCTTCCAGTAGTCTTGCTGCCTTTCCGAATCTCAATGGGCAGTTTGAGATTTCAATCTGAAACCCAATGACTTGATGGTATGGTAGCATCATACCTGATGCTCCAGTCTAATGATATGGAGTATAACAAAGAAAAATTGAAACTTGGTGTATGAAGAAGAGACAGAAATCTATCGAGAGCTGGAAATCATCATAAATCAAGAATGAAATACTCAAATCTATTTGTGTTTTGTTAAATATCAGATCATACGTACAACTGACTTTCAAAAACGTGTTTGTTGTTCTGATTTAGTATCTAACTACTAAATACTGTATTCTATTGTGTTAACCATGGATGTGTTCTTTCATCATTATGGACACGTCCCTTCCCTGCCCTTGTAAGATAGACATTCCATAGTTATGACGTGCTATTCTTCTGATCTGCAGATACGCAATAATATTCCCGATTAGGGCGCTTAGGATAGTCAAGGTATAAAACATTTGAAGAATATCAGATGTTTTATTATGGTTTATAGTTAAACCAGCGTCGCTCATCACTCATTCTAGCAGAATATTGAAAGTTTTATATTTGAAGGTTTTATGGATGAAGTATGTTTCCCTCCACAGTGAGAAGGAACTTTAGTGGCTGTATTTTCTGGTATAGTTCATCAATTCCGGATGAAATCCCAAACTTTGCTCCGCCACGCCAATATTATCACCTGATGAGAGGAGTCTTTACGCGTCTATTGCATGCAGAGTGGAGGGTGATGATCGATCTCTGAAATAAAATTGCAGGGATTGATCCAATTTTAAATCCTGATGATGTCTTATCTTTACTGTGACCCTACTGTGAAAATTCATCACAAAGCACACACGATTTCATTGACTTGATACCTACTTCTTACCTACTTGTGAGGGTTGGTAGAGAATTCTTTTCTTGATGCCTGTGTCATCCTGTAGCTTGAATTACAATGTCTTTAGAAAGAAATTGGGTAGATTCCAGAAGTTTCAGTTCAGAGTTTGTTCGTCATAATTAAGCAACCACATGCTCGATACTGTCAAGCAATTTTTGGTTGGTGGTAAACTCATGAATTCAGTAAGGAGCTTCAGCAATTTCTCCTCTTTAATATGATGTAAAGATAAATGTTGAAATTGTGAATTCAGAGAGAGTTAAACAAATAAAAAATCGTTCACGATAATCTAATTTTAGAACTATATATTCATAGAAGAATCATACGCATGCATCGTTTTGGATTATAACCGTCAAGTGTAAGGACAGATTTATTAGGTGTTATTTATTTGTACAGCACACCAACATGTGTTTTCCTTACGTAAGCTAGCTGTAATCAGGTACGGTTGTAAGTCTCAACGATTCAGAGCGTCAGGTTGGAGTACATTTTCATTATATAATTCAACGATAAATCTTTTTGTCGTTGAATAATTCAACTATGCAGCCCATAGGATAATGTATTGTAGAAACAAAATCTCACCACACCTACAAAGAAAATGAATAAAATGGGATCGATGTTCCCGCGGAATTCAGGTAAGAATAAGCTGAAACTTGAGGCGGTAAGTGTCTGTATATACACCTGAACCGAGGGCTATGATTTTGATTTGAAAACAACAGTCGCTGTGAAATATAGGATTACCGCAACCATACTGTTTCCCGATAAAAAAATAATATATTTACCCTATCTGAAGAGGTGGATAGTTTGAATGGCGACACAATATTTAGAACAATTACCAAAATTATTGTCAACCAGACTTTGTTTGAAGACATGAATCACTTAAAAACGAGCAGAAAGCATAGAAATTATTCATTAAACAATTGGAAGCAGACTGAGCTTGTAATTCGGCATATCATATAAATAAATAAATATATCAACATTATTCGCTCAGCAGTGATACTGAAATATTCAATGTATAACACTATCTTCCCATTCCTGAGTGACAAGCTTTTTACAACTATTTATTTCTTCGTTTAGATATAGACTGAAATTTTGAAGAAATGCATATAAATACATAAATCGAAAAATAAAGTCAAGATGAAGTTAATTTTTGAACGATTAGTAACATAGCTAAAAAATTGAACATAAGATACTTTTTTTTTGTATGTTTATCTGAGAAAACTTTTAAAATTCATGATGAGTTAAGGAACGAAATGTTTGGAAAATTCGAAGACATCTCCTTAAGATTTTTTAATTTCAAAGCTCAATACAATAAAACGTTAATTTTGTCGTTGTTAATGCAGATTTAAAGCTACGTACAACTTGAAAACGTGAATTGAACTTCCAGTAATACATGTTTACGAAATAACAATTGGAGAAAGCCCTCATGATTCAAACTTGGGAGAAAATACTTAGATTCTGAAGGATGCTGATAAAATCTTCTGCCTCCATGTGATATTTGATATATTGATCAGTAAGTAGCACGATGAAACTTTATGAGAAGAAAGATTTCATCTTGTCCTTTAGGATCCTCGTTACCATCGTTGTTATCTTCCTTGACACCAGTCAATTTTGTGATTCCAACTCCCTCCCATCCTAAAAATAACTGAATATAATTATCTCCAGTAACCAACATAAGCATAAAAAAGTAAAAATTGACACCCTTGGTATTAACGGAAAAAATTGTGCGTTGAGGGGTGGAGAAATATGTCTACATAGAAAAATATAGGCATCTGAGTGGGCTATGCCCGTGGTCCGTATAATCCTGAATGATACATATGAATATTAATGAATGGATTTCACTAGTAATCCAAAATGTACTTCATAGCTGTCCACAGACTTGGCCCTCCATTCATTCCTCGCTGCTTTGCTGATTGCTGACCGCTGATCCTGTGAAAAACATCAATCATTGGTATTTCATCTTCACATGAGCAATTCAATGACAAGTGCACACACACCGCGTGATCACAGATCGCAGGTCAGGAAGATGAACGAAACTCTGTTGATCTACGGTCAAGGCAATTAAAGCAACAAGGAGAGAGAGAGAGAGAGAGTGAGAAATGAATAATCGTCGGTCAGGAAGAAGCACTAAACTCCGTTAATCTACGGTCAAGGTAATAAATAAATTGAAGGAATTGTGCGAACACAAAAAGAAGCAAGACATGGTCCGTAGGGAACAAACGTAGAGAGGGGCGCGAGACTTCAGTGAAGATTGGTAGACAGTGCTGAGAAATGTGTGGAGCAATTGGAGAATTTGGAAGGTGAGTCCTTCACTTTTTTTCGTTATGCATATGTTAGTGGAATGGGCTGGAGCTGATTTTGCATTTGGCGAATGTCAATGGGTGTATCTCTTGTGATCATTGGAGAATTCCACTTCACATAGTGTGGGGTTTAGTGGGGTTTAGGGTTTAAACACCCGTATTGATTGCAATGAGTTTGTTTTCACAGATAGAGGGCAGGACAAACAAGTGAGGATAAGGTGATCGTTTTGAACAGAGAAGACCTAGAAGGCGTAAACAATTTACTTTGCTAAGAAATTTGTTTTCGACAAGGTGACCGCTGGTTTCTAGTCCGTGAATAAAGTGAGGAGGACACTGGGCATCATCTTCATCATGAATCGGATTTGGTAAGCTGCCACCAAAACTCCGAACTTTGACACTTTTGCTTGATTCTTCGTAAGATTCTCTCGAGTTCACTCTTACCACATTTGCTTTTCTGTATACTAAGAATAATGATTAAAAATTGCAAACTTAGGCCTACAGTGGGCAACCTTCGAATTGTGTCTCTCTGTTCGACGGGCTTTTAGAATTTGACAACAACAATGCACCAAAAAAAGCATCTAAAAGTTCGAATGCAATCTTCGCACCATTTTGAAGAATGGAGCAAACATAGATACGGTGTCAACTGCTTATAATCGCTGAGCTCAGTCATGTGGACTTGACTTCTATTTTGTCGACAATTCCAGCTACTACGATGAACTCCTTAATTACGCATGTAGATTGCACCTCACACTTACATCTGTATTGTCTTCGGTGTATGACTGCTAAATGTAATAAATTATCAATGTGTCAATTTGTAGGAGTCTCCGTAGAAGACTGGAAAGTGGAAAACAGCAGGATATCAGAGCAAAGAAGCAGTGTTTGAGAAAATTGAGGCCAACGACTACGGTGAGTCACTTACCAGCAGTGCGACTCCGCGGCCTCCCCTTTGACTGCTCTGAAAAGGATATCTACGACTTTTTTCTCGGATTCGACGTGCTAGATGTTCTTCTCGTATCCAGGAGATGGCGGTTCTCAGGAGAAGCATTTGTCTTGTTTGGAAATATCGGCCAAGTCGGCTACGCTCTTCAAAAGCATCGACATGTAATTCGTCATCGGTACATCGAGATATTCCTGACTGAAAGAAAAGACTACTACCAAGCAATCGCAGCAGAGGTCTCAAGAATTCAGGGAGACGATGTTACCTTCGCCAGTGCACGAACAGTGCACCCTGTTCTGAGATTGAGAGGGCTGCCATTCTCAGCATCCAGGAGGGACATAGTCAATTTCTTCAAAGACTTCAACCTCCGGGAGAACGCTGTGCACTTGGTTGTATCTGCGGAGGGACGCCCAACTGGAGAAGCTTTTGTTGAGTTTCCATCCATCACCCTCTCCAAAGCTGCAATGAACAAGGACAAAATGATTCTGGGAGATCGGTACATTGAGCTCTTCCCTGTCTACTCGTACCTCAATCAAACCTCCTCTTCTGCTTTCTCCTCCACTGACAACTAGTTTGTTCTTCTACATTGAAGGTCAGTAGGTTCACGTCTAAACAATATCATCATCCTGTGGGTCATAGAAGCTGCTTCTATGTCAGAAACTGGCGTATATTGTATTTAAATGTGGCCATAAGAACGTTAGCTGTGAAATAACGGAGTCATATAGTTTTCTTCATTTGATACAGGCTCTAAGCAGAACAATGACATCACTTCGAGCCTTCTTGTCATTTTATGATATGTATATGTTTATTGATCAATTTTATAACTTGAGATCCACTCAAGAAAGAAACATTTTCCATTCTATGCTTTTTTTTAAAAGCTTATCACTATATAGATTTTCCTCGCCCAAGGATTCATACAATGACAACAGATTTCATCTCTATAATATGATATATTTGGACTGATTTAGTTGTTACCACTTGCATGCTTAGTTTAATCTATGTGTTGAGAGCATCAAAATAGTGAGACTAACGGGAGATCCCCTTAGGGTATATTAACAATGGCGAAAAGGTTTAAAAAAAAATCCGTACCTAGCCCGCTGCTCCGGTCTAGGCAACAAGTATTATCCATATAATCGTCACACCTGTATAGTACTCGAATGACGTGGCAACAGCAACATCTTGAAGATGTAGATAGATCAATCAAAACCTTCAAAACATGAACATTACTATTAAATATGATTTCTCAATACAATATTATCATAACTGCTGCCAATACAGGTGGTTTCTACCTCTATTGAATTATGTAGCCATCTAGTCATTAGAGTGGTATTGCCCTTCTGAGCCTGAATCATTAGTCCAAGTTTTATTGGCATTGTTAATAGATTATCTTCAATGCGTACCATAAGATGGTGAGACCGACGTGTTTGCTACTTGTTGCAATGACATTTCTGGTGCCCATAGACCACCGCATTGAGAGGATGTGTTAAGGTGACATGTGTCATCTTCTTGACCAAAAGTCAGAAATTAAAATACTGAGCGCTAAAACAACTAATCCGATGCACACATGCACACCTGCAATACTTGCAATGATAGTATCCACGATATTTGGAAAGAGGCATGGCCCATTCTTTTGCACATTTTCTTTTGAAAACTCAACAATTATGATATTTTAATATGAAAACTCCAAAATATAGAATCTTATGACTTTATTGTAGCAAATTGCACCAACCCCATAACTAAGTCACCTATACAAATTATAAGCTCCAATTTATATCCCTACTCTATTGTTAACACAATGCAAATCTTCCTCATTTTCAGTAACCTCTAAGTTCTCAAAATAAATTACAGAATAGCTTTGATTTATAAGAACATTCTCTTGTCCAAATCTGATCCAAACTATCCATATCCGATGCATCAAATTATGTCTCCCGTTTAACGAAAAGGTACAGGTAATTAACACTCCAGAAAATTTCAGCTAAGTGCTCATAAAATATCTTTTCTCTCAACATTTGCATCTCAAATCACCCTTTAGAGTTGGAATTACAGGCCAACTGGTAATGACATTTGCTAGCATTGTGCTTGATCGTTCTTGCAGCATGGAAAAAAGATGTGTCCAGTGAATGTGTTGGATGCATGCATGATTCTTTTAGAGGAGGTAAATGCTTTGTGGAGGAGTAACATGTGAGTGGTCAACTCATCGATGTTGTCATCTATATGCCCATGTTCACTAAACGGCACGGAACACGTCTACCTCAACACAAGCGTGCGAAGTAATTAACAAAAAGCCATAATTGTAGAGAGAGGCATCTACTTTCTCCAACCCACTTCTTAGCTTGGATGTTGAACACATGGACAGTGAGTAGTTGTTGGGTAAAGAGTTGTCCGATGCAAAACTTTGGATACCCTCTGTAGCATCGAAGGAAGGTTCATGGACGCGACCGGATCTTTTGTCACATTCTAATTTAAATAAAGGCATGTTACCAACGATCTTATCAAAAGAAGCATCATGACGACAAGACGAGGACTCGGATTTTGGTTATCACTGTACTTAAGTAGATGAAGACAGTTTGTAGGATTTCGATGATGAGGAAATAAACCAAATGAAATTGTTTGTAATGCCAAAGCAAGACGCCATAAAGATGCAGACACTACGGTCTTATCCATGTAACTACATTGATGATATATGAACATTTGAGCAATTTTTCCTCTTGCCATAAAACTTCACAATTGTTCATCTTGATGAAACATCAGTATTAGAAACGTAGATTCCTTTCGGCTTGATACTTGGCCGGATACTGTATCTGAAAGTGCAACCCAAAAGAAGTGCATTTCTAAGAACTGCCAGATTTCTACGAGATATAGCAATCCTGCAGATTCTTACAAGATGTATTCAAAGTAAATAACTCTTTGTGGTGTCTATCATGAGATCGCATCATGGGATGATAACACACAAGACGAGCTTGAAAGAATCCCTTTGCATCGTTGATCCAGTGCTCTCCCATGCACAACTGAGTGTTCATATATACATAAATCTCCATACAGTCCTTCAATGGCTGCATAACTCAGTGTCGCGAACAACTGGCAGCTTTCCAGGTACGTCCTTGAGAGAAAGAGTCTGGGTGCCACCTTCCATCACGCAGTGTGCAGGATCTTCTCCATTATATACGATGATTTCAGCAGTCACGAGACACTGAGGGAATGTCTTCGTGCATACGCGATGATTGTAAACACCTTGATGGCCCTGACTCTCTGCCACAAACCCGCAAGGCTCGGCTTCCTCATGCTGGAGATCATGTCCTTTCTCAGCATCTTTTCCATCTTCAAATTCCAAATCTTTCACACACATATCCGTATCGGGCAACTCGTCGAACAGTATAAGTTTCTGCATCTCGTCATCACCACGACTTAATATCTCACCAAGTATAATGTCCGAATCCTCTCTATCAGCTCTCCTACCCTCCATTGCCATTGGTCCTCTCCAATCCTTCACCACAGTGCCATCCACATCAATATACATGTTCAACTTTCCAGAGAAGATTGAAGACATTCTGCACAGAAGCCGATGCACATTCTGTCGCCAAGATCTGTCGCAAGATATGCACACCTTCGAACATTGAAGAATGAAATCAAGAACAATCTCATGTCTCCTACTTTCGCCCCAGGCAAGTCAACTTTTGAGTATCTGTCTCAAATTTGAACTGCATATCCGATTGTAACGGTTGCGTCCCCAATGACAATTCAACCGCCAAAACGTCCACTCTGAGAGTCAAACAATATTTCCCGGTCTTCATTCCAACCTCCGGACGGTTAACGATCTGAAGACTGGAAGGAAGCTTTTGTGCAACCGCTGGTACCAGCCGGTACAAACCGAAGATTAAGAATTCTGCAAGATTAAGAATAATCCACACACCAAAAGCTAGTTATTTTTCAGCTCTTTGCTTTCAATGCTAGCACCCAATTGAATACTCAGCGTATATATTAGGTATTTGATGGATGTTCAAATTTAGAACAATGTTTCTATTATATTTCCAAGGTCTAAAAGTAGAAACCAGCTCAATTATACGTTGAAAAGCCCCATAAAATATGGACTGTTGAATGGTTCATTGATAGACATAAAGAGCTTGCTTTTCAATCAAGGTTATTTAATTTTCACCTCCAAATGGAACTTTTAGTAGATAGAAGAAATTAAAACAACCTCATCTAATCAAAAGAGCTTTGATTGAGACTATTGACTATGATGGAGCATTATCAGATTGTTTCACTCTTCATCAAACACTTCTCCATCAACAAAATCATGAATTCCGTGTCATTACATATTGTGTATAATTATGCATGTTTAGATCATATTTACCATTATGATGTTAGTGCTGTAGTGTTTGAACATCAATGATGATAAAGAGCAAGTGAGATTTTATAACTCAAATGTGTGAAATGTTCAAATGCATAGACATCAATGACGCTAAAGTTTCACTACGTATATTTAATTTCGTAATAATAAATTATTAAATATTTATCTACACTTCGCATATGATGCAATCTCAATATACATAATTTCCTCTGTTCAAAGGCAGAGAGAATTGAATTCAATAAATGTTTTCAATTATGAAGACATGTATAGAATCAAACTCTTTAGAATTAAAGCTTGGAATTTGGAGAAAGTATAACCATATATTTTGTGAAATATTGTGAATAGTAGAGATATCTCTTTGATCAATTTATTGCATAGTTGGTATAAGACAAGGCAATAAAATCATCTCAAATCTGACAAAGCTAGAAATGGCATTCGGACGTAGGCAGTCGCAATTTTTAAAACTCTACAGTAATTGCTTTTGCTTGTAAGAGTTCGACTTCAAACACTTCTGAGCGAGCGGACCGTGAGGATTACGTACGTCTATCGGGACGGCTGTTACTTGCTTGGTCCCAGTTAGGACACTGAGGAACAAACTGAGTTCAATCCGACTTGAGAAAGACCGTCTACTACGAAAGCGTCAGAATGTGGACGCTGGCTTTGCTTACCCGCTGATCGGTGTCTCCGTCAGAGTTAAATTAGTGTAATAAATATACGTTAGAGAGAGAGAGAGATCACCTTAAACTCTTACCCAGAAGGAATTAGACTCGGGCATAATGTGGATGATAAGAGAAAATATCGAATGTTCGAATTATATAGATCGAGTTCTGTGTCACAGTAGCCTAGTCAACTAGGATGTTCACATCCTAGTAGTAATGGAAAAGTAATGGAAAAGCACTGGAATTTCTTCTTATTTCTTCTATTTAGTATTTCATGAAGCGGATGTCGTCATGGTATAGGCTTGATAAATTCCGAGATGCGAGAAGTTTCTGATATAAGATCTCTTTCGTGTTATGAAAGACAAATACCGAACTCATTTCTATGGTACAATTCTTACAACATCCTACGAGTAGATTTGAGTCGAGGGGGTTACACTTCAATACAGCTATATTCTCCACTATCAGCAGCGTCGTCTTATCTAAGGATACAATCCCCAGTTCACGCGTCACTCTTCTTGTGAAACATTTCCAAGTTGAGCTTGTACATCCAAACGGTGCATGAAGCTCAGGAATACGGAACAAGAGCCTTCGCTGTTCGGTGCAGCATGTACCAGTAAGGAAGTATGGGTCTCATCCCTCGACTTTATTCAAAGTAGCATCCGTGGAGATTTATATTCATTTTTGGTCTTCTGGTGTACTCACTCGCTCATGGACGTAGAAGTTGTTGAGAGAAGTAGCTTTCGCTTTCCGGAAGGTGGGATGGTGCATGGTGCAGGCAGGTGGACATGTACTTGCCAATTGCAGAACGAACTACTCTCCAAGATGACCAGAAGAACGGCTTCCATGCATGCGTGGTTGCTGTCGATCACCATCAGCTGACGGCGGTCCATGCTCACAACGAGGGTCAGTCGTACAGACCACCGGATCAAAAGTCTTGACAGAGGGCAAGTGTCCACGCGTCTGGTGAAAGGGAGCAGTTTGATGCGACGTTGCTGTAGTTTCGCAACAGTTCCTGACGTGACCTAGCGATTTCTAACTTCGTTTTCGCTAATTACTGCCCCCTCATAATCTGCAAGCCTATCATTCCAATTCGAGCCGCAAATAAACGCATGCAAATGAAATCGCACTTTTCTTCTCGTCATCTCCAATGACTCGTGGTTCTGAAACGAAGAACTCGTTTGAAGGATATGGTGAAACGCAACTGCAAAGATGAACTGAAACTTGCCCATTCCAGTTAACAGGATCCCTCGTCCTGCATAGAATATGGCTCTATTCAGCTCCAGGAGCGGCCCTGACTCAAGTCCGGCTAGTGGCTTCAGGCTCCACAGGTCGGGAGGGCCATGTCAAAAAAAAAGGCTTGTATTTATTTCATCTGCATGAGTTTCTCTCAGGACGGCCCCATCACTTTCCCATGATCTGCCTTTGTACGGCCGAGCTCACGTGGTGCTGTTCCTGTCGGGACTATAGGTCTGTATGATTGGATTCTTAGGGGACTGTGTGGTATAATACCAAATATATTATACAACATTCGTAGATGTTACCCTCGTCCATTTGGCCTCGAAGATATACTATATGTAGCGCATTCCTTTGAAAATCAACGCGATCGAATTTGTAACTACTACCACCACTAGCATCATTGTAAATGGTATAGTCAGTTTGATATCCATAACTAACAGTTAAATTTATTCTAAATATTTTTAATTGTTTTTCATTTCGAGTAGATTCCATGACAAAAATAATATCTTACGCTTATAGCAATGAGCAACACTTGTGCGAACTCTTACCGATTCCATTACAGACTTTTTATTATACAGTATATTTTATATACAAGACTTTTTATTATATACAGCAATCCCAGTTTGGGATTGCTGTATAATATAGCTGTAAAATACCATGGGTATAATACCGCAATTGCATATATGCACCCACAGTCGGGACATGCGTGTTTCATCGCGGGCCGTTGCGTGGACCGGCCTTGACAAAAGAGGAATTGCTGGACCGCAGTCTTGTGGCCATGGGCCGAACGAAGGAATGGCGGCCAGTGGTCCCTTCTGCGAGATCGCCATGTGCAAACAGCTCTCAACTGCGCTTCACATGCCAGATATCGGAGCCGACGAGCTCCGCCACAGACTCGTCTCTGAATCTCGATGAATTACCATCGGACTTCCTATGCCTGTAGGATTACGGCGTACCTGCTCATACAAGCTCATCTGTCTTCGATCTCCGGCGAATCAATCCATACTCCGGAGCATATGCGTCAGAGTGCTTTTGTTGCAGCAGAGCAGATTCTCACCCTTCTCAACTTTGCCGTCTCTGCGCTAATGGTTGAGCTGAAACTTGCTGCACTGAAAAGCAACGAGCTCTGATAACGATTCGCTGCCTTTTTCTCCCACCTGCGAATATCTTCGTCGTTCTCGGGCTTACGAACCTGTTTCTGACACTCCGCTGGCTACCTGCAACTTCGAGCTTTAGTGAGAGAAGCATAGTTCATCCGTCTTGCAGATGGAGATAGAACATTGATCCCAAAGCAGCAGCAGCAGTAGCAGACACATTTTCAGTGTGGTGCAAGGAGACATGAAGATACGATGCGGTTTCCTTCTGCTGCTTCTGTTGCATTCGAGTTGGATTCGTCACTGCGATTCTGCGGATGTCGAAGGCCCGATCAAAACAGTGGTGGTTCTGGTTATGGAGAACAGGTCTTTCGATCACATGCTGGGGTGGTTGAAGAGACTGAATCCTGAAATCGACGGCCTCACAGGAGCAGAGAGCAATCCGGTCAATGCTTCGGATCCGAATTCCGCGAGAGTTTCCGTCACAGACAATGCTGAGTTTGTAGATCCCGATCCCGGCCACTCGTTCGGTGCCATTCGTGAGCAAGTCTTCGGAAAGGATTCCGATGTGTCTGCTGTTCCTCCTCCGATGAATGGATTCGTGCAGCAAGCGAGGAGCATGAATCATGGGCTGGACTTTCCCGAAAGAGTGATGAGCGCATTTCGCCCCGAAGTTATCCCCGTCTCCACAGCTCTGGCCATGGAGTTCGCAGTCTTCGACAAATGGTTCGCCTCTGCACCAACTTCCACTCAGCCCAACAGATTATTCGTCCACTCGGCCACTTCTCGCGGAGCTGTCAGCAATGTTGATGCGGATCTTGCTGTTGGGTATCCTCAGAAGCCAATTTTTGAGTCAGTTGCTGACGCTGGATTGTCGTGGGGCGTGTACTATGAAAATATCCCGGCCACCCTGTTTCTGAAGGATCTTCGAAAACTGAAGAATCTGTTGAAATTCAAGACGTTCTCTCCGTTTTTCAAGTCTGATGCGAGTGCGGGAAAGCTGCCGAACTACGTGGTGATCGAACCGCGGTACTTTGACTTGGCAGCTGCGCCTGCTAATGACGATCATCCTTCTCACGACGTCGCCGAAGGTCAGAAGCTGATGAAGGAGGTGTACGAAACTCTGAGAGCCAGCCCGCAATGGAATCAGACGCTTTTCCTCATCACTTACGATGAGCACGGAGGTTTCTTCGACCACGTCCCCACGCCTGTCACTGGCATTCCCAATCCCGATGGTGTCAATGGACCTGCCCCTGACCTCTTCCCGTTCAACAGGCTCGGAGTACGTGTTCCTACCATTGCCATTTCCCCTTGGATCAACAAAGGCCTAGGTACGATTTCCGCCTCCATTTCGTCTTTCATGTGCACACGAACGATCGACTGTTTGAGAAGATGTTTGTATGAAACAAATAGATTGTACAAATTGCCGATCACTGCTGCCTCAAGAATTTTCTGTCGTGCAGAAGAGCTTCGCTCTGTATCATTGGACAGCATTTTTCCCTTACATGGATTCAGACTTGCTTCAGACATGCTTCAGATTCGCTGGTTTCAACACATGCAATTGCAGATCGTTCTCCCTTGCGCTCTGTCTCGTGACGACAGACAGATCAGGCGATCGACGGTTTTGCTGTCGAAAGGCAAAGCAATTGCGACCATGAGTTCGCAATTGCTTTGCCTCTCGTTAGCAACGCTCGTGGCAACTTGGTGCGCATGTGCTGAAGATCCTACCTCTCATTGCGAAGCTAATAATCTCTGAGCTCAATTGGATGTACCAGGAATCAGAATCAAATGAAGGACGGGTCTGATAGTGACACTTTTCCATGTACAGTTGTCCATGAACCCAGTGGGCCGACACCGTCTTCTCAGTACGAGCACTCGTCGATTGCGGCAACCGTGAAAGAAATTTTCAAGCTCCCGAATTTCCTGACCAAAAGAGACGAGTGGGCCGGGACCTTTCAGCACCTTTTCAGTCAACGGGCTGAGCCAAGAGGAGACTGTCCAAGTATGTTACTCTCGATGGCTCCCCGCTGATGCATGTGAATCAGATGAAGTCTGATTGTCACGCCCATTCGCGTGTTTAGTAATGTGAGTCAGATCAGGAATAGGATGATGCTCTGTTTCATCTGTCTGCCTGCCCCGCTGCCGATCGAAAATTCTTATTCCTCGTTCGTTCGTGTGTGCGTCTTAACAGCTGAGCTTCCGACTCCTCCGTGGTCCTTACGACACGTAGCGGCGGATGAAAATCGCAGCCTGACACAATTTCAACAAGAGCTCGTGCTTCTGGCTTCTCAGCTAACCGGAGATCACACCCTCTCAGCTTATCCATTTATTGGCCAGAACATGACAGTCAAAGAAGGCCACGCTTATGTCACCGCTGCAGTTGCCAGATTCATAGGGGAAGGTATGAAACAGATCAGAGAGGGACAGGATGAATCCAAGATTCTCCAGCTAGAATCGCTCTCTTGAATCCCTGGACTTTTCCAGCGACAGTCTGATATCTGCAGTGGAAAGTCAACATTCCATCAATGTGGGATGCCATGTAACTCGAGTAGTATACTCCAGTAATAATCTCATCTGGTATGTAAAGCTTGCTGTCGTCAAGATTAAGTTAGTTATTTGAGCTGCTTGCTCTTTATATGGCTCGACATCATGAAGATAAGAAAGACTTTTCAGGAGCAAAATAAGCTCAGCAGCAGGAGTGTGAGCTCAAGGTCTTTACGCAAGGAGGAGCAGAAATGTGCACATAACCAACTTTAAATTTTCTTGCCTAAGTATATTACATGTCATTAATTGTGGGTTGCGACAGTTCTGTTGTTCCACGAGGCGATTCATTCATTTCCTTGATTAAAAATCCTGCTGCTACTTTCTAAGCTGGAGCTGTTTCGGAAGATTCATAACTAGGCTTGCTCTTGCACTCGAGCTTTTATTAAAGATAATGCTGGCTGATGGCGGACTTGGTAGAATTAGGTCTCACCAGAGTTAGCCGTACTCTTTCAATTGGGAAGTCCCAGAATGCTCCAATATTAAGCTCTGCAAAAGTCGACTTTCATCTCGGTTTTGACAATTGTTTGTGACTTGTATTTAACACTGCAAAGTAAATCATCTAACAACTTTTCACAAATAATGTATACACATAAATAGAAGATGGAAGTAATTGTTACTTGTTTTCATTGTGATGATATTTCCATGTTTTGGGTACATTCATTCGAGCATAAGATTTACATTACATGCTCAACATCAAGTTATAAACTCATTTGTAAATTATGACCATCCCGATGCACATGCTAGTGAAATGTTATTTGATTTTGATCTTGTTATTTGGAATAGTGTAAGGTTTAGGCTTTGGGTCTATTCTTAGTGGGATGTCTTGAAAAATTGCTGTTATTCAAGTTTTATGCATATATTATATTGAGAATATCAAGTCTGACATATATATTAATTTCACAGGTTATGAATAGAAATCTTTTTGATATAAAACTTTGAAAATATTGAATTGTACAGAAAAGTAAAAAAAACAATTCTAATAACCTTAGATTATATTGAACTGTGAATGCTTAAGATTTTGTTTTAATAGAGAGCTGTTGAGCTGTTGATATCAATATGTTTTACGTAATGTGCAACCTCTCTTAAAAACCTAGTAAAGCCTTCTATAAAGTGACTGGTCTCAAGTGTTTTTTGAAATTTATGATATATCTAAGTGCCCGATGAGATATTTTCCATTGGTCCATTTTGATAAGATGGGCAAAAATTGATAACACAAACAATATAAAATACCATTAGCCTATAACGATGAAACCAAACGGCATACCGCTTTGAGAAGTGATGAAAATCAAAAGCTTCAAGTTGTACGGATGCAGTGGAAATCTCATGCTTGTGATCAGAGTCAAACTACGTCCAAGTGGATAATACCACGTCACCCAAGTCATGCAAATGGAACGTTTCTAAGCATGAGGGGGTCCAAGTGGATAATACCAGTGAAACAGCCGCAGCCGAGCAGGCACCTGGTGACGACGATTCCCGGCTTTTACGTCCAGAGGATTCTTGGTTACTGTACGGTTTCATGAGCTCGATCAGAAGCAGAGCCCAACATTGGGTGCCCATGCCCATGGGTTTTGGGTGACAATATTTTTCCATGAGTGGGCACAGATAATGCTAAGGGCAATGTTTGTCAAGATCCTACCAAGAATTAGCGTAACTTGAGTAGCATGGGTGAGAACAGGTAATGATGTGGATGGGCTTAGGTCGCTGCTGATGGTTATGGTCTGGTCTGGGTGCAGATTTGAAGTAAAATGTTGGCCTCTGATCAGAAGCCATGGAGGTTCATCGAGCCCATGAGCCCATGAGGTCCGTCGAGAGAACTGAATGTAATAATTGCTGAAACTATTTCTGGATAATTGCTCACCCTTTCGGACCATGAGTGGGCTAACAGAATCACATATTTAAATGACAACTTGTAACTTATTCTGACTCGATGATATTCGCAGTCCTAACTGATTTGGAACTCTTTCCGGATCGGCCTGACGGCAACATTCATGCACTCGAGCTGTTTTATTCGCTCGGCGGCCTCACTGTGTAGGTAGCAAGTGACTTGACAGAAGAGTGCAGAAGAGTTGTTTTCGTGTGCGCCTCTCCTGAACAGAAAACGAGTACCCAGCTGGTGAATCACATGGAGGTCGTAATCAGCGTCGCTGTCCCTCACGTTCACGTTCTCAGGCGGTTTGGTACGAAACCTCTGCATCGCTGCTTCCTCGCTCGGCTGCGCAGCGCAAGTCTTTGTCCAAGTTCAGTCGCCATCAGTTAAGACGTGAGTTGAAATCGGCTTCGCCGACATTCGAATGCCGAGATAGGTCCAGTTTCTGTAATCCCCGTACTCGAATCAATAATGTCATCGGCGACCGCTCCGTGACTTCTCCGAGGCCATACCGATCGCCTGACGAATGTCCGGCACCGTCCATTCTGCGAGCTACTCTCTAACTCATACGACCGACGACATAAAGAACTGCTTCAATATCATCCAATGGGCGAGCTACTCCAGAGCCCATGTGACTTCACCTGCGATAAGAACCTCACATAGCCTTGGATGAAGACTTGCCAACTCTTGATTATTCTAAGCGAGTTGGATTATGAAGAGGTTGCGGGGAGAGTGCACGATTTGGATAGTGGGGTGATCAAATTAGAGGACGGCAAGGTCCGTGCGGTTTGGTAGGAATAGGCGAAGCGCCGGAAGACTTCGAAACTGAGAGTGAGCGTTTTCCAATTTAGGGCATCCGCCTAACTGATGCAAGCAGCTAAGATACTGGTCGTACCGGCGAGGTAACGCATGCGACAGCAATTTCGAGCGAATGAGGTGATGATGATTGGCGAAATGTGCTGGGTACAAGATTCTTCCGTCTGGTGGCGAGCAAAGAACGAAAACTGCAGCATCGCAAGCATGTTCTCTCACTCGCCGTTCGCGCAAACCAGCTTTAGCAGTATTGAGAATCAGTTTGCTAGGACGTGAATGCAGGGTGCGTCGAAGTAGAAGAGCTATTTGAGCGATTTGCAGCGATCGAGCAGATAATCATGTCGAAGGATCTCCTCCCATCGCCTGGAACAATGGAGGCGGGAGACGGCCTGAATGATCAGCCTAGGGCACAGTCTGAGGCAGAGTTCGGTGTTCGAGTTGATTCGAGAGCGAATCCCGCGACAGATTGCCTCCATCACGGTCCAGCATCTAAGGTGACGAATCCTGCGCGTCAGCCAGCCATGTTTGGGGCGTTTGGAGGCGACGTCTATAGTCGACGTCATCTGATTCGACGTTCGAGTGTCCATGTATGTTTCTTGGTCATTTCCATGGAATCCCACGCTTTTTGTTTATACCTGAATTCCGTAGAAAAGTGTCCCACTTTGATTCCAAGATTGGTCATCAGCAACATGGGGAGTTTTCATAATTTGACTTGAAAGCGGGGATAGAAAAAAAAATGCGTCTATCGTACAATTGTTTCATGCTCTGTTCGCAGAGAATGCTCCGTCTTTTCATTTGGTACGTTTCTATATCGTCTCCCGCGTAACTTTCTTCATAGTACCGACCTGAGCGTTCTATGTGATTCAAATCTGGTTGAGAATGGCGTCCAGGACTACTCCATACGACATCGATCGGACATGAGGGCGTTAAATGCCATGCCCGTCGTATTGGCGGCATATTTCTTCCTCTTGCGACTGTTGCTGAGAAGCACTAATGTTATCATTTGCATGCACGGATTCTTTCTGCTCATCGTCTTCTGCTGGTCTGGATATGCAACTGACCTTGTAAGTCCCTCTCCACTCTCCACTCTCCGCTTCGATGTGTCTTGTCAGAAATCCAGTAAATATGTGTCGGATTTGGAAGCGTAATTCGTGTAGGCTGTACAGAATGCCACCTTCCAAAAGGCATGACCTAGTAGATGCCGTGATTTTAAAGCCTAGCATCGTAGCTGTGTATTACTTTTTGACTCACTTCCAGTGCCTGCGAGCGTCATCTCAACCCATTTCCAAATTCTAGGTCTGTCCAGAGTTCTGATTCTCTTCGGCACGAACTATTCGACACTTTCATCACGCACTGTTTTCCTCTATTCTGTACGAGAGCGTGCTACATTCGGGAATGTTGCAGTGACTGACGGACTGCGATTTGAAACGTGTTGTCATAAGTCCTTAAAAGGAAACGTGGTTTCGCCTTCTTTTCGCTTTATTCATCCACGATGGCCCGTGAAAAGGAAAAGTAGATGCACTATTCTCAGTCCTTTGTCCATAAAGGAAAATGGCTCCGTTCAAAGATGTGGGCTCCAGCGAATTTCTTGCTGTGTGAGGCAGAGTCTTTTGAAACGCTCTTCCCAACAGTGTGGCTTTATAAACTCTGTGTCAAAGTCTAGCTTCTTCCTAAAGAACGACCTGGGCGTAGGGTTTTGTCGCCATTTAAGATTTTAATCATCGTAAACTGCGAGGCAAAACCAACTCGAGCATTTCAATAATGTCTGTCCTTGAGTTTGTCCCTGCAAGTGAGTGACATAGTTCATCTAGTTTTACGGGCACAGGGCATCAGAGTACTGCTTCAGTGCTGCAAAATGACTCTTCATGAATGTATTGACAGGTACATTGTGTGACTAGGACGTGTAGGGCTGCACGAGCTAGTCTTCGAGCCGGACTGGACGAGTCATATGATTTTGAATCTGGATTTCAGAAACAATGATTGGAGAATGTGAATTCGTGTTCAGGCACAATACAAAGACCAGAATGTTAGATACGGACAGAGAAGTGTCATCCTTGCATATAAGGATGACACTTCTCTGTACAACTATGTAAATTAGGGCGATAGAGCTATTTTCAATAGCACTGGAGATATTTTGTAAGTCTCTAGCGTGATATCATCAAGGAAGGGCTTGCAAGGGAAGTTCTTCCTATATCTTTTCAGATCCCTAGACTCGTTAGTCCCGGGACTAACGAGTTTTTCACTCATGTACATGCCCACTAGTGAAGCAAACACAACTTTAGAATTGTACACTCTGGTAGATGCTCAGGGATTTCTTGAATACAACTCCGGCTTACCTATGCAGTTTAAATTTGTAATAATATTTAAAACTAAACTAAAACTTTCTCTTCTAACAAGTGATCATTGTTAAATTTCTTGAAATGAATGATTTGTGCTTGAAATAAATAAACTGAGGGATAATTTATAGTTTTGGTAATATCTCACTCTAGTAGTAAGATATTACCAAAACATGCATCCGTAATAAATTTCTACTATAAATTAATTATAACACGCTTTCATTATGTATATATGTTTGTATGGTTTCATGTTTCCTCGTGGTTTTGTGTAGGTGACAAAATTACTTGTGTGGTATTAAATCATGTGTACTCTATTGTATTATAGAATGCATCTCAAAAATATATTTTCAAACCAGATTATTGTGTTTAATTCTGATCTAAACTCTTTGATATATTTTGAAATTGATTATTGATGTACTAATATATCTTTTTACTCGATTACGAATTCATTACTAATGCGAAATAAATAAGTTTGATCTATATATACTCTTTACTTTTTTACAATAATTCTATGTCATATATAATTTTTTATGTGAATTTAATATAATGTTATCTTTCGAGGATATGATGAAGTGAAATTATTTAGTGAAACCTTTGTAATGAAATTGATGGCGAGTACTATTTGACAATGCGAATTTTCACCAATTGCCTTGGAGAGTGAAAACAAGAAAGTTTGTATCATGGCTAGACTATCCAAGATTTAAGTGATTGTCTTATTGGCTTTGAGTGTGCTAACTTCTACAAGATTTGAACTAGAAAACCAAGTATTTTTGGATTTCATAAGGCCAGCTGAACTTTGTTACAAATAGCTCTAAAAAATTCAAATTTTGTGTTTTCTCATGCTTGTCAAAATACTGGACGAATAAATCGAAGTGTTTTGCTCCAAGTTCTTTGTTTTATCAAAACAAAGAACTCGGAACTTCTTTACCTTCGCTACTTTGCCCCGTTATTCCAGCAAGTGACTGCGACAATTTGCGCCTCCAGATTTAAGATAAGAAGTCTTGATCTGTATTTGGTGGGGTGCTTTCCAAAATATTTATAGTGGTGACTTTGTATCAATAGAATGTTAATAATATTATATATAAATTCATATATCATAAATTAAATGTAGCCTAAGCATTTTCCATTTAACTAGAGTTGTTACATGGGTAAATATTCAATAGAATAAAAGATAAACACTATTGAACTAAAAAATAATATAACTGAACTATGTCAAATAAACTATAGGATATTTTTTTTGAATATACTATCATCCATTTTCTAATCAATGGAAAAATATTTTTCAAAAAAACCTATACTCAAATGATACAATATACTATGGCAATGTTTAGTGCATTTTTTTACAAGTTTACCAAAAGACATATGTTTAAGTTCAACTTTGGAATATTATCAGTTGTTTGTAGTTGCACTTAGTGTATGTTTTCTAATGATTCATACTTAATCAATTCTCAAGATGAGGTTTAATCATTTTGATAAAATACTTCAACTTAAAAAATCCATACTTGAGTTGTCAATTCTTGTGCTAAATATTTTTCTCATATATATATATATATAAAGGTTTGGTGACAAGCATCAATGCTACATATCTCTTTTTACCTCAAAGTGTTTTGCAAATCAACAAATCTACTTAGTATGAATTTTTTTTCATCAGCATTGTTATTGCTAAAGTTTTATTGAGAGAGACAAAGTTGTTCAACATATTTTAAACATTAAATTTGCAAAGCCAAATTCTTTATTTTAAACCCGAATTTGTCTCTTGATCAACTTCTGCTTATCTCAGATAGTATTAGATAAATAACTTACAAAACTGTGATAAAACAAATCAAAGTTAACCAATATGTAATTTGCTTCCAAAAAATTGTTCTTGTTCATTTTTTTTTATATCATATATCTATGAACTGTGCTACCTTTAAAATTCCTCTAAATCATATCCTAGAACTAGTTTTTTCATAATTTATAATGTATATCAAAGTTATTAGAATTAAATTGTATACAATATAAACATGAAGCAAAAATATCAATTATATTTATAAAAATTATTTCCAATTCGCTCTTCTTAATAATATGTGAAACCTAAAATATGATAACATTTTCTTTTTCAAATATTATATATTTATTGTGAATAGTTTAGCTGGAAATGTTTAATATTTTTGTTTCACAAACACAAATTTTTAAAATTACGATACTTGATGTTTTGTATATTTATGTTCATTACATGATTCACATTTAAGGATAAATTATTTTAATTATTATCATTATAAAGATTCACAAAAGATCATGCATTAATCTCATCTTTATTACACGTTTATCGGACCAATTATGCATCAAGTTGTTTCTACAATATATAAAATTTTGTTAAATTAATTTAATTACACATTTCAACAATGATAAGGTAAATTTTTTGAAATGTAAATATATAGATATTCATTTTCAAATATACACACACATCTAGTGATATATGTTTTAATCTGTTAATGTTGTTTAGATTCAATATTAACAAAGTGAATCAATGATTTGATTCCATAAAATCTGCATGAAAAGATCAAAATCTTTATTGTATTTTTTAAATATTTAAAATAAAGAAAATTTTAATTTTTATTATTCAATAATACAAAAATTGATTTTCAATATTATTTACATTCATTTCTGTTTCATGGAAATATTTTATTTATGAAAGTACATTATTTAATATTATATTTTAAATATATATTCCTCAAATGATAAAATGAAATATGTCATTGATATTATTAATCTTAAGATGAGGAAGGTTTTGAAAAAAATACAATATATTTTTTGTATATATTTTTTCAAATTAGAATGCACTTCAAGTCATAAAATTGATATCTTTTAATCGTTAGTTACAGAGATTTGGAATTTTATTATCCATGTATTGAATCTTCGATGAATTTAGTCTTGAATCATTAGTTTAGATTTGATTTAAAGATATGGAAAATTTAGAAAAATATACTAACTAAAGAAAGTGTAGAGAATAGTTTTTCTTGAAAAATGAAAGTGAAAAATGTTTTATAGTATACTCTCCAACTTTTGTGTTTACTTTGTTGAAAATTTGTATAAGTATCAGTTGGATTTTAGTCCCGTTGATCCAGTTCAACTGGATCAAACTTCATTGGATTCTGTACCACTTTGAGAATGAGTTTAAAAAAACCAGGACTTTTAGTACCAAGCAATACATCAATTCTACTTCTATGGAAGTGTTTCTTTTCCTCCGATCTTTTTTGCTCTGGATCCCTTTGCGTTAGAGAAAATAACATTTAGATTTAAGGATTTTAAAGAACAACCAATCTTTTCTTTCAAATAGGAAAATTATGTAAGGAAAATATATACAACTCGAATAGAATAATAGACAATTTTAATTGTTAAATCATAAGTATGAATCTGTTTGTTTCATTTTCATATTTCTGATCTATTGCATTGTTGTTTATGATATCTTATTTCATGGAAACGAATGAAGTCAAAACCAGACACTTCAATCTAAACGAGTAAAATGCAAATGTAGTTTCTGCAAATTTTCATATTATTAATACTTTTTTAATTCCTCTTTGGAAAAAGCTTTAATTTTTATTATATCAAATGATGTATTTCATTTAAATGCTTCAAAAAAAGTTCAGCATATTTTTAGAGGAATTTGCTCCCATGCAAGAGGATTTGGAACTCCAATGCGAAACAATAACATATTCTGTGGCAATCCAGAATTAATATTGAGCTTTATTCTTCAAAATGAGATTTAATAGCTATCTTTGATCGACTCTGAAGATTACCAATCATTCAGTTCCATCTCCACCATCCACTGATCGTATGAAGAATAATATCTTATTGAGTCTATATTGAACTGCATAAAACATACTTCAAGAGTAGGCCACTGCAGCCTAGGCAGGACTTGAGCCCGAATCATAGATCCATGGTCGGAAGACTCTCGCGTTGAGCTAATGGACCATTTACAATAGGAGACAAGGTGACAGATAACAAGAAATAACATAATCCAACACTAGTGGACACTGACATTTCATAGAATAACAATACGGTCGGTTATGTTCTCATAACAGACACCTTAGACAATAGAAAATTGCAGCCCAGGTGGGAGTCTTTCCCCCATGGGTACAAGTACCCCATCACAGATCCATGTTTGGAAGACTCTGGAATTGAGCTACTGGGCTATTCACATAAAGATACGTGATGACTTACAGCATGAAGAGAACAAACTCTGGATATATTAGAGAGTAGAAGTCCATGATTTTACAGAGTGTATGAGAAGATTCTCAAGAAACCAACCCAAGTATGCTCTATGCCTCATAGGGTGAGTTCGAAAGTTTCTGCCAGCTTCATACTCTCCCCAAACATATAAAAATAGTTCTAACAATTTGCGACTTGAATGGTACTCGTTATTCCTCCCAAAATAGAGACATGCAGAGAGAGGTTGCTGGAAGCTGCTCACGTTGGATGATCGACGACAAGCATTCAAGCACACTGTCCCTCGACTGCTTAGAGGTCGACATCTCCCTCGCTTCCGCGGAGAAGCCCAGGCCACAGACTCCACGCTTAAAATGGACATGGACACGCTTCCTTATAATCCCGTCTGTCCTCTGCAAGAGCCCCAGCTCCATCTCTCCTACTCCTGCTCGGGTTACAGGCAGCCGCTACGCTGCCCAGATGAGACATATGCTCACAAAAGCATGTTTCAATGTCTCCGTTTGAGAACTCGCATGCCTTCCAGTTTCTCATTTGGTGCTATAAGTCTATGAGTCCGTGCTCAAAAAGCTGTTTATAAGTTTACTGCACATTCATATTCCTGTATAGTGTTTCAATCTGTCTACATGAAGAATGTGTTTCCGTGCATCGAATACGAGACAAACTAATAGCTGAAGAAGACTTGTAGACTTGAAACAGAGAGATATTATTTGCTTGTATTGACATATTATAGGATGTCTTCGAGATGGGAAAAATTTCCAAGACTTTATAAGAAGAAAATTGTGTATATTGTACTTTAATGAAGTCGTATCGCTTTATA